TGCTGTGGGACAGGCAAATATTGTATTGATGTCAGCAACCCAGACTCTTAGAGAAGAAACACAAGTGTGAAAGCAAAAAAGTTGAAGAAAATCACTCGACTGCTAAACATAGGGTAGAAAAAAAAACATGAACTAACAATTGATCTTTAAACAGCAGGGATTTCCTGCCTGTGTAGACTGAGGGTGATGAACCTGGTTGCTGGGAGTCCTGCGGAGCCAGATTTGAGGCTCTGAATGCCACCCCATCCTGGGAGAAGTGGCTTGTTCCAGGTTTAGGAGACCCTGAGCCATCTGTCCCCAAAGGGAAGCTTTCAGAGACTAACGGAGTCATGGCAGAATGACACAGGGGCCCAGCTAGTGACGCACGACAGCTGGATGTGTTTTGAGGGCTCTGCGGAGCAGAAAAGCCCACCTCAAAGGGTCACGTAGCGTGTGACTCCGTCTCTGTGACAGGCCAGACCTGCAGGGACAGAGCAGATTTGGTGCTGCAGGGGACCCCCGAGGTCCTCGTGGCCAGAGGCCAAGGGCGGCCTGTGTAGAGCGCCTGTTGATAGGTGGGTTGTGAGCAGAGGCAGAGTTCAGATGCAGGAAGGTGCTGGGAAGCCCAGGGACGGACAGGGGCCTGGGGACCTGTCTCGGGGGGGTTCTGGGCCCAGCCCTTCTCAGTCGTGGCTGCACTTAGCATCATTTGGGGACTTTGAAACAGATGCCCACCCCACCCGCCCCTATTCTGGGTTCCCTGGAGGGCAGTAGGGAGCTAAGGAAGGATGCTGAGCGGCAACAGGGTGGCACGGTCAGGGCTGCCAGTGTGCTTGTGGACAGCATGGGGGGGGCCGTGGTCAGGCTGCCAGTGTGCCTTGTGGGCAGCATGGGGGGGCCGAGGTGCCCTGGACACCCCACCCGTCAGGAGGACTGGCTGTGACTTCAAACCAAGGGCACGAGGGGATCTTAGCTGGTGGACAGTAGGGAGCCCTCCAGCCCAGAGGAGATGTGCGGGTACTTCTGCTGTCCCGGGTAGAATCAGAAAGGACCGCGTCCACTGAGCATCTAGGGGACATGAGGACAAGACTCTGGTCAGTAAAGCTGCTGTGTACCCCCAGCTGAGCCTTGGTCCCGGAGGCTTGTGAGGCCCATAGGCCTTTCCTGGCTCCGGGACATCTGGGAACGTTACTGCTCCCCTGAAATGTCCGCCTGCCTTCTGTTCTCACACACCTGGCTCGACCCAGGGCCACAATCACGAGGCCTCAGGACAAATCTCCCAAGGTCTCGGGTGCCGGGAGGCGGGCACTGGCATGAGCCCACGTTCCTGGGGCGTGTGAGGCCCCGGCACTGCCTCTTCCAGCTTCGGGGTGTTTGGGAACCCACGCACCCCCTGGAAACGGCCGCCTGGCTTTTGTTCTCACACACCTGGCATCACCCGCGGGCAAATCTTGCCAGATCGCTGCCAGATCTGAGATACCGGGCGCCAGTTGGCGGGCCCATGGCAAGAGTGGGGACTAACAGCCAATCCAACCCTCTTCTGGAGGCGAGCGACCTGAGCGCCTGGGGTGGAGGCAAGGAGGCTGCTCAGAATGAAAATGTCTCAAGGGCAGGGGTGGGGGCCTATTCCTGACTTCCGGGAACGGGTGGGAAATGGGACCCACATGCTCTTGGGGAGCCTCTTGGACCCCCAAAGACTGTGGTCCAGAGTGGGGTGGTGCCTTCGGACACAGGGCCCCACGCGGTGGCAGCCGTTTAAAGCTGAGGTGCCGGTGGGACTGGGTGTCTCGGCCCAGGTCCCTGGGGGCTGGAAGGGTGCGGGCCGATCCCGGAGCGGAGGTGGGCAGTGGCAGGCCTCCCGCAGGCCCTCCAGCACTGAGCTGGGCCTCAGCCCCTCGGCCCTGACACAGTGGGGGTTCCAGAAACTCAAGGGCCGGGCGCAGGTGCCCCGCTGCACAGGGGCCACTTCCTGATAGAAGGACAGCTGCCACAGGAAGTGCCGGGTTTCCCAGGAGAGAGGTACTGGGTTGAGTAGTATCCCCCCCCCTCCCCGCGCCACCCCACCTCAAAATTCATGTCCACCTGGAACTCCAAAACGGACCTCATTTGGGAAAAGAGTCTTTGCAGGTGTAATTAGTTAGATTAAGATGAGGTGACACTGGAGTCGGGTGGCCCTGAGAGACAGAGAAGGCCACGTGATGACAGGCAGAGACGGGGCGACCTGGCCACAAGTCCAGGGCTGCCTGGAGACCCCAGAAGCTGGAAGTGGCAGGAAGGACCCTCCCCTGGTGCCTCTGGAGGGAGCCCGGCCCCGCCCACACCAGGATCTCAGACTCCGGTCTGGGGCTGGGGGAGAACACGTGGCCGTGGGGAAGCCACCGAGTTCAGGGCACTTGATGGTGGCAGCCCCGGGAAACCACCGGCGGCATCCATGCTTCTACCTTTCCTCTCTTTATCAGACAAATACGTGTACTGTGACAGCGCTTCATCTAAGGAAACCCATTCGTGGGACGGATGGGGGACAAAATACAGTCACAGGGCAGGCAGGTGAAGAATGGTGCCCAATTTCACAGCAGACGCACAGGACATTTGGCAGTTTCCAACGAGCCACTCCCCACGAGGTCAAGCGTATGTGGCTCTTACTCTCATTTCTGCTGGGGAATCCGAGACCCGGTGCCCGAGATCTGAGAACAGGTCAGAGCCAGGCAGAGTGCCTGGGAGCCTGGTGTCCCTCTGAGCCTGGAGCCCTGCCCATCACTCTCCCTGGCAAGTGACAGCACTGAGTGCATCCTGCCCCACGTGTCGCCCCCTGCGCCCAAATCTCTGCCATGCAAATGTGTGCACCTGCCCAGGGCTCACCTCCCGTGGGGACCTCATGTGCCATCTTTAGTGACAAGAGCCACCGTGAGCTACGTGTAGGTCTGCTGGGCCGGTCTTACCGGCTCTCAGCTATCGGCTGGGGCACTGCCTCCTCCCAGAAGTCCGCTTGATGCTTCCTGCTAATGGTGGGACCGGGGGGAGGGGGGAGGAGGCACGCGTGTAATCAGGTGCACATGCAGGTAGAAATGGGTACCTTGATGGAAGTAAAGCAGGGGGAGGTGGCAGCAGCTGGGAAGGGTGTTCAAGGCGAGCCTCTCAGGTGACCGTCCGGATGGACTTCGTGACAGGCAGGAGCGGACAAGGAAGCTGTGGACGGAGAGGACTTTGGTATCATCCACAACCTCCCAAAAGTGACCTAAGGGGCAGGCCAGCGGGCGTGGACAACCACAGGTGTGGACGGATGGGCTCTACCGCCCCACACCTCGCCTGCTTTCTCCAAGCAGCGTCTGGGCCACCAGCCCCTCGGCCCCTCAAAGCGTGGCTCCATGTCCCGGCCTCACGGTGGCCGCTCCTGGCCAGTCGGAGCACCAGGGACCAGATGTCATCTGGAGCTTGGCGCAGGCTACGTGGCTCAGAGGACAGACTTCTCAGGGACCAGCTCTCAGACCCCCACCCTTGTCCCCGGGCCAGGGCGAGCCGGGTCATCAGAACACTTAACACCCACATTGAGCTATTTGCCTGTGTTGTTCCAACCCTCCGCTCCCTCTATGAAGCGGGTACTCCCAAGTGCCCGTGACTGACAGATGGGGAAACTGAGGCACAGGCTCTCTGTCAGGACCATCCAGCTGGGATTGGGAAGGTCACGGATTTGGCCCCCAGGGTCTGACCCAGGAACACCCACTCACCCTTTCACTCCTGCTGCCCACCGCACAGCCCATGGCCAGTGCGACCAACAGGAAGCACCTTCGCCTGTGCTGCCCGCTGAACGGTGGCCCCCAAGAGAGTCAACCCCTAACTCCTCCTACCCGTGCACTTGACATTTGGAAATAGGGTCTTTGCAGATGTTAAAATGAGGCCTTTAGGGTAGCCCTAATGTAGGGACTGCACAGGACACGCAGGGACACAGGAGAGGCCACGTGAAGGTGCAAAGACTGGGGGGGGGCGATCTGCAGCCCCCAAAACTGGAAGAGGCAAGGAAGGACCCTCCCTGTGGCCCTCAGAGGGAGCCCAGCCCCGCCACACCTTGATTTCTGCCTTCCAGCCACGGAGAGAGCAATTCCTGTTGTGTTTTCTGAGCACCTGTTCGGATGCTTTGCTGCCACAGTAAATCAAAACAGCATTCTCAATGTGATACCGCCCGAAAGGCCTCGACCCCCCCGGCCCTCCCTCCTTCCCACCGCTCAGTGACCCCGGAAGGGTGCAAGGCCCAGGCACGGCTGCCTGCCCACCGGCACCGCTTACGCAGCAACCATTTCTGAAAAAACGGACAAAATACCGCGACCCCCAACCGCAGGTGTAGCCCCTTAATGTCTGGGGCGAATGACTCCGCGGGCGCCCTGTCCTCTTACTCGTGGTGAGGTCAATGCTGTTCTACAAACCGCCGTGCGAGGAGCCGGTGGTTGGGACCCGAGCCCGATGGGACCCGATCGGCCTCCAAGTCGAGGGGGAGGCAGCGCGCCCCGCTTCCCCCCCTGGTGGGCTCTGCCTCGGCCGGTGCCGCGCTGACAGCCACCGTGCGCGGAGGCGGGGGCGTGAGAAACGGGCAGCCCCCAGCGCGAATCCCCGAGGCGGGAGGGCCCTGGGGCTTGAGGGGGCAGCAAGGGACGACGGGTGGCAGGGGGTTTGCGCGGTCGGCGCGTCGCTGGGGATGGCACTGAGCCGGAGGCGGCTGGCGGGCTCGGCAGCGGGCTGGCCGCAGCAGGTGCCCTCCACGCGTCCCCCGCGCGCCCCAGGCGCTTAAAGAGGCGGGAAAAACGCGGAGGCGCGCCGCCGCAGACGGCACAAGCCTTCATTTGCATACGGCGGGCGGGCTCGAGAGCGACGCAGCGCTGCGCCCCCACCGCGCGGCCTCTGATTGGTCGTCGCCGGCGGCGCCGAAGCGTCGTTGACTTGCGCCGAGGTCGTCCAACCACAGCCCGCCTTGCTTGAGAAGGGCGGGTCCAGGAGCCTCGGCCAATGGGAGGTGGCGTTGTTGGCGGCCACGGCGGCGCAGCCCCTGGAGCGAGCGAGGCCACCGCCGCCGCCACTGCCGCAGCCGCAGGAGGCGTGAGAAGCGGACGCGAGGCGCTCGGCCGGGTAACGGCGCGCTGGGACGGCCGGCGGGTGGCCGGGGCAGGATCGCCGGGGGTCGGGGAGGCAGGGCGAGGTCCGGGGCCGCCGGGTGGACAGGCCGCGGCGGCAGGGGCGGGGCGGCGCCCGGGGCGGCGGGAAGGCCGGGGCGGGCGGCGGGGAGGCCGGGCGGGCGGCGGCGGGGAGCGGGCGGACGCGGGTGACTCGCCCCGGAGCGGCCCTGAAGGTCAGATGGCGCTTTGTTCCCGCGCGGGCCGCGCGGTGACTCCGAGGGGAGCGACGGGCGCGCGTCCGCGGGGCCCCTTTGTTTTCGGGGCGCGGGCCGCCCGGCGGGGTGGTGTCTGCGGCGGGGCCGGGAGCGCCTGCGGCTGCGGGAAGTCGCCCTTCGGGACGGGGACAGGGACGGGACACCTCCCCGGCGGACGGCAAAGTTCGGAGCCTCTCGTCCAGCGTCTGTGCGTTTTTACCCGACTTCCCCGGGGCTCGCTTCTGCGAACGTGCTCCGTCCGTGCGAGCGGGGGACCGTGTGGTCGCGATGAGGCGCCGGCGCCCGCGGGTCCAGCGTCCGCGCCAGAGGGCAGCGCGAGGTCGCGGGCCATCTGCGGGGCGGGGGTCCTCGCCGGCCCGCCGCCCTGTCCCCGGCAGCCCCTGCTTCGTCTCGCTGCGGGCGGGCGCGGTGCAGAATGTGCAGGCGGCCGGATGGGAAAGTTCGGAAGTGGTGTGTGAGCCGCCGGCTTCCCGCAGTGGTGTCTGCGCCTCCAGGTGACTAGTACTGGCTGTTGCCACACCGCGGAGGCGCCTCTGACCTCGTGGCACGTGGTAACTCCTTTCATAATAATCCGCTTGGTTGGAAGCTGCTTGGGAAACTCCGGGCCCTGGGAGGTCAGATGCAGCGGCTCGTGCGAGGTGACAGCGGGGCTTGACGCGGCGTTCCCGCGGCGGGGGGCGGGGGGCGGAGAAGTTTAAGGAGGAGCGGCGTTTTCGGGCCTGCAGGAGCCCGGCCGCAGTCCGCTCGGTGCGGGGTTGAGCTGGTTGACCGTGTCCAGCGCGGCTTCTGGGGCTGACGCCGGCCGAAGGCTTCCGCTGCTGGGGCCCGCACTCCACTGCGGGCTGCCCTGCGCGGCGCCGGTGCGCCCGGCAGAGTGCGGGCGCGACGCGAAGGCGGGCGGCCGCTGAGCGGCGTCCGTCCGCCGGGACGAACCGGGACCGTCTCTCGCGGTGCTTCCCCTGCTAAGGCGCGGCCCCCCCCGGGGGGGGGGGATCCCCGGAACGTGTATTTTCTCAATTTACTAGTTGCTTTTTTACTTGTATGGGGAGAAGGAATTTTTTTCTTTCCTCTTTTGAAGTGAAGGATTCTGTTTCTTCCGAGATTGCAAAGGATCGATTGAAGGGAAGACTTTTTTGGTCAGTAGACATACTGTTCCAGAAGTTACTTTCTTACAAGGTCATGGTGGCAAAAGGGACTCGTTTTAGGGACGACGTAGGTATGGGGGTTGTAACCTTCCCAGATTTACTTAGGGACATTCAGGCATAGGATTGAGGATTTTAAGGTCTCTCTTCCTGGTTTGATGAAAATAATTGTTCTGAAGATAGTTCTTTGTGTAAAACGGTAGTTACTTCAGCAATACGGTGCCGTCTTAAATACCTGTTATTGCACATACGATCTGCAGCCTTTTTTCCTTGTTTACCAGTGATTCTGATTCAGGATGTGTGCGGTTATCTGTGTCTCTGTATCAGAAAGTAACATCTAAACACGTCTGTGAATGTTGCATTGTTTTTCAGAACAAATACCAGACGGTGGTTGGAGAGATTGAGTTCTTTGTAATAGCAGCGTCAGTCATCTCAGTTCGGATGGTGTCCCGGACTCAATTGTGGGAAGATGACCTCTAGCGTTACTGTCTTCTAAATGTGTAAGGGCGTTTTTTAGTTTCGTGACTTGGCCGTTAGATTGGTAGATGCTGTGGTATTTTGAGCTTGGAGGTTTTTATCTATAGGAGATAGCTGATGGTTTTACAGAGATGAAGTGCTGGCGTTGGGGTGTGCTCATCAGCACGTTACAGCCTGTGAACTGTACTCGAGTCTTTAATTACGGTGTTTCGGTTAGCGCGTCAGGGTTTTAACAGCCTCTGGATGCTGAGAGCAGATCAGTTTCCCGTACGTGCAGTTCTGACCAGCGAGTGGAGGGGCCGAGAGCTTCAACGTCTTTCTGATTTTGAGCGGTCAGTGGCTGCTGGTATCAGGAGGAGGTGACCTCAAATAGTAATGTGTAAGCGGCTTAAGAGAGTTCACAGTTACTTACTTTCAGATTTTTTTTTTCTTTCTGTTCGTTGTCCATAGTTTTTAAATGTTTCAAAACTTTTCTGGGGCACCTGGGTGGCTCAGTTGGTTAAGCATTCAACTCTTGATTTCGGCTCAGGTCATGATCTCATGATTTGCGAGATTGAGCCCCACATTGGGCTCCAGGCTCGTTGCTGGGCATGGAGCTTGCTTAAGAGTCTGTCTCTCTCTGTCTCTCTCTCTCTCTCCCCCTCCCCCTCCCCCCACCTCTCTCTCTCTTTCTTTCTTTCTTAAAAATAAAATTAAAAAAAAAAAAAAACTTTCATAAGCTTATATTGTCCTGCCAGAAGTTTTGTCAGAGAACCTAACTGTCCTGCCTGTGTTTTGGGACAGTAGTGTAGTATCCGTGGGCAGGAGGGTGACTTCAGTTCCCAAAGGCCTAGGAGCTGTCAGCTATGTGAAACAGGCAAACCCCAGAGAGCTCCGAACCAACACCAGCGAAGGCCCAGGTCTGATCCGAGGCAGCAGTGAGGGGCTTGGGGGGAGTTTGGTCTGGAATTGCTGTCTGACAGGTGCTTACTTGTGGGAAATACATCGAGGCATCCACGGGAGAGGCCGGTGGTTACCTAGCTTGTCTCTCCTCCACTGGGAGGTGTTCGAGGTGGTCGGCGCAGCGCCCACGCAGGAAGGCCTTGCCATCTGGCCACCGCATACTTGGCGCCGTCTCTCCTGGTTTAGCAGGGGCTTGCCTCCCGCACGCTGGAGTGGGAGACTCTAACCAGTGGGTAGTGAAGAGTTCTGTGTTCAGCTGCTAGGTGGTTGTTAAGTAGATACTTGATGACATAGATTTGTCTTCATTCGACAGCCACTGGGTTCTCCCTTGCCCTCTTCAGAGAAGGTGGGGCTGCTTTACTTTGGCACTGAATTTTAAAATTCATGAGTATTTAGTAACAGGAGACGTATTTGTGTAGTCAGAAAACTTGTACAGGAGATCAGTTTGTGATCTCTACCTTCTGATCATGACCGCTCACTGTGTAGCCTTAAATTTCCTCTTAGCAGTGCACCCTGTCTGCTGTTGAAAGTAGATGTGCTTCTCTTCTGGGTTCATGACTTCTCTTTTCTTTTCTTTTCTTTTCCTTTCTTTTCCTTTCTTTTCTTTTCTGTGTGTGTACTGTGCATTTTAATATTCAAAAAGCCTGTTTCAAACAAGATGGGGCGATTTCAAGTGAATAGTCATGTGGTAGAGAGATCGACTGTACAGTCAGATATTTACGTACAAAGAAAGGTTATAAGAATGAAGCTGTAAATTCTACCTTAAGACATTGTATGTGTCAGGGCACCCAGGGGCCTCAGTCGGTTAAGCGTCCAATTTCGGCTCAGATCCTGATCACATAGTTAATGAGTTCAAGCCCCGCACCAGGCTCTCTGCTGTCAGCACAGAGCCTGCTTCAGATCCTCTGTCCCCCTCTGTCTGCCCCTCCTCTGTTCTCTCGCTCTCAAAACTAAACAGACATTAAAAAAAATTAAAACATCTTGTGTATAGGAAAATAGCTTTCAATGCTTTGTATCCATCCATTCATTCGTGAGCCTCTTCTGTGTGCTAAACACAGTCCTAGATACCGGGGCATCGCACCGAACAAAACGGGGGCCTTGCCTTCATGTGCTTCTGTGGTGGGGGACAGATAAACGAGTTAGGTGGTGGTAGGTGCTTTTGAGAAGAAAAGTAGAAAAGGAGTGGGGACTTGAGTGGGATTTGTACGTAGGGTGGAAAGGGGAGACCTTACTTACAAAGTGACTAGACTTTTAAATACTGGTTTAAGGAAAACTTTGAAATGTTTGCCTTGTTTAGTCCTCTGCTAACGACTTGCAGAGAAGAGAGAGCAGGAGAGGAAATTGGAGCTCTAGTAATGAAGAAGCATTTTGCCCTGAGTAAAAATAGAGTCTTTGGTTAAGGAAAGGAAGTAAGTTTTTTACTTTCTTCCTGAAAACTGAGGGCTTGGTTTCTAGCAAGTTGTTGAGGAGATGGTCCACTGCTGTCTGGTGGCAGTTAGAGCTCATGGGCCAGCCTCACTTCCTGTGTCTTCACGCACTCCCCGAGGCCACGAGGCCCGGATGGCTCATGGCTCGGCGCTGGCGCAGGTAGCACAGGGGTGGGCGAGTGGAGCAGAGAGTGCTGGGCGCAGGCTCCTACCAGGTTCCCTGCTGGGTCCCAGGATTGCTGCCTTGAGCAAGGAGACCGGTCCCTGCCCTCCTGGCACTTGATCTTCAGCGGAAAGACAAACATGCATTGTTCATCCATTCTTTTAAAACAAACAAACAAAAAGTAATAAAAAGTTTCAAACACGTGCAAACATAATGACCCCCATATCTAACCCCCAGCTGTGGTAATGAACTGTTGCCAGTCTTTGTTCATCTGTAAACCTATACAGGTGATTTTGTAATTAAAGGTTTTTACAAATGCCCAAGGGAAAGGAAGAAGATATATAGTAGATTATCAATCATGTGTGATTGAAATCAGTTTGAACCTTATTTCAAGGCCATCTTTATGAGTTTAGGACCTGGGCACACCTTTTTCTTTTTCCTTTTCCTTTTTTTTTTTTTTCTTCTTTTTCTTTTTCATTTTCTTTGGCTAAGAGTACAAGCATAAATGAATGGTTTACTGAGTTAACACGGACATTTTCTATTAGTTGGGAGCCGTATTAAGTTATTTGGTTGTTTGCCTGAGGCATGTTTTCAGTTCACCTGCTTGCATATTGAATCCCATTCCCTTACCTTCCAATGGTAAGGAATGCAGTGACAGACTGGATAAAAAACCAGGGCAATATGAATGAGGTCTGGGCTACCCCAGGGCTTCCTCTGTCGGCCGGGTTTTGTGGGGGGAGACACAGGGGTTTCTTGCAGCGGTATCCTGATTCCTTCTCAGACCAGATGGTTCCATTGTCCTTCCTGATGCAGTCTCAAGCCAGAACGTGCCTGGCCCTGTGCCCCGGGGCTGATCAGCCTCCAGCCCAGCTTGATAGGGTAGGGTCACCATCCCTTAGGCTTATGGGGCCTGTGTGATTAATAAGAATTATAGGTTAGAATGAAATTCTAAAGTCTTAAAGCATTGGCTACATTTAACTTAATTTTAGTCATTCACTTATTTCATGGGAGGATATTGAGGCTCTTTGACATGCTTTAAGATAGATAAAGTGTAAACATTTTGGTTATGTTGGGGCGCCTGGGTGGCTCAGTTGGTTACGTGTCCGACTTTGGCTCAGGTCATGATCTCCCAGTTCGTGGGTTTGAGCCCTGCAGTGGGCTCTGTGCTGACAGCCAGCTCAGAGCCTGGAGGGTGCTTTGGATTCTGTGTCTCCCTCTCTGTCTCTGCCATTCCCCTACTCGTGCTCTGTTTTTCTCTCAAAAAATAAATAAACATTAAAAAAATAAAAGAAGTACTCTTTGGAGGAGGCAGAATTTGAATGAAGAGAAGCTAGATGCCCAGAGTTGCCTCAGATCTCTGTGTTTAGAAACTGGGAACTCGAGACAAAAATGGTCTTCTTGGGGGCACCTGGGGGGCTCAGTCGGTTGAGTGTCCGACTTCAGCTCAGGTCATGATCTCGTGATTTAAGCCCTGCGTCGGGCTCTGTGCTGACCGCTCAGAGCCTGGAGCTGCTTCAGATTCTGTGTCTCCTGCTCTCTCTGCCCCTCCCCTGCTCATGCTGTGTCTCTCAATAATAAATAAATGTTAAATTTTTTTTAAAAAAATTCTGGTTGTGTGAAAGGTGACCATATTCCCCAGCTTACTCCTTTGTGTCTCAAAAGTGACCCATTTGACGTTAGTATGATTATTCTAGCTATAGATGAAGTGTTTTAAAAATTAGGAATGTGGGACACCTGGGTGGCTCAGTCAAGTGCCCACCCTTTGATATCAGCTCAGGTCATGATCTCTCAGTTCATGAGAGATTGAGCCTTGTGGGCTCTGCGCTGACACCACGGAGCCCAATTGGAGTCGTCTCTCCCCTTCTCTCTCTGCTCCACCCCTGCTTGCTCTTTTTCTCAAAATAGATGATAAAGATAAACATAAAAAAAGAAACAAAAGAAGTACACTTTGCTTCATACTATGAGTTCTCATTCTAATGAGAGAGTAATTGAGTGGGGGCAGAACAAGACATCACCATTAAAGAAAATATAGGAATTTAGTTATAGTGGATAATTTGCCACAAAAACTAAGAATTTTTTCCCCCTGAAAACAATTTTTTTGTTGGGGTTAAAAGTCCATAAACAAGATTGTGAGGTATCTTACATAAATAAAAGCAAAACATTCATTTGTATAGTCATAGGAATTTGCATGCCCATCCAAATTTAGAATCTTAGACTCAGGTAAAGTTTTTAGCCCTAGGAGGGATTTGAACTGCTATATTCTTTTGAAGTTTTAGAATATTCTTTTGCCTTGGGACCCATTCGTATTTTACTGTGATGGCCTTTCACATGGGGTTGAAGAGTCTCCAAATGAGGCTCAAGACCACGATTTTGGTGTTAGACCAACATTTAAAACAAATGGGTATTGGGGTGCCTGGGGGTCTCAGTCGGTTAAGCGTCTGACTTCAGCTCAGGTCTCGTGGTTTGTGGGTTTGAGCCCCGCATCGAGCTCTGTGCTGACAGCTCAGAACCTGGAGCCTGTTTCAGATTCTATGTCTCCCTCTCTCTCTGCCCCTCCCCTGCTCATGCTGTCTCTCTCTCTCTCTCTCTCAGAAATAAATGAAACATTAAATAAAACAAATGGGTATTTCTCAAACCTGCAAATTTGGTAGTTCCTTCTGACTTTTTTTTTAATAAGCATTTTATCTATTTTTGAGAGACAGCACAAGTGAGGGAGGGGCAGAGAGAGAAGGGTATACAGACTCGGAAGCAGAGGCTCCAGGCTCCAAGCTGTCAGTGCAGAACCCAGTCTGGGGCTCAACCCCACCAACTGTGAGATCGTGACCTGATCTGAAGTCAAGCGCTTAAGTGACTTGAGCCATCCAGGCGCCTTATGACTTTGTATTTTAACTAGTTGGGATTGCTAAATAAAAGTAAGTCATTTATGGCAATGAAAACTGACAAGTGGAACTCTAGCTCATTTATGTCACCAACTCTAGATTATTTTTCCTTACGTGAAGGGAAAATGTTGAGAATCCCTTGATTTGTTGGTCTGTCAAAGCAGTAGGGGACCTGTAAGCACGTCGCTGTTGTAAATGCTGAGGGGGACCCGACGGCCACACGCTGGGCGCTGCGCGTGCGCGCAGTTCCGTCCTCTTGACAGCCTCTCGGTCAGCACCGTCTAGGTTGTGGGAGTTGAAACCCAGCTTACGCAGCTAGGAGACGGTAGGGCTAGGGCTCAGAGCCACGTTATTGTGTACCTGCGGTGTTCTGTATGTTGAGTTCTGGCGTTACTGTTGTTTCGTCTTCAACAGTAGTCTTTCCCGTTGTTTAAACTCATCATTTTGTTTTCCTTGATTTAACACTTTGTGTGTGTGTGTGTGTGTGTGTTTGTGCGCGCGCGCGCGCGCAAGTGTTGTGTTGGGTTTAACATAACTGCTTTGTCATCTTGTTACCCAGAAATAGCATTAAATAGCACATGGCTTCACGTAGTTGAAATTAAGTGGATCATTGCATCACAGGAATCTGTGAATTTGAAGTGGTGTTGTTCCTTAGAAAAGGTGAAGCTCTTTGGCCTGTGTCCTACAAGAGGGCATATAACCACTCATCAGTTACATCTTGTGCTAGACGCTGTTCAGGGCCCTGGGACCACAGAGTGAGCAGCACAGGAGTGTTTTTACTCTCCCATTGCTAGAGCGTTGTTTCTTGGGAATGCTGCTGCACCGCTGGACTGTGATTCTGACTCTGAGCCAGCTGCTCATTGTCCTCTCTTCCAGCAGCAACAGTAATCTTGAGTTGAGCAGGTAGAAGTGTCAGCAGGAAGTGAATTCGTCGGTGGTAGGGAAAGTTCAGTAGGGTTTAGATTTCACATACGGAAAGGTTTTACCCTAAAATGGAACCAAAGGAAATGAAATGGAGAATCTCATACACACGGTCTCAGAAAAAATCAGACGTAAAGACTGAGACTGATTTCCCACAAACTCTGGATTTCCAGAAGATCAAAACTCATTCTACAACCAGTCAGTGTCTGCCAAGAATCTCTCAAATGTGAAATTTTCAAGCCAGTGAAATTACCACATGACGCTTTACCTGGATTTCCCCTTTTGTACTCTGCCCATGAAAGCAGCCTGCCCTAAACCTTTCATGGCCTCCTCTGCAGCTCACTGCAGTCTGCGTGTCCTGAATTGCAGCTCCTCTGCTGTCCCCGAATAAACTCAGTGTCTGCTGTCTTGAGCTTGCCCTCCTCTCTTTTAGGGTCACACTGCATGGTGTCAGAAGTGGGATCTGAAGGAGCCAGCCGCGGGGGAACTACAACTCCTGGGATCGAGCGAGGTACCCACATTTGAGCCCTTTGTGCTCTTTGCTTCCGCGAGTTACCGTAACTTTCTGTTGGTGAGTCTCCTCCAATATCAAGCTCCCTTCTTGTGGCTGAACTCTCAGGCTTTATTCAGAACTTGTCAGTACTCTTGTTCGTAACCTGATAATGGGATCCCAGTGATCTAAATGTTCTAAGAGTGGCCCCCTTTCAGGAACCCTGGCCACTTTTATGTTAAAAAATAATGGTCCTTTCTCATGCCTATTTTTGACTGTATGGACCATTGTTACTAAGAAAGGTAACCTAGAGCTCTGACGGCCATTCTGGGAAACCTTTCATCTCTTCAGACTTGTTTTTCTCCCAACCTAGTTAGAAGACCAGGCTACAAAATTAAATAGTCCAAATGGGATAGTTATTTTCGTTGGTATCTGGAGGTTTCTAAACATGTTCAGGATTCTAAAATTGCGTCTTTACAAAATATTGTTTCCAAAGTGACTAAAGCAAATAAACAGCTAAAGGTGGATAAAAATAAAGTGTTAGCGGCTTCTTTCTTGGTGCTGGCCAAGGTTCCCTCCTGCCCCCGCCCCACTGCCCCGCCTCCTTCCACATCCCGCTTTGCCTCATCACCCCTCCCCTCTCTCTGAACTTATATTCTTTCCTGTCACTGAAACCTCACCAGCCAAACCCATTAAAACCTCTCCTTTCAAAAGTAAACTTTCTGAGGATGCTGCTAAACCACCCCAGATGTCCTGTACCCATGCACAAAAAGCTTAGTGTAGGGCTATAATTAAGCCTATAATTAAGGTCTTTCCCAGGGTGACTGAGGATCTTCATAGATTGGTGGAGGACTTCACCAGCCTGGTCTGTGGTCTCTGTCCGTCGGTCTACATGCCTGTTGGGGAAGGTCGAGCCCAGTGCTGGAAGCGTGCTGCCAGCTGGAAAACCCATGAACAGTCTCTAGGGTTTAAACTAGACCAGCCGCCAGCGCTTTCACGTGACGAAGCATGCCGTGTGGCCACGAGGCTACACGGAGTCCTCCCTGGGGCTAGCTCGTGGACTAGAATAGGATTCAGAAAGGCGCTGGATCTGTCCATGACTGTTACGTGACTGTCTGTGACTCCAAGCTGTTTTCAAGGAAATGCCAGGCTGCCCACAGATGTGGAGCCCACCAGGCGGGGGGGGGGGGGGGGGGGGTGGTGGTTCCGTTTATAATGGGACTAAGCGAGGGCTTAAAGGGTGCAGGATGGGCGTGGGGCCTGCCGTAGACCGAGGCTCCATAGCCGATGTGACCTCCAGGGCCACGTCCGTCTTGTCGACGGTCTGCCCACTGGAGGAAGGGTTGTAGCCCCCAGGAGCAGTGGCCACAGCTGCCCCAGTGATGGGACTGCGGACCCGCGGGGATTGCTCCCCAGCCTTGTGGGCCGGGAATTAAATCAGATGGGAAGACCGCTTTCCAGCTTGGGGACAGATTTTCTCACTCTGTCAGTTAACACAGGAACTGCTCTGTCGGGGCTCAACCCCAAATTAAACTGTCCCTTCCTTGGAGTAATAACGTGTGTTCAGAAAGTGGGGCTCTCAGGTAACTACAGCATGTTCCTATTTCTCAGCCCGCATCCTTTCATCCGGGACCTTTGCAAGACAACCAGCCGTTTCTTCTCTGTGATTTAGCTCCTGCACATTGGTCTAGGATGCAATTTCCTGGAGATTACACACCGCATTTTTTCTTTCCCAAAGGGTAAATAGTCCTCGAGTTCAAATCCAGTACTCAGGAAAACTCAATGCCCTTTATTGCATGCCACAAACCAAGGATGACCAAACTTTGGTCTACATCCCCTGGTACCCCCACTCTTTGGGCAAACTCCTCAACAGACAGAGGTAGAATTCATAATGCTCCTCCCTTTAATAATCCAGATTAACCTCTCAAAACCTCTTCTAAGAATAAATCAATGTCCTATAAATAATTAAGAGGCCTGGGGTGCCTGGGTGGCTCAGTTGGTTAAGCATCTGACTTTGGCTCAGGTCAGGATCTTGCAGTTTGTAGGTTTGAGCCCCACATCTGTGCTGACAATTCAGAGCCTGGAGCCTGCTTCAAATTCTGTCGCTCCCCCCCTCTCTCAAAAATAAACATTACGGTTATAAGGGGCCTTACCAGGGTGTAAAGTTTATCATAAAAGATTATAAGAATTCATTATCCTTTGTACCAGTCCTTGTAATATCCCTGTTTTACCCATAAAAACCCCACTGGCCGATGATGGAGATTTGTCCGGCATGTTAAGGCAATAAACACTAGTCCTTTACCCTGTTGTCTCTAATCTGTGCACACTATTGGTCACAAGTGGATTCCAAACTTTTTTTTAAATGTTTATTTTTGAGAGAGAGTGGGGGAGGGGTGGAGAGAGGGGGGGGACAGAGGATTTGAAGCAGGCTCTGCGCCGACAGCAGAGAGCCTGATGTGGGGCTCGAACTCATGAACCTTGAGATCATGACCTGAGCTGAAGTCAGACACTTACCTGATTGAGCCCCCCAGGCGCCCCTGGATTCCAGGCTTCTTGATGGTCCCTTTATGCCGTACTGGGGAACACCCAGCCTGGTCCCGTTGTGCGGGACGGCCGGTGGAACTTCTTTAAAATTTTGAAGGAAGCTAATAAGTCTGCCTACACTTGGACACCCAAATTACCAGCTACCCTTTCTTGCTGTATGTGAGAGGGAAGGGGATGCCCTCGGGCTCCTTACCCCAGACCTGGGGCTGTCACAGACTCCTGGGCTCCTGTAGCCAGCAATTCGGTCCACGTCCTGTGGGCGTCCCCACGGCCTCAGAGCTCTGCCGCCACCTTTCCTTGCAGAGGCTCCTGCAGAGGTGGTCAGGGCTCTTCTCCACTCGTTATGCTCCAGGGCTGTTGAGGCTCCTGCGTTCACAGCGCGCTCAGTGCCCTGCAGCAAGCTCTTCCGTCCTGTGGAACCCTCTTAGTGACCGCCCCTCGTGTCACTCCTGTTCGCCAGAACCGTCTCAACCCTGCTTCCCCGTTAAACCCCCCCGACTCTGACTTGCACGGGTCACCTGTGGACGCCTTGAGAGGTGTTACAAGAAGCTCCTTTGCCAAACAGGGATCTTTCCTGGCTAACTGATGACTCTTACCTAAGCGGTGAACACACTGTATTCTGTGCTGGGTGTGTGGTAACAATTTTGACGCCGTTAAGACTGCACCTCTACCCTTTCGCTCTTTGAGCTAAACAGGCTGAATCACATGCCTTCACTTGAGCATGCGTATTATAGCCGAAAGCAGGACAGGAATCGTTGGTACTGATGCCCAACATGCCTTGGGAGTGGCCCATGACCTTGGGATGTTAGGGAAGCAACAGGGCTTCCTCACTTCCAGTGGAGGTGAAGAACGGCTCTTATTCCAGTGAGGAAATGGACGAAAGACACGAACAGACACCTCTCCAAAGAAGACGTCCAGATGGCCAGCAGACACATGAAAAGATGCTCAACATCACTCATCATCAGGGAGCTGCAAATCAAAACCGCAATGAGATACCACCTCGCAGCCGTCAGAATGGCCGAGACACTTAACAACTCAGGCAACGACACATGGCGGCGAGGATGCGGAGGAAGAGGCTCTTCTGCGCTGCTGGTGGGAATGCGAACTGGTGCGGCCGCTCTGGAAAACAGTGTGGAGGTTCCTCAAAAAATTAAAAAGAGAACTGCCCTGTGACCCAGCAACTGCACTACTAGGTATTTATCCAAGGGATTCAGGAGCGCTGTTTCGAAGGGGCACGTGCACCCCAATGTTTATGGCAGCGCTATCGACAGTTGCCGAAATATGGGAAGAGCCCAGATGTCTATTGACGGATGAATGGATAAAGAGGATGTGGTATATATTTGTACAATGGAGTATTACCCGGTGATCAAAAAGAATGAAATCCTGCCGTTGCAGCACCGTGGATGAAACTAGAGAGTATTCTGCTAAGTGAAATTAGAGAAAGGCAAATGTCATATGATTTCACTTATATGTGGAATTTAAGATGCAAAACAGATGAACATAGGAGAAGGGAAGCAAAAATAACATAAAAACAGGGAGGAGGACAAGACGAGATTCTTAAATATGAAGAACAAACAGGATTGCTGGAGGGGTTGTGGGGCGGGGAGGGTGAGTGGGGGAGGGGCATTAAGGAGGACACTTGTTGGGATGAGCACTGGGTGTTATACGTAGGGGTTGACTCAATGGATTCTACTCCTGAAATCATTGTTGTGCTATACGCTAACTAACTTAGACATAAAAAAAAAAAAAAGAATGACTCATCTGTCCAAAATCTGTTGGCCGCCATACTGCCGTCAGTAGCTCTGGCTGATGCTGGGTGTTGCAAGTCTGAATCACTGGAAGCCAAAGGAATCTACCTCACTGATGCCCCTGTGAGAAGTGCCACCATCCTGAGCTCCGCTGACCAAACCTCTGTCGTGGCGTGGAAGGTGAGCCCCCGTGGGGACTTCAGGTGTGAAGCAGGGAAGTACAACAGCCGGCCTCTGAAAGGGAAAAGCAGAGTTGGAAATTTAAAGGCTGTGGGTACCACAAAGAAAAGGGACTCTGGTTTGGACCCAATAATAAGCTGATCCTTCTAGAAAGTCTAAAGTTTTCCTTTTTGAGCCCTGTGCCTGACTTAACCATTGGTCCCCTGAGAAATGTCACATCTGTGGATCACCATTGGTGGGAGACACCAGCAGGGCCACAGAAAGTGCTGTCTTGCGTGTCCCACCCTGTCCCAACTGAGTTCAGCCCAGGGAAGCCTGTCAGAACCGCCCCAGGAAGTGTGGTTTACCCGATGGACCATTCAGGGCCTGGTAGATGAGTCCTGCACTTGCCCCACCTCACGGGTACGAACATGTTCAAGCGATACTTCCATTTTTTCACATTGGACTGAAGCGTTTCCATGTGGAAAAGCAACCGCCTCTCCTGTAGCTAAACAGTCCTTTTACCAAAGGTTATTCCTGCTTGGGGAGCACCGTGGTGGCCAGGGGACCCACGTCACTGGACAGGCTCTTGGACAAGTCTGTGCCACTGGCCGGTTCTACAGTATTTATTTCCACTGTTTGTCCTGCAGCACTGGTCCAGCTTCTAGAAGAACGATCCAGTTTGCTAACTTCGTCGAAGCCCTCCAAATAACCTTGGCCCAGAGTACTGCTGTTGGGTCTTCTAAATCTTAGGTCTACTCCGTCCCATGTTTATAAACTCTCACCTTTTGAAGTAATCACGGGACAGATCGTGCATTTAGCTTCTGCTTCCTTTGACCCACGAGTGAAGAAAGGGCATATACTTTAGTCTTGTAAGCGTTAATTAAATCCACCAGGAATCATCGTGCTTGTGGTAGAACAATCTTTCCACAGCAAGCTCCCAAGAGACAAAAGATGTCAGACGTCACAGTGAACGGCCAGGTGAATTCATCTGCTAGAAAAGGCCTCTCCGGAAAGATCCACTCCAGCCTCGATGGAAGGGCGCCTTCCAGGTGTTACCAACGCACCCTTGTGCCGCCATGGTCCTGGGGTCACATGTGCCGTCTTCAAAAGCCCGAGTGGACCTGCACCCCAACCGGTGACCTAAAGCTGAACATTTTCAAGGACTGAAGCACACGACGCTGGAGGTGGACAGCCTTCCTGGGACCCTCGGGCCACGCTTGCAGAGCTGCCCCGTTCCCGGCCTTCTGTGTCGGTCAGCAGCCCACACCGGCCTCAGGTTGCGGTTGTCTTTGCGCTGGCCTACTTGCCACCCCTCCTTGGCTGGAACACATTCCTTTGTTCTCACCTGACAGAAACTCTTTGATCTCACCAGCCTCTGATTGTTGGGTTTGCAGCGGGGCGAACACTGGTGACAAACCTGAATGTGGCGTGGCCGTTTTCCATAGGATGACAGTAGCTTTCTCGCACAGGTGCAGGGCGTGCTGCGGGCACCTGTGGGGCTGTCCACACTCTCCCTTCTGGCAAGTTGGCACCAGACATCACAGCATTCCCTTGGGTGCCCCTCACCTGTAAAGGAATACCCTTCACTCAAGGCCGTGTGTTTACCCAAGACTTTTCTCTGTGTTTCACAAACAGTAACGGGACTGGCAGAACTTGAGGCCGCCTCCCGGTACCCGCTTGAGACTGTGCAGCGGCGCGTGACCCAGAGGACTGTGGGTACCTTCCCCACTGGAATCTGGGAGACTCTAAGGTCTTCTCCATTAGTGCGTCTCGGGGGCGGGGGAGAGTACTGGACAACATGAGGGTGCTGGGAGTGGGAGGCTGACCTGTGTCCTTTCAGTGGGACCTCATGGGGAACTGATCAAAAATCTAGGGAATGGTGGGAACTTAATTGAGCGTACCTTCTCCCTGGGAGACCCCCAGACCTCCGTCGGAGCCTCACCCACAGCCGTCACATCGCTTGTTAACCCACACGCTCTCTAGCTTAAGGCACTCCCCTGACCGTTCCCGCGGCGCTAAGCAGTCACCACGGGTTCTGTGTAGTGATCGTGTTTCTTGATCATGAGGTCTCAGTTTTCATTCCGGGGAACAATACCTAGCAGTAGGGTCTGCCTAGTGCCCCGTCTTCAGAAAACACTAGTATTTCTTTCTATGTGGCAGAAACCTCTCTATATTCCACCCGCCTCCTGGAAGGGGTGCTAGGGGCATCATTCCCCCCCCGTTCGGGGCTCAGGAACACCCCCTGCCTCCCGCTCCTGTCCAGTCTGGGGTCTTTTCGTGTGTTTTCTTTTCTTTCTCCCCTGCTGTCTCAAAAGAGCACATGGTAACAGGGATGGATAGAGTTTGGGGTGCGTGCCCACGAGTCCCCAGTAGCAGACGGAGAGGGATTTGGATGTGCCTGGCTGAGCCTCTCTCCCGGGTTGCCGCAGCAGAACTTACAGAGGCAGTTCAGAATCGTGCTCGTGGCACTGCCTTTACTGCTCCTGGTAGTGATTCTGAACGTCAGCAACCCCGACAGACAGTCACAGAGGGTGGTCCTGGACCGTCCCCTGTAGCAGGGAGCAGCCGGGGCCCTGCTGGGGAAGAACGCTGCTCTTATGTTAACACGCTGGGGGGAATATGGCTCAGCACTGCACATAATGCAGTGTAATATCAGACTGTGAACTACAATAAGCCAGGCCCTGGGGACCTGGGACATTTTCAGCTTAATAAATAATGGGCAGCGGGAGAAACTGGTTGAGGAGGTTTTCCACCCAGTAGCCGTAATTGGACTTCAGGCCCTGGGTATGACGCTCCCAGTTAAGTGTGCTGTCCTGTATCGGGCAGAGGCCTTCCTCCCGGCCGTGGGTACAAACCGGAGCTCTCTTCCTTTCCATGACTTAGCCTGCAGCTCACCTGGGAGGAACATGGCTGAGATTCCCCGTCTCTTGAACATTACTCGAGTGAGGCCTAGTGTCCTCTTGCCGTGTCCCTCTTCTGAGGACAGACCTTGTGGATGGTCCTCCTCGGGTCTGATGGGCCCCCTCCACTCACGCCTGAGGACATCTGTGACTTAGCAAGTCACCCACACGGATCGGTTGTCCGCGTAGCCTTTGGTGGGAGAAGGCGGCCATGGGGATGTCCGACAGCGTAAGACGGGAGCAAAGGCTGTGACATGGAGAGTGTCGCACGTGCGTCCTCAGGAGAATGGCGGACCCAAGTCAGGCTGGCTTCCTGTAGACGTGGGATTCACAGACCACGCAGACGGCCGCCCGCCAGCGAGTGTGTACCAGGAGGCCCTCCCCATATGGGAGCCGCCGAGTGTGCTGCGTGGCTCCCGACTCAATTGTCCTTTTTTTCCTCAGCCCGTAAAAGGAGGCGCCCTAGACCTTCAGCAGACTCCCCTGTAGCTCTTGAATTACAGTTCCTCCACTTTTCCCAGGCAGGCTCTCTTTCTGGTTCTGGAACTTGCCTCGGTTTATCTCCCTTCTTTTAGGTTGACAAATCCAAGTCCGCGTCCTACCGGCGGGGGACTTCAGGTCGGCTGGTTCACGTTTCCCAGCCTCCGTGTCCTCCCACACGCTGGGGAGCTCGCCCCCTGGCAGAGCTGGTGCGGGCGTAACATGTAGGAAAGCGCCTGTCAATGTGGGGCCCCCGCTAAGGTACGAGGTGTTAGGATCAGGTCGGGTGTTACTGATCAGAGTACGAACTGGAGCCCGTCCCCAGGCTGGCGGTGCTGCTTCTGGAGAGCGAGCCCCTCCCAGCGCTTAGTGTGCATGTGGCCTGTGTGGGGTGCCAGTGGGGTGCCTGCCACATGGTGGGGCCAAGGTGTGTTCAGTGTCTGTGCAGAAGCAGCTTGGCGGGAGATGTGGGTGTCCGTTCATACACTTTAACCCAGAAGTCCTGCTGTCGCTGGATAAGTAAAGAATCGGGGCCCTGGGCAGTCACACAAGCGAGAACATTCAGATAGACGTGAGCAAAGGCGTGTCATAGGGAAACCGTCAGGACTCCGCAGCTGGCACCTGGTAGCCGGGCACGTCAGCTCTTAGGATCTGGTCATTAGATGTAATCTTAGGATCTGCACTGTCCCCTGGTCTGCACATCAAGTATGTGGGAGCGCGGAATGCAAGCTCGGGCCCTGCACACACGCCCGTGTCCCCGGAGTGAGCTGCTGGGAAGCAGGGGCGCCGGGGACGGCCAGGAAGGGCGGGGTTCACGGTTCTCTGGAGTGACCGTGGGCTCCACGGAAGATGGTGGGGACCATGGAAGGGTCTTTAAAACTCACTAACGTGTGGGGACTGTGAGGCGGGGGGCGGCTGTGGCCGGTCCCTGAGGCACGTGTTGAATTCCTTCTGCTTTGCATTTGCAGAACCAAAATCACCTAAGAAAAACACAGTTGAGTTCAATGCAGAACACTTGTAGATCATAAATTGCACATGTTTTTCTTCCATACAAAGTGTTTTGTTGCTGTTTTGTTTTATCCTGAAGCGTTGTGACTGCGGCGCTCGGGCTTTGCTCTAGTTCGTGAGAGTAAAACACAGCCAGGTGGGCAGCTAACCCGTGTGCAACCCTCCGCCCCCTCCCTCAGCTCTGAAGTGTGTTAACTGTGTCTGAGATTAAGGAGTGTCACCACCTCTTTTTAGCTGTGCATATAAGGGTTTTGAAATTTTATCAGTACCGAGTTCTTTTTAAGGAGTAACATCCTGGAACCCAGCTTTAATATTTATGGGTAGAAAGTCACCTGATTTGAAGATAATTCTCTGTTATATGTGTCTTCTGAAAGTGGGATGGGACTGAGGACGTCCTGTCCTGTGTTTACGCAGGCAGCACCACCCGCGGCGCGGGAGTCCTGGGACACGGGAATTAGGCAAGGTTGAAGTGTCTTCCTGTGATCTAGAGCGTGCGAGACCGTCTAAACACCAGCAGGTGCTTTGACTGGTTCCAGAATACTTGGCTTAGCATAACTACACGTCCTTCTTGCCAAAGCTTAATATTGAGAAAAGGCAAATGAGAATTGATCAGTCTTCCTCCGAAGTCTGGTCATTGTAGCACCAAAAAGAATTTTTTTGTGAGTGAAATGTGCACACACTGAAACGCACAGATCTAAGTGTATGACGCGGTGAGTGTGACAAGTTGTCTCTATCTAAGAAACCAACACCCTGTTCAAGATCTAGGACATTTCCATCCCCCCAGAAAGTTCCCTCCTGGTAGACCCTCCCTCACATAGGCGGCCGCTATGACGGACACACTGGAAAGTTCTCTGTGAATGTTTAATGTTAATTGTAACAACTCTTTTTCAATTCATAGGCGGTCAGAGTGCTCTGATGGCAGATAACAGGTAAGCCGAGACGACTTTGCAGGCTGTCAGGGTTAGGTGGCGCACGAGTCAGGCCGCCGGCCGAGAGCAGCGGCAGCCCTGGCTCTGGCTGATGGCTCTTCCCCCCATGGGTTTGAGCCCATGAAAACTTGCATCTCATGGGGGAAGCGTCTCAGAAACTGATACTGAGAAGCCCTGATGTGGGAAGTGGTCGTCTTGCTCCCTCAGCCTTCGTGCCTCCCACGTGGAGTCCTCCCATTGCACGGCCGCCGGCGTCGAGTGAAGGATTTTGTCACATGGCCTGTTCTGAAGGTCTTGGGTAGTGTTCAGCGTGGTTTAGTGTTAAGTGAGGAGCTGTGGCCAGACGTCTCTGAGGACTATCCGCCTATTTTAGGGAAGCTTAATTGTTTGTGGATACTTTCTGTGGCTTACAGAGCCACCAAGGGCATCGTGTCCTAAAAACTCGGTAAGGCAGCTCTTCCTTGACCCCTTGAGTGGCCTGCCGAGCTGTAGCAGGCATGCTGGTTGGCTAGTGGGTTTAGTTTGAGGGTGGGGAGCGGGTTGCAGGCCTGTGTAGAAGTGGAAACTATGAAGCTTTGGCCAGGGTTGGAAATTAGAGCTCCGGGGTGAGGTGTGGGCGGGTGGGTTGGGGGTGTTAAATGGTAGGATTTTTTTTAATAACGGGAAGGCGTCTCAAGGATAAAAGCTGAGCGTCCATAGTTGTGTCCTGTCCCAGCGCGGGCCCTTGCAGAGATCACTTTTCATACGTTAGATAAGAAAAATGTCGGTCGTAACACTTACCACACGTGCTGTCTTAGTTTTTCAGATGGTGTTCCTTCAGACGCCCTGGAGGCTGCTAAAAATGCGAGTAACACAGGTCAGTGCGCCACCCGTGGAAAAGGTGACAGTTGGAGAGTTTGCATGCAGAGCAGAGCGTCTTCCGCTCTTGAACCATTTATTGCGATGATACAAGCAGTACACGTCCAGGATTACCATGCTTCAAAGATGGGGGGGGGCGATTAGCGTAGTTAAACTGGACATGGGTACTTCATTTATTTTAGTTTAAGTGTTTTATTTTGAGAGAGAGCGTGGGCAGGGGAGGAGCAGAGAAAGAGGGAGAGAGGGAGAGAGAGGATCCCAAGCAGGCTCCATGCTGTCAGTACACAGCCCGACATGGGGCTCGAACTCGTAAACTGTGAGATCATGACCTGAGCCGAGATCAGGAGTTAGACGCTTAACTGACTGAGCCACCAGGAGCCCTGAAAATCAGTACTTCATTTAAAGCTTTTCTGATCGGAACTCGAGGCTTTTCAGAAGCAAGATGACCCGCATGGTGCTGCCACTCAGTGCTGGCGCTGTTCCCAGGGACCGATCTTTCCATTTGTGTCCTTCTTTTCCCTGATTCTTCTGGTCTGTAAATTCATAGGTGGGTTTTCTCCTCAATTTTAAAATTTCTACATCTGTACTTTTTTCCCCTTGAACTTTTTGAAAGCAAGTTGTAGATAACCTGACTTTTTCCCCTAAAACAGTTTTGTGTAAATTTCCTAAAAAGCACGCTGAATGGCCATTACCACAGCGTGGCTCCCGCAGCCGAGCGCCGGGGGCTGGCCGTCCTGCTCCTGTGTCCCTGCGCTTCTCAGCAGCTCTGGTCCCCCAGCCGCCCACACCCGAGTCCGACACTGGCCAGGGGTCCCGTCTCCAATTCAGTTTTGTCTCCTTCCTTCCTCCACGTGTTTATCCTTTGCTGTAGTGACGCGTCAGCGGGCCGCGCGCCCTGGCTGTCATGTAGAGCATCCACGCTCTGGGTGGGTCAGGCGGTTTCCTCCCCGTTAGATTCAGACTGCCACGTCGGGGACGTGGTGCGGGGCGGTGTCCTTGGGCTGCGACCGGGGTCAGTGCTCAGATTGAGGACTCGGTTACGGCAGAGCCTGGCAGCCCTTCCCATTGTGAGGGTCCTGATAGGTCGCTTCTCCTGTGGGTGCCGTGTTCTCCAAGAGGCATGGTCATGATCCTTTACTCAGGAGTGACATTGGTGGTGGCAGACAGGTGTTCGCCCAGGTCCTGCTGTGTGTCACACCTGTCTGAGACCGTCGGAGCGCCTGGCTGGCTCGGTTGGTTAAGCGATCAACTCTTGATCTTGGCTCAGGTCGTGATCTCGCGGTTTGTAAAATCCAGCCCCACATTGGGCTTTGTGCGATAGCATGGAGCCTGCTTGGGATTCTCTCTCTCCCTCTTTCTCTGCCCTTCCCTGGCTCATTCTCTCTCTCTCTTTGAAAATAAATATTAAAAACAAAAAAAGACGGGTTTTCGCTCCCTACTCTCCCAACCCCCATTTCAGTGTTCCTGTGGCCCCAGGTTTCTCTGCCACTGTTTCATCAGTTGCCGTCCCCCTCACTGGTGTGTAAATTGTCCACTTGGCCCGCGGAGGTCCCTTCAGGGTGACTTCTGTGTCCTCTTGTTACACCCCCAGTTTGAGCACTTCGTAGCTTTGTGGCGCTGAGCAGTATTCCCTTTCTCCTTGTCCCTCCCTTGCTCCAGCCTGGAATCTACCGGGTGTCAGGGGGCCTGTTTTAGTAGGGAGATACATCTTAAAACCAGATTATAGGGACATTTTTAAACCAAAATCAGGTAAGCATCCAATTTAAGGTCAGATTATGATCTCGCGGTTCAAGAGTTTGGGCTCCACATTGGGCTCTATGCTGACAGCAGCCTGGAGCCGGCTTCCCAGTGTCCGTCTCTCTCTCTCTCTCTCTCTGCCCCTCCCCTGCGTGTGCGCTTTCTCTCGAAAATAAATAAATGTAAACATTAAAACAACAAACAGGACATAGATGGTAGGTGTCATTGTTTCCAGGCCTTTCAGTGGCTAGAGCTAGAGTAGACGTGTGTGTGTGTCTGTGTGTGTGTGTGTGTGTATAGTGTGTGTGTGTGTGTATGCATGTGGCGTTTACGCATTGTACACGTATACAGTGCTGTGTGTACCACTATGCAGATTAACTACACACACAGTGTTTCATGGTGGCAGTTGTTTAGAATTAAAACATTAAAATTGAGCTGCCTACGTGGTGTCTTTCGCTTGCCCGCAGCACTTGCCTATAAAAAGAGAGGCGCCTGGCCGGCTCAGTGGGTGGAGCATGTGACTCTCGGTCTCGGGGTTGTGAGATCCAGCCCCACGCTGGGTGTAGCGATCACTTCAAATAACAAGGAAGGAGGCAGGGAGAGCCGCTAGGTAGGGGCCGCCTTCGGAGTCAGGCGAGTGCTTCGGCTTCCCGGACCGCGTCCGTGAGAGGGCGTCACTCAGCAGCACTGCCCCGGCCCCTGGTTCCGGCTCCGTGAAAGACCCACCTCGGTGTCTCGTTTCTTTGTTCAGAAATAGTACAGGGGCGCCTGGGTGGCCTAGTCGGTTAAGCGTCCGACTTTCGCTTGGGTCATGGTCTCGCGGTTCGTGGGTTCAAGCCCCGCGTCGGGCTCTGTGCTGACTGCCAGCTCAGAGCCTGGAGCCTGTTTCAGAGTCTGTGACTCCCTCTCTCTCTGACCCTCCCCTGCTCACGCTGTCTCTCTCTCTCCTAGAAATGAATGAAATATTAAAAAAAAAAAAAAAGCAGAAATAGTACAAACGTGTGTGAGCCGGACGGGCAGTGTGGTGGCGGGTGGTCAGGGAGGGCCGTGTGGAGGAGGGGGCGTGGGCAGGGCAGGGTGGGTGAGGGTGGCGGCCCAGAAACGCTGGGACATCTGGACGTACCAGGAGCTTCCCGGGGCTGGTTTTCTCTGAGGGACAGTCGCCTCAGGCCTGTCCTTGGCTCCTGGGTGCCCCCGGGATGGCAGGGCGGCAGGCGTGGTTGGCAAGGTGGCAGGTCCCTAAACTGGGAAATGACTCTGTCCTCGTTGGGGAGGTTTGGGGCTTAAACAGCTGAAGTGAGAACCAGAGATCTCCGGGTCGTTTCCCTGCAGCGGGTCCTAACCACTCAGGCGGTTAACAGAGGGTGTCCAGCGCCTTTAAAATTCACTTTAAGTATTTTCAGGACATGTGCTTATGAAGCCACATGCTACGGTTAGAAATTCGCGTGAAGAAGCAAAGCCAAGTAGACATGTGTCGAGAGTGTTCCGTGGTGCGCGTCTTTCAACTTGTCTGGCCTTGTTTTTACCCCTTGACAGAAAAGCTCACCGACCAGGTGATGCAGAATCCTCAGGTTTTGGCAGCTTTACAGGAGCGGCTTGACCACGTCTCCCACACTCCTTCCAGTTACATCGAGACGTGAGTATGCCGTGTGCGGGCCCTTGGTGCAGCTCCGGGGAAGGGGAAGGGACCGACCTCCTGGCTCCTCAGAGTAGGAACAAGCATCTTTCCCATTGGGCGGACTGGGTGCTGGGAGCCAGGCACCGGCCAGCCCCTGGGCTCCGCGTGTGCCAGCACCGGGCCTGTACGGGCGGGGCACCGCCTCTCCCTGCGGCTCCCTCAGCCACCCCTCCCTGCTCCCGCAGATGCTGCCTGGGAGTAGGGGACTCGGGGACGCCGACGGGGTCTGGGTTTCTGGCTAGACCGCGGGGGGCTGGGCCGGCATTCACGGGGAGCAGGCGCGGTAGGATCAAGGGTTCATGGACCTGAATTCGTTCCGGGCTGGCCATGCCGCACGGAGAGTGCCTGCTGCGGGCACAGCCTGCACTTAGCGTAGCTGCTCGGAGGACAGCTGGCTGTAGGGTGTCGGGGTCCAGTTCCCTTCCTATGTTTTGTTGTTTTTACTCCGTTAGGAAGATTTGGAAACTTAAAAATAATTGTGATTGTGTGGTTAATGCACAAGAAAGGGGCGCCTGGGTGGCCCGGTCAGTTAAGCATCTGACTCCAGCTCAGGTCGTGATCGCATGACTCATGGGTTCGAGCCCCGCGTTGGACTCTGTGCTGACAGCTCGGAACCTGGAGCTGCTTCGGATTCTGCCTCTGTCTCTGTGCTCCTTCCCACTCACTCTGTCTCTCAAATATAAAATTTAAAAAAATTAAAAATTGTTACGTAAAATTTTTTTTAGTGCATGAAAGAAATAAGGTGTTTACATGCATGCCGTGCCCTTGGGTCCTCGCTGCGCCTCTTTCCTGTCCTGTTGGTGGAAGTCCCAGAAAGGGGACTGGAGTTAGGGGTCTTGATGGAGGGTGTTTTCCTCGAGATGGCTGTGGGTGTGGCAGCAGGGATCCTTGGTGATCTTTAAGGCTGTTCCAGTACTTTCTAAACAGTGCTGTGCATCGGAGCAGCTGGGACTGTTGTTGAAGGAAGGGCAGCTCCTTTGGGCCTTTCTGGAGGAAGGGAGGAGTGGCCGGGCTCGGCCCCGGGGTGGGGGGGGTGGTGCCGTAGGGGACTGTGTGGTCTGTGGTGGGGACCAGGAGCTTCGGGGTAAACCTCATTTTGATGGGTTGGAAAGGGGTTGTGGTTTGATTTTTTTACTGTTTATGAAAGTAATGCATGTGAACTAAAGTGTTACTAGAATATAGAAAAGTAGCGGGAGGCAAGGAAGCTCAGAGTTCCCTGACTCTGGACGGGAACCCGCCCGTTTGTCTGCGTCGTGCCCAGTGTTTCCCTCGGTGCGGGAGCGCCACCGCCTCGCCTCGGGCTGTGAGTGTGCGGAAGCGCGGCTTCTCTGTCCGCTTCTGCCCGTCCCCCCTTTCTTTTCGATGGGGTGTTTGTCCTTTAATGATACTTAGGAGCCCTTTTCTGTGGTAAGGGTGTGAATTCTGTGAAAGCTAAAGTTATTTTAAGGAAATTGAAAAGCATTCTGCCTTATTTCGCAGGCACAAGGATGTTTAACTTTTTTATCCCGTTTCAGTTTACCCAAAGCAGTGAAAAGAAGAATCAATGCGTTGAAACAGCTGCAGGTGAAGTGCGCCCACATAGAGGCCAAGTTCTACGAGGAGGTGCACGACCTGGAGAGGAAGTACGCCGCGCTCTACCAGCCTCTCTTTGACAAGGTGTGTGGCTTGCGCATACGTTTCATTCACGGATTTCAAATCTAACTTTAGGTAAAACATCCACAGTTACCTAGTGATGAATCCTTGAATGTTACTCTTTAAGCCCTAAAGCTTAGAATCGTGTGTGTGTGTGTGTGTGTGTGTGTGTGTTTATTTTGAGAGAGAGAGAGACTGCAGGGAAAGGGCGGGGAGGGGGAGAGAATCCCAAGCAGGCTCCTCGCTGACAGCACAGCCTAATGTGGGGCTTGAACTCACAAACCGTGAGCTCATGACCTGAGCCCAAACCAAGAGCCAGACTCCACTCAACCACCCAAACCGCTAGGCTCCCCTAGACTCTGAAGCTAGGAAAGCATTCAGTTTTCGTGGGTTTTTCATAGACGTTACTTACAAAGTTAACTCTTGGGTTCCCGAATAACTTGCTATAACTAACAAGGTCTCCTTTCTACTCGAAGAGAAGGGAGTTCGTCACCGGCGATGTTGAGCCGACGGACGCGGAATCGGAGTGGCACAGCGAGAACGAGGAGGAGGATAAATTGGCCGTGAGTGTCTTTTTCATGAGCGCAGCTTGTGTTCCGGCTTAGTGCTGTCAGAAAGAAGGTGCCTCTTTGACCGGTTTTTAATCGTCGTCGTAACATCACCATGAAAGGGGCTCCTCGCTGAAGGCGCCACCTCCCTCTCAGGCTGCTCCTTGGAATTGCTCTGCGGCCCGTGGCCGGCGGCCTGGTGTCCGTTACAGCTGCGAACTAGACGGTCTCCCTTCTCGGTCGTGGGAGCCACTCGGTACGGCAGCGCGCTGGGACGTGGCGTCGGGTGGACAGGAATCAGAACATCCACAGAAGTCTCGCTCAGGAGGAAAGCACCCTCCCGCAGGGGGGAGGGACGCGACACCAGTGCCAGCAGTCACTGCACCGTCGCGGCAGGGAGGAGGGTGCGCCGCACGTCCCAGCCACCCTGCTCGGGGCCCAGCAGTGACAGTGAAGTGGCCGTGGTGCACGCAGTGCCTTCCCCACCCCCCACCCCCAGCTCCCAGCCTTCCGGGGACGGGTCTTACTCATCCAGGGTGACTCTGAGGTGCAGCGTGCTGCGTGGCTGACTGTCCGCCTGGCTTTGTTTGGGAAACAAGTGTCTTTTATCCGCGCGGTGTTAGTTTTTTGGGAATTGTGTTGACGTGTGTGTTAGTCTTAACAAGTAGCCATACGTTTGTGATCTTCAAACCTCTTGTAGAACCTGGCCTGGCTGAAGCTGTGGCTACGGATGAGTATGGTTGTGAGTGGCTTCCTTACTGCTCAAGGAGAATCGGCTTCAGTTAATTTAAAAAGCCCCTCGTGCTCATTTCACATAAGAATCCCATGTGAAGAAGCCTTTGCACTTCCCAGTGGTCCCATTTAGTGTTGTGCTTGACCCTCCTGGGCCTGCCCTCCCTCCGAGCCATGATGTCAGAAAAGACCCCCTCAGGGTGCACGGAACCTGTCCGTCACCTCCCTGATGTTTGCATGGAGTTTCTGTCCCCATGTTAACAGCCACCTCCTTATTGCTGGATGTGGACACTGCTTGGCCATTCTCTGCTGCTGAGGGGACCGGGGTCTCAATCTGGTGGTGGGTGGTTGTCCCCTTTCCTGGGTTGGACGGCGCTGCGCCCTGTCGTGCGGTCCTGTCATGGAATTCCATCCGAGCGCAGTGCCTGGAGCGCTTCGTTCTGAGAGACATCTAGCGTCATGACCTGCACGGGGGTCTTGGAGACGCAGGCTCAAAGAGCTGTTTCTGGTAGAAGTCAGTGCAGGATTCTGGGATTTACCTTCCGCGTTAAGCCATTGAGTTCTTTGTAAGTTTGTTGCTTTGGGCTAAGTGTGGCCGTTTGCATCTTTGCTTTCTTAGGGAGACGTGAAAAACAAAGTAGTCATCGCCGAGAAAGAAGCAGCCGCAACAGAGGAGCCAGACCCCAAAGGGATCCCAGAGTTCTGGTTTACCATCTTCAGAAACGTAGACATGCTGAGTGAGTTAGTCCAGGTGAGCCGATGGCCCCTCAAAGCGAGCTTCTGGTCTAAAAGCTGTTCACGTGTGAATCCCTCGAGTGCTCAGTAGCTCGTGGTAGGTGCAAAGGCCCTTTCTGTGACCAGCAACTCGTATGAGTGGCCTTGGCCTCACGGGCAGGGGGTGTCACTGCTGGAAGCCCCCCCTTCCCACTGTGGTGCTCCTGGGAAGGCCTGCGGCTCTGGGGCTGAGCCAAGACCTGTATGTAGCCTCTCCCCCCCCCCCCGATAGTCTGCCGCCTCAGCCCAGAATGCCGTTCACAGACTCCAGCCGCTTCCCCCTCATACTGCAAGTGCAACAGCGGGAGCTGTGAGGCCAGGAAGGTGGCTCGCAAGGTCGGTAGCTGACCTAGGGGTTTCTTCTGGTTCTCTCTTTGGAGACATGTGGACCGGCAGTGGCGGTTGACACCTGCGGGCGGTGGCAGCTGTGGGACTGTGCAGGCAGTGGGGCTCTCGCCCTTCCTCCTGGCACCGATGGCCCCCAGCACCCCGTGCCGGAGAGATGGCGTGTGACCACCATCGCTGAGAGCTGTGGTCGGTGAACAGATTGGGTGGCTTCCTAGGAGTTCCCGCTTGACGAGCACAGAGCCCAGCAGGGTGCGGGTCCCGCGTCTGGGGCTGCGTGCAACAGGGACTCGACTATGCATGTTGCTGCTTTGAAAAGTCTCGCTAGAAAGTTCTTTCTCTTCTCTTTACGGTTAGGAGTACGACGAGCCGATCTTGAAGCACCTGCAGGATATTAAAGTGAAGTTTTCAGACCCCGGGCAGCCTATGGTGAGTACTGACGGGGCCCCTGCTGGGCATCAGAGGGTCAGGCCGCAGAGGGGGTGAGGGGCCCGGAGCCAGGGTGGCAGATCCAGACCTGGCCACACACTTGCGGGGTGGTCCCGAGCGAGCCGATCACCAAGAACTAGAAGGTTCTCACCTGGCCTTCCTTGGCCTCGCCCAGCAGTGCCGCACAGCCTGACAGGCCATCCAGGCCACCAGCTGCACGTGGCAGGTGCGAGAGTCCGACGCAGGAGTGGGCTCCTCTGCCATGGGGTCCGCTGCGCCGTGCGCTGCTTTCTGAGCTGGCCTGTCCCCTGCCAGCTGGGGCGACGTCGTCTTTCTCCTAACCGTCTCCCGGGCTCTCGAGGCTCTGACGTGTGGTGGAGGGTGGGAGGGGCGTCCTCGGGCTCGGGCAGCACTCGCCTAAAGCCCCAGGCGCCGATGCCTAGAGGACGAGGCACGCCGAGGAAGGCCCCCCCCCCCCCCCCCCGAGTGGGCCCTGCCAGAGGCACCGCTCGTGGCCTGGGAGTCTGGCCATGGCCCACGGGCTCCATTCCGGTGCTTGTAGCAGCTCCAGCGGCACGTGACTGACCGGCTCGTGGCTCTGTTTCAGGGCCTGGGGCCACGGCCTGGAGCTGTGGGTCTGGGGGAACGTGCAGAGGGGCCCGGGGCCCGGCTCCTCGCCATCCCTGCCACAGGGTGCTGGCCCCAGGCCACAGACGGAGGCTGGTGTCATTACCTGGGGCTTCTCCGCCCTGCAGGCGCCTTGCAGGAGGGGAGGGGCAGGGGGACCGGCGCCCCTTTCCTCCTGCACCGGCTTTAGCTGGTTGTATCCCTGGGCCTTGCCGTTGGCCTGGGGGGAAGCTTGACCACAGCGCCCCCTGGAGGCTGCGTGGGGCGGTCTGCGGGCAAGTGCTTAGATTTGTCTGATCCCCACCCGCCTTCCTGCCAGGTGCGCATACGCCGTTTTAAGATCCTCTCAGTTCTTTCCTAACATTTTCTCATCTGTGAGTCATCTGGATTTCATTTATTTTTTAATGTTTATTTGGAGAGAGGGGGAGGGGCAGAGAGAGACTCCCAGAAGTCTCTGCACTATTAGTGCTGAGCCTGATGTGAGGCTTGAACTCAGGCGCCGTTAGATCATGACCTGAGCTGAAATCAAGAGTCACTGACTGAGTCACCTGGTGCACCCAGACTCCATTGATTAATATCTGTTCTCTGGATCAGGTTTGTTTTTTTTCCTTTGTTCTTATTAGATACCTGTTTGGTGATTTTCTGGGTCTGTTTTCTTTCTCAGCTTGTCTGAGGCTTTCCTCCATGTCCTACGGTGGTTCATAGACAGACAGGAGGCCTAGTGTTGGGAGACCTGAGCCAGTCAGTTTTCCCTTGTTACTTCCCCCCAGCTGTGGAACACTCAGGAAGTACGGGGAAGCGGTAAGCTCTCCATCTAGTGGAAGTAGCTCAGCTGTACACTCCATTTCCGCAGAGTCGTTTTTTTAAAACTAAGTATGAAATACTTTACATGTTAAAGTTAGAAAAATAAACCCACCCGGCCTCGGAATGAAGCGCGGCCAGTGTGCTTGCTTCTCCTCGGGACACACCTCCCGCCCTCCGCCCCGGGGTCCCCGCGCCGACATCGCAGCAGAGGGGGTGGCACATCAGGACAGGGTTGTGCGGGCACAGCCGCCTCGGTGGGAACTAGTCACGCCCGCCTCCGGGGGCGGCTGAGCCGCAGGTGGTGCCCAGAGGTGCCGCCACCCCATCTAAGGGCTGTGTCAGGATCAGCGTTTCGGGAACCAGGCCTTCTGTTTACAGTCCTGATGATTTCCTCCATTTAGATGCGTTTCCGCGCGGTTTTGCTGGGTCAGAGGAGAGGAACGTTTTTGGCTCAGAGGTGGTTCGCTTTACGTCTCTGCTGCCGGTAGTGTTTGCACGTGCTCTTGTGTGGTCACCGGTGGTGTTTGCACGCGCTCTCGTGTGGTCCTCGTGCTTCCGTGTCTCTGTTTTGAAATCACTGCAAGCTTAGAGCAGAGCTGTGGGTGGTGCCGGGTGCGGCGGCTCCTGGGTGTCTCTGTGGGAGCCTAGCACGGGCCGTAGCAGCCGTGTGGACCTCGCTGGGCAGGTGCGAGGTGTGAGTTTACATGTGGGAGCAAGTGCGATGGAGCATCTGCGTATGCACGGCTGACTCGGCTGTGGAGGGGGGTGGTGATTGCCGTGGCCTCGTCTTTGGGCCGTCTTCTGTCGGCCTTTGAACCCTTTCCTGATTCATCCCCATCATGGGTCATGGTGGACAGAACACCGGCCGAGGGGAGGGAAACCCAGGGACCAGGAATGCAGCACTTGCTTTGGAAGCTGGCAGGGAAGGAGCTGGCAGAGAGCGAAGAGGAATACCGTGGTCCGTGCAGATGTAAGGAAGCCCGTGTGGTGTCCAGCTGTGCTTGTCCCTCACCCCCCCACCCCCCCAGCAGACCTGAGTGCTAGATTGCAGCCTCCAAACTGGGTGCTCGCCCCCCACCTTTAGGGTGGTGGTGTCAGCCCTGGGGGTCGGGCCACGGGGAGAGGGGGGATTCCGTTTGATATTCTCGCTACACTTTACTCCCCCAGACCAGTGACTCGTGCTCTGGACGGTCAGGTTTGCTTCTTCCCCTCGTGGAAATGGTTTGGTTTTAGTCTGTCCGTCTGTCTGTCTGTCTGTCTGTCTTTCTTTCTTTCTTTCTTTCTTTCTTTCTTCGGTCAGGTTTGCTTCTTCCCCTCATGGAAATGGTTTGGTTTTAGTCTGTCCCTCTTTCTTTCTTTCTTTCTTTCTTTCTTTCTTTCTTTCTTTCTTTCTTTCTTTCTTCGGTCAGGTTTGCTTCTTCTCCTCATGGAAATGGTTTGGTTTTAGTCTGTCTCTCTTTCTTTCTTTCTTTCTTTCTTTCTTTCTTTCTTTCTTTCTTTCTCTTTCCTTCTTTCCTTCTTTCCTTCTTTCCTTCTTTCTTTCCTTCCTTCTTTCCTTCCTTCTTTCCTTCCTTCTTTCCTTCCTTCCTTCCTTCCTTCCTTCCTTCCTTCTTTCCTTCCTTCCTTCCTTCCTTCCTTCCTTCCTTCCTTCCTTCCTTCCTTTCTTTCCTTAAAGATGTTGCTTTTTTTAAAAAGTAATCTCTATGCCCATTGTGGGCCTTGAACTCACAGCCCTGAGATTGAGTCTTACACTGCACAAGCCAGGAGCCCGGAGCTCCCTATCTTAGTCTTTTTAATTTGTGTTTTTTCTATTTGATAATTATGCCATTATGATGGAAATTGAAATAGCTAACATTTAGCAAGCATTGCCTATAAACTTGCATAACGTCTGTTCTAGTCATCCCGGAGAGAAAGAGAGAAGATTGTTATTTTCATTTTATAGATGAGGAAACAGAATCACTGAGACACTGAGTAACTTCCCAAAAGCATGCAGAACTTAGAGGCAGAAGTGTCTAGAACCCAGAGTCAGTCTTGTAGACAGTCTCTGTAACTTTCTTAACCAAGATTATCTCTGTTTCCTTAAGATGGGGCTGAGGTGAGCGTCTGCATGTATTGATGCATCCATCCAGGTGTCTGTCTTTTTTTTTAATGTTTTTTAAATTTATTTGTGAGAGAGAGAGAGACCGTGTGAGCAGCGGAGGGTCAGAGAGAGAGGGAGACACAGAATGTGAAGCAGGTTCCAGGCTCTGAGCTGTCAGCACAGAGCCCGCTGGGGGGCTCAAACTCAAGAACCGTGAGATCATGATCTGAGCCGAGGTCGGACGCTTAACTGACTGAACCACTCAGGCGCCCCAACCAGGTGTCTTTCTTAAATAGAATAAATCCCTTAAAATAGAATCACTGGGGCAGATTATTTTACTCTATTAACTTCGCCATCCTGCCGGAGGGCCCCCTGTAAAGGCATCTGCGGTGCACGAGCGTGCCTGGTGTCCCATGTGCCGGGCTCTTCATGCGGACTACAACGAGGTCTTTCTTCCTGGCCGCTTGACTGTTCGTGCTGCTCCTCTCTCCACAGCTTGTGTCCATTTTTCATCTCGGGTTATAGAGTGCTTTGTGAACAAAGGATGAACTTGTCCTTGGTGTGGTTTGAGGAGGCCCCGTCAGTGCGCTCGCACCCCACGGGGTCTGGCCCCTGTGCACGGCCGGGAGAGGGCGGAAGGAGGGGGCTGGGCCGCCACCTGGTTTCCCCCGTCCGCACCCCGCACCAGAGTGGGTGGGCCAGGGGCAGCAGACAGAAGTTGGGATCCCTCAGGAGAGTGGTCCCGGGGGGGGGGGGGGGGGCGGGGGGGGGGGGGGGCTGCCCTCCAGGGATGTATGCGCTCTGCGGGGGCGGCAGTGCGGCCCGCAGCCTCCCACCTGTCATTCGTCTGAACTCCGTGCTCGTGTTTTTCGTAACAGGAGTTTTCCTTGCCACGCGGCCGCCGCTGCTGAGCTGTGCGGTGGCGGTTTCCGCATGTGGTGGTCCGCTCAGCACGGAGCTGGTTCAGGAGACCCCGTGCGGGCCGAGCGGTCTGTCGCCAGTTGCCTGTATCTCCTGGCGGTGCTCACCCAGTTTTTGTCTTCAGTCTTTTGTATTAGAGTTCCACTTTGAGCCCAACGACTACTTTACCAACTCAGTGCTGACAAAAACGTACAAGATGAAGTCGGAGCCAGACAAGGCTGATCCCTTCTCCTTTGAAGGCCCCGAAATAGTCGACTGTGACGGGTAAGGAGATGCCGCTTCAGCTTCCTTTTCTGAAACAGAAGCAGCCGAGTTACAGAGCTTTGCAAGGAAGAGGAATTGGGCCTAAAGCAGAAAGTCTGTCATCTTCTTAAAAGCCCAGTGGACAGATTTGAGTTAAATAGTCTCTGTGTTTGGGGATGTGATGGCCTGTTCTGGGAAGTGTGTCCTTCATCAGGTCACGTGTGCTGGCCTGTAGGCTCAGTGGCCTTGTTTCCTCTTCGGAGGAGGGACCGTCCCATAGTGCCCGGCGCGAGGCTGTCGTCACTGAACTAAGTCACCCCAGCAGCTACGTGTTCAGTGAGTGAAGGAGTCGGGGCAGAGCAGTGTTGGTCGGTTGCTGCTTCTTGGTGGGGCAGCTGAGTGGTTTGAGCCGTGACCGAGCCCCTTGGCGACCTGAGCCGGGATCACCAGAAGGCTGGTTTGGAGTTCGGTCCTGTGGTCTGTTCTGTCTCTGAGCTGAAACTGTGACCCTCGTCGCTAGAACCAGGCGCTCACCCTGGGTCTCCCCACGCAACAGCTCTGAGCCTCACGAAGGCCCTGCTGGGCTCGCATGGCGACAGTGACCTTGTCAGATCCTTTCCCAGGGCCAGGCCGTCATGGTGGGAGCAGTTTCCAGGGAAGACGCTAGTCACATGCCAGGGGTTGCCTGTGGAGCACAGGGATGGGAAGATTAGGGAGCCGGCCAGGCTCACCCGCCGCGGGGCTCCCCCAGCAGCCAGCGCCCCAGTCCCTGCCGCTCTCCGCCAGCTTGTCCTGCTTGCTTAGCTGCTGGGGGACTTCAGGCGCTTGAGTGGGTTAATTCAGCTGTGCTCTGGGGTCAGGAGGCAGCAGGGGACAACTCGTGAGCATCGTACAGACACCTTAGCCCAGCGTTGACCGGGCTTCGTCACAGAAAACGTACGGAATGTCTCAGGGAGACACCGAGCCCGGGCGGTGGCAGACGGGCCGTCGCTGACCTCTGGACGGACTTGGGCACGGGGCCGGCGGGTGGGCTGCTCTGACAGACTGGTGCCGGCGGGGCACGTAGCCGTACTTTGCGGGGGCTCCGCGGCAGGTGCACATGTGTGCGACAGCCGTCTGTCTCCGCAGGTGTGTTATTGACTGGAAGAAAGGAAAAAATGTCACAGTCAAAACAATCAAGAAAAAGCAGAAACACAAGGGCCGAGGCACGGTGAGAACGATCACCAAACAAGTCCCCAACGACTCCTTCTTCAACTTCTTCAGCCCGCTGAAAGGTGAGTGGGCTGTGTTGGGGGCGTACGGACGGCCTCCGTCCTGGCCCACGACCTGCTTAAATGCACACAAACACAGTTTTCTCCACATCTGAGGTGCAGGAGCGCGCGAGCCGCTCCGCTTTGGGCTCAGCCTTTGCCGTTTGGCCTGGCCTCTCTCTGGGGTTTTTTTTGAGCCTCCGGGACGCCAGTGCGTGCGGTGTGGGGGTAAGAACGGCTGTACATTCAGCTCCTAGGTTTCCTGGTTTGAGAGAGCCCTGCGGCCACGGGGGCAGCCACCTGCATGCGCTTGGCGTGAGCTAAAGGCTTCCCTCTGAAAGGCAGTGCATTCCCAGGAAGTCTTTTTTTTTTTTTTTAAGATTTTTTTTAATGTTTTATTTCTTAGAGAGAGACAGCGTGAGCAGGGGAGGGTCAGAGATAGAGACAGAATCTGAACCAGACTCCAGGCTCTGAGCTGTCAGCACAAGCCTGATGCGGGGCTCGAACCCATGAACCATGAAGTCATGACCTGAGCCGAAGTCGGACGCCCAACCGACTGAACCACCCAGGCGCCCCATCCCGGGAAGTCTTCTTAACACTGCGTGTTAAGCAACTGAATAAAGTTAGAATGAGATTAAGTGGACTCCGTTTGGGCAGGTGGCTGCTGGGACTCTGAAACCGTGTTGGTGGGGTCGTGTCACTCTACAGCCGGGCCAGGGTCACTGAACTGTGCACCCATGTTTTGTGGTGGGTAAATGACACATCCTACCTCTGTTTTTATTCTTACTTGTTTTTAAATGTTCATTTTTGAGACAGAGCACGAGTGGGGAGAGGGGAGAGAGGGGAGAACAGAGGCTCTCAGGCAGGCTCCGTGCCGACCGCAGTGAGGCCGATACGGGGCTCGACCTCCCCCAGCATGAGCTCATGACCTGAGCTGAAGTCGAACTCTGAGCCAGCTGAGCCCCCAGGCGCCCTGTCCACAGCTAATTAAGGCGGGAGATGCAGGACAGGCGCATCGGGGGCGATGCTGAGGAGCGCAGCGCGTGGTAAGCCCTGTGAGAGACGAGTGCGAGGTGACAGCGGGGTGGTGACGGAAGTCAAGAGAACGCATCACAGTTGGTGGTGAAATGCTCTTTGCAATGAAGGAAATCTAAGGTGGCTGGTCCAGTGCCCTTTTTGTCCTTAAATCTAAGAAACGGTCCCAAAGGCAAGGGAGCTCAGCCCGCGGGGTTTGGGGCCGCGGGGCTGGTGTTGGCACGCCGGGCCCAGCTCCCACCCCGCGGTCACCCTTCACCTCCCAACGAGACCGGGGCTCGAACGAGCACTTCTGAAGTCGGGGGTCTGAACGTCACTGGGCTTTGTAGAGTTTTCGGTCCCTGGCTTTCCTGTCCTGCTTGGTCCTGGGGTAGCTGTGTGCCGAGCGGCTCGTCGACGAGGCGTGGGGTGCTCCCCCTGCCCGCAGGGAGTCTGTCCTTGGCAGGAAGGACACCTCGTGGACCCGGCCGAGGGGCTCTGCTGCTCCTCTTCTCGGTGGGGTCCTGTGCGGGCCGGCGGGGCCACAGGGTGTGGCCACACGGTGGGCCTTCCCCCCCTGTTAACCAGAACCTTCTGGAGCTGCTCCCCCTCCCCCCGTTGGCCCTGTGTGCAGGTCTGCGGGTGTTGCGGGTGGCTGTCAGAGAGGCGCAGGGCCGGGCCATGCGCTGCTGCACTGACCCGTCTGCCGGGCCACCTGCGGGGTCCTTTCCGAGGCTCTGGCTGTCCCCGTAACATTCGTGTGTTTTGTCTTTTCTTTCTAGCATCTGGGGATGGAGAATCACTGGTAAGATTTGGGTTGTCGTCAGTCTCCCGTCCGGCTGTTAAATTCTTCACGTCTGCAGTCGTTGCCCACTTTCCCTTTAGTCCCTGCTCCCTCCTCCCTGAGGCCCGGGGGCATTTCTGCCCCCTACACCATGGGGCAGGGCTGGAGCACGTGTCCCCGCGTCCCTGTGTCCCCTCCTCCAGGCCACTCAGAGTGCAGCACAGCGCGGGTGGGAGGGCGTGGTGCTCATCCCGCAGAAACGAGTTCACGGTGAGGTTTTTCCTCTCAGGATGAAGACTCAGAATTCACCTTAGCGTCCGACTTCGAAATTGGACATTTCTTTCGCGAGCGGATAGTCCCGCGGGCCGTGCTCTACTTCACAGGCGAGGCCATAGAGGATGACGACAATGTACGTGTGGGGGGAGCCCTGAGGGGCGGCTGGGGGCACCCCTGGCAATGGGGCAGAGGGCAGGGGTGGGGCAGGGCTAGAGCAGAGCGCCAGCCCTGTCCTCGGAAGGCCCCGGGTGCTTGCGAGTCCTGCTCAATGTCTGAAAGCTTTGGGCAACTTTGAAACGGGAGGAAAGTGTCACTTAAAGAGGCGTGGCCACAGCGCACGGGCATCCACGGAGCTGGCCCCAGCTGGCCTGTGGTGTGCCAGCCCCAAGGAATTAAAGCCCGTGCTGCACAGAGGGTGGCCAGGCTGCGCGGGCCACCTTCTCTCTCTCTCTGCTTGAGCACAGCCTAGCGAGCTGTCCTTTGCACCGGAGACAGTTCTCTGTCACCACGGAGGCCCGGGGCGTCGTGTCTTCTTGGTTTATGGAAATAGAGTTTTGTCGTATGCTGCTGGAAGTATTGTAGATGCTATGTCTCCTGTTGCTTTTAGAGCTCCTGGTTTTTCCAGATGGTTCTAGGTTTCCTTTCTGAGTGAGGGGTCTGCCGAGGCCTCGGATGGCGGGGGCGGGGGGGGTGGCGCAGGAGCAGATCCAGTTTCGGGTGCTTGGCGCCCAGGGGCAGTGCAGGCCTGCTTCCCACAGTCCTCCTCTGTGCGCATGGTGGGTGGGGACGGGGGGTCAGCTGAACAGCCTGAGACGGGCCAAGATGAGCTAACCTTCATCCCGGGCTGGTGTCGTGTCGGGTGTGTCAGCACTCGAGGAGCCGCTATGGCTGAAGCTCACGCAGTGTAGACTTTCTGAGATGGTGGAGCTGTTCCCACCGCCTGCACCATCCGGGGCGATGCATAAAGATCATAAGTGAGATTGCTGGTAACTGAAGAACTGAACATTTAGTTTTAATTTAGCCAAAAAAATATCTAGTGACTACATGCACTGGAAAGTTCATCTCCAGGCCAGTGGTTCCCAGACTTTTCTAACCATGCACCCCTGCATTTTCAGACCTGACTATGCAACACTTGCGTATTATTTACTTCAAACGCAGCCACAGCGGACGGCACCCTTGCCTTCTGCCTGGGCGCACTCACTCCCGACGCCCTGGGTGCAGCCTGGAGCTGGGAGGGGGCCCTGCCCCAGACTGCTCGGACCAGGTCCTGACTTTACTCTGCAGCCGTACAGCCTCTGCTGCGATGGCCGCGTGTGACCATGCGGTTAAGGGTGGGGACTCTGGTGACCCATCAGGCTCTGAGAAGAGCACGTGTTGGGTAGAGGCGTGGGGACCTCGCACAAGCACCGCACGCTGTCCCAGGAGGGACTGGCTTGGTGCTCCACGCTCTCCGGCTCGCACCCCCACCTGGGAGCCGCTGCCCCTTGGGAGTGCGAGGTGTGCTTGCGGCAGGAGCCCCAGCCCCTCCAGGTCCAGAGTAAGAGGGTCCGCTTGGAGCCTCAGGAAAGCCGCGCTTGGCCTCGTGTGAGGCTGGTTCCAGCCGGAGCTGAAACACGGTTAGCTACCAGTCACCGAACCTGGGTCTTTTCCTGCCAGAGGCTGGTTGGGACGCGTGCGGGGGAAGGCACTGGGGTGTGCCCGGAGCCCTGCCTCTGCGGGAAGGCACGTGCGCTGGGCCCTGTGCCCGAGTGGGGCCCCTGCAGCCCCCCGGCTCTCCTGAGCTCTGTGTGAGCGCTCACTAAGGATATGTGTGCGGGCTCCAACAAAGAAAGTGTCGGCAAGAAAAAGTCTACTGAATGCGTCATCGTGTTGTGCAGGCAGTAGCGATAAGGTTTGTTTTGTTTTGCGTTTTTGATCCGAGTCTGATATTTGGAGCTTGAATGAGAGCCTGACCAGTGAGGTCTTTGGACCTGGAAGAAATGCATTCAGGACCAGCAAGCTGTGGTGTTGCAGCTCTCTCCTTTGCACGCCTTAGTCTTTTGAAGGTTATGCACCAAGGTTTTTTATCGTACTTGGGACACATAAGTGTTTACCCTTGTACGAGACATAGAATGGCATGGAAATTCACGTGTCTGTGTAGGAAACTTTTGCTGCCATCTTGCATCGGTTAGCCGGTTCCCAGGTGAACCCAGTACATTCTCATACTGACCAGCCCCGTCCTGCGCCCTCCCATCCTCAGGCCTAGTTTCGAGTAGTTCCCAGCTTCCCGGTGTCCTGGGAGCATGGTGGGCTCGTGGACACGCAGCCCCACGGCGCTGGCCACAGCCTAGTCCCCAGGTTCGAGGCCATGATACCCAGCAGCAGACCCTTCCCCTTGAGAACCAGGCCTGGAGCGGCCGCTGCCGGACCTCTTCCCTCGGGCCTGACCAGTGGGGGCACTTGGCAGGGACTATGTCTGGGTTAGGGCGGCCTCGCACTCCAGAGACCTAAAAACGTGTCTCCTTTTTCTTTTTTCAGTTTGAAGAGGGTGAGGAAGGAGAAGAGGAGGTAAGACACGGTGCGCGGAGCATCCTTAACCTGCGGCCGCGCTGGGCTGCCTCTGCTCGAGGGCACGGAGGTCACGAACACAAGACCAGTTACGTCTGGCTTGTGCGGAGCCGCCTCCGAGGGCTGCACCCATATGGTTAGAGCCTTGGGGACGGCAGGGCGGCCCCTGGGTCTAGGTGGGCCTGCGTCTTCAGCAGCATGTTTGTGTCCATTATCTGTGAGGGGGAAAGGTACCCATGAGCCGTTGTGTCGGAGGAAGTGACCTAGTCGGTTATAGACAGTGACTGCTGGTTCCCTGTAAATCCAAGGACTAGTTAGTGGGGGCGGGGCGGGTCGGCCCCCGGGGCTCCAGCCCTGTCTGCTCAACCCTCCTTGCTCTCTCGTGCAGGAATTAGAAGGCGATGAGGAGGGAGAAGATGAAGATGATGCCGAAACCAACCCCAAGGTCAGTGTCGGGGGCCGCGCACCTGCGGGCGCTGTGCTGTGCGTTCAGACGGCCCCCATGAGGCGGTGCGGGCGCGGGGCGCTCGGTCCTCCCGTCAGTCCTGAGAGCAGAGCAGAAAGCTCTTGAACCGGGACTATTCAGACAGCTCCGGTGTGACTTAGCGTTAGGTATTAATATCCAATAAATGTTTTTCAGCTTGCTCTTGAGCTTACTCTCATGAACTAGTTCAAGAGACGGGCTCTTTTTTCCAGGTCTTTTAAGGTGACGACTAAATGGCGACACAATAAACTTTTGTGTGTTTGTTTTTGGGAAAGGTACTGAGGAGGGGCTTCGGGATTTTTCTGTTTTAATGAAAAGAGTAGTAAAGTTGTGGACATAATGTTATGATTGTGTTTGGACTGAGAACACTCAGAAGCCGTGGGTAAACACCTCCAACTATTGCAAATAAACTAGGAAGTTTTACCTGAAAAGACAGACAGTTGAGGGGAACAGGCGACTCCATTCTTGTGTCTGTTGACCTGAACTTTGACTCCCGCTCTTGGGTCCCGTCCCGTAAGGGCATGCGTCTGCCACGTGACCCGGCCTGTGCACCCAGAACCGCTTTGACTCGGCCCTGAGGCTGCACCAGGGACGTCATGCTGGGAGCGTGAGATCAGTGGCTCATGTGCAGCTTAGGGGTCAGTCCGTGGCAGGTGGCAAGGCACCGACGCCCCCTGTCCCGTGCTAACTGGTCTCCGTGTGACCAGGCACTGTCCGTCCGTCCCCCGTTTTTGCCCAGAGCGGAGTGTGTATAAACTTTCGGTAATAGCCCAGCGCTGTACGTGGTTTGTCGTTAGCCACACACGTGTCTGTGAGCGCGCTTCCGGCACCAGTTCCTTCTGGGGACAGAAGGCAGAGAGGCGCCAGGCTCGCACGGGCGCACCACGGCGCTCATGCTCTGGCAGTAAGCTCACGGCCGTGTGCGTCTTCGCGGAGCCACCCCTGGCCCTGCCGCACTGCTGGGGGCGCGCACACTCACCGTGCGATTCTAGAGCAGAGACTGGGGCCAGTTTGCAGAGACGGCTTCCAGACTCGGGGCCCATCCGCCTCCAGGCCACACGTGTTGTCGGCAGCGGGAGCTGCGTGCTGTGTCGTCGCGTCCTTCTGTTGTGTGTCCTCCCCTCTCTCCTTGCCGAGCCTTCTGTCTCCTGCCGTGTCCGTGCGCTGGGAGGGCGTCCTCTCGCAAGTAACCCGTCTCCGGGAGGGCGGTCGGGGCCGGCGCTGCGTGGCTCTCCTCTGTGGGGTCAGTCGGGAAGGAGAGCGGTGGCCGAAAGAGTAGTGTCACTAGCATGAGTTCCCCGGACCGGCAGGCCTGGGCAGCCCGAAGGGCCCGAGTCTGGGCCGCGGAGGGATTTGTCCCCTAAGGGTCTGCACAGGTGGGGGCTCACAAGGGACAGGGGCCGTTCGGGTCTTACGGGGACGGGGGCCTGGGTGGGGGGTGGCTCGTTTCATGGTGGAGACTGTGCAGCCATTTGTGACAGAGAAAGTGGCTGTTTCCGTGTGTATGATTTTGTGCAATTCATTTTCCTGATGCTGACGGTTCCTTTCAATTTTTTCCCCATTTAGGTGTAATTTTTGTTAATCATTCATACGTTTCTAGGTAAGGTGGAATTCCATTCATTCGTAATGCTGTCTTCTGATGTGTGCTTTATGACAGTTCCTCACTGTGACTTTGTGTTCAGAGGAAGCTGCAGGCCGGGCACGCTCAGCGCGCGGGGCTGGGCACGCAGCTTCCTCCAGAACGGTGTGTTTGCTCAGGCGTCTGTTGTGTATGCTGCTTTTTTGTTTTCGTTTTTGTTTTTTTTTTAAGTAGCCTTCGCACCCAGCACGGAGCCCACCACGGGGCTAGAACTCACAACCCTGAGTTCAAGAGATGGACACTTAACCAGCTGAGCCGCCCAGGCGCCCCCGTTGTGTGTGCCTCTCTAAAACTGTCAGAGCCCATTTGGCTCCTGCTTACCGGGCCCGTGTGCCTTGCTGACCAAGTAGCAAAGGCGTGGCCGGTGTGCCATTTTGATGGGCCTGCCCTCCAGGAAGAGGACCGTGTGTGAGGGCCATGGGGGGTGGAGACCGTGTCGCGTGGGCCTCGCTGGGACCGGCCACCCCCCTCGCAGCGGGAACGAGCCTGGTGCCTTTCCCTGCTGCGCCTCTAGCGATTGCTCGCCCTTTTGCCCCAGGCGCGCTGCAGCCCGGGAGGCCGGACGGGCCCGCCGCCCATGTGCCCGCGGCCGTGGCTTCTGTTGCCGCAGTGTTAGTAGCAGGTGCTGGAGGGGCTGCGGGGGGGTTAGCAGCAGTCTCTTGGGGACCACCCGTCCCCACCCCCGTCCCCCACAGCAGTGCTCTGCTCCAGTCATCAGCTCCCTCCCTTGCGGGATTGGGGAAGGAGACCGTGTGGCTGTGTTTGTACCGGGAGTAGGCGGGTTCTTCCACCCGAGGCTCTGAGCAGCAGCACCCAGTCTGCACAGCAGAGCCTGCGAGCTGGAACTTGAACTTCCTGCTGCGGGTGACCCTCTGATCCTCACGGTCCTTTGGACCACGCCCCTCTGAGAACCTGTCTGCGTTGCCTTCCTGTCTGCTCGTGTGGGCTCGCTCTCACCAACAGCAGAAAGGAAGCACAGATGCCTTTTGGCCAAGGAAGCGCTTTGGCCGGGGGGCAGGGGGACGGACGGACGGACGGACTTGGGGCCTGCGTGTCTGAAGGGTCCCATCTGATGATTGATGGGTACAGGACGAATGACTGCGCCCACTTGTCTGAAGGACTGGCAGCTGGCCATGCCCCGCCCAAGCCCTGGCCCCAGCAGCCTGTGGCTCCAGGACAGAGGGACCCTCTGGGGTGGGGCCACCCCGGTAACCCCGGAGCGCCTCAGCAGTATTGGCCGTTCCTGCGGCAATGTCCTCAGGGGACCGGGGGCGGGGGGGGCTGTTCCCTCCATAGTCGAGCCGGCCCCAGGGCTGTGGGCCCCCGTGACGCGGTGCTGGCCACCTGTGTGCTTAGTAGCACGTTTCCACTCTTCCTAGAAGGCAGTTGTCTGAAAACCTGTCTTCTAGGTGGTTCCGGCAGAGGCAGGGTTCAGGCTGTTAGACTCTGCCTTCGAGCCCCCTGCTTCCTCTCCCTTGGTGATCAGCAGCACTCACTGAGTGACTGAGCTGAGCTGTCATCAGACTCTGACGTGACAGAGGGTGCCAGGTGCAGGTGTGGTTTTGGCCCGTGTCACAGGTTGAAAACCGCTGGTGTCTCGTTGCTAAAATTCATGTCAGAAGCTTGGGCATTCTGTGTCCGCTCTGCAGGCGAGGAGCCGTGTCCCTGTGGCCGCCGTCCCTAGAGGTGGGACCGGCCTGGGAGCCGCTGGCCTCTCTCCTGGTCTCAGTTGTCGTGAGGCCTGCTGCCTCCAGTGGCCTTTGTCACCTAAGCTGAGTGTGTCCTAAGGAAGTAGGTCACACGTTCTCCGGGTTAAATCCTGTACGTACGTAGACGTACACACGAAAACATTCAGACCGCGTGTCCTGAAGTGGATCCCACCCAGGGCTGCAGAACACTGTGTACGCGGAACCCTTCATGTGCAGAAAGAGATAGAAGTTCCTCCCGTCCCACCGCCTTCTCCCCCTGCACACCCCCCTCCGTGGCCCCTTCTCCTCTGACCACTGCCTCTCTGCAGATGCGGTTGTGGGAACACACGCCCTCCCCTCGCGTACGGGCGCTGCCTGCTGCTCTCCACCTCCCACCACCTCCGCCCCCCCCCCCCCCCGACAGAGAGCCTGAGGCCCCGGGGCCTCCGCCACTAGTCTGGGCCGCCCCCAGGTGTGCGGGGTGGGGCTTTGATCAGCTCCAGCCTGGATCTCTGGTCAAGTGTGTTTTGTTTTGGTGCCTGGGCTTTTCAGCAGTGTTTTAGATGAACGTGTGATGGGCGGGTGCCGGGGCCAGGGCCGCCTCCCCCCCCCCCCCAGTGGCCCTGCTGCTGGGCAGTGCTGGACACATTGCTGGGGCCTGACCTGCTGGGGCCCGGCCTTGTCCCTGTGCTCTTTCCATTCCACTTTCACTGGGTCCGAGGTGATGGTTTCGTCTCTTCGCATCCCCTACGTGTATTTTTTTCAGATCTTAAATGTGGTTTTCCGAAGAGCAAGCTGGAGCTTCAACTGTGGCAGCTGTCAGTTGTGCTGTCCCAGAAGTTTCTTCTGAACTGTGTAGTGCAGGGGGTTTTAGCCTCCGTGGGCTTGCCAGGTTGGATTCCGGGTACTTTATAAGCCTGGCAGCCACGAAGTGTAGGCTACCGACTGGTAAATGTATATGCTGAGGATGATTAGCCACCTTGTCGTGTGGCGGGCTGTTCGTGGCCTCCACACAAATGCACGGATTTGCTAAATGTGCTCATAAAGGAAGGAGGTCGATTGTATTGAGGTGAACGTGCCCCTCTGTGCCGAGGGGACTCACGGTCTCTCCCGGACACCTTCTCCAGAAGCGCAGGATTCCCACTAGTGGAGGGGCTGGGGGGTCAGGGTGGTGTGTGGAGCCGTCACGGGGGCCGCCCGGCATCAGGTGCAGCTGCCCGGCCGCTTCAGGCCCATTGCAGGGCGGCTCCAGTTCTGTCTCCCGTGTTGAGCCTGTCTAGGGGTGGCGGGAACAGAAAGGGGGAGCCTGCTGCCGTTTCACGCGGGCAGGGTTTGGGGGGCACCGTGAAGCCTCGGGGCTGCCTTGCAGCTTTGGAGCACGGGCTCTCCTGTATGTGTGCAGAGTCTCTGCGGCCCTGAGAGCCCCTTGTGACCGCGTGTTCTGATTAGTCTCCGGGGCCTGGCTTGACACAAACCGGGCTGCCGTACTGAGGGGGTTTCTGGGAAATTGACTTATTTCGTGTTACCATTTTAAAAATTCTAAAAAAAAACTTTTTTAATGTTTGGGAGAGAGTACAAATGGGGGAAGGGTAGAGAGAGAGAGGGAGATGCAGAATCCAAAGCAGGCTCCAGGCTCTGAGCTGTCAGCACAGAGGCCGACAGGGGGCCCGAACCCACGAATGGTGAGATCGTGACCTGAGCCGCAGTCGGACACTTCACTGAATGAGCGCCCCCAGGCGCCCCACTATTAAAAATTTTTTAAGTGTGTTTATTTATTTTGAGGGGGAGCGAGCGAGCAGGGAAGGGGCAGAGAGAGAATCCCAAGCAGCCGCAGAGCCCTACACGGGGTTGATCCCACAGCCTGAGCCTCAGTCTAGAGTCGGACACTTCACCAGTTCCGCCCCCCAGGCGACGCTTCGTTACTGTTTGGAAAGTGTGTCTGCACAAGCCGGTTCTTCAGTGAGGACGACACAGCGCCGTCCCCAGGCCTCGCCGGTGGGTGGGGACGCCCGGCTGGGGACAGCAGCCCCCTGCAGTGCTGTGTTCTCTCGTTGACAGAAGGAGCCCAGCCAGCCCTCCGAGTGCAAACAGCAGTAAGAAGACGGCCCCGAGGACCGCGGCGGCGGCGCTCACGTCTGACTCGTTCTCAAGTGCATGATTTTGACGTTAATTTTTCCTTTATCCTTATTATTTTGCTTAACCTGTACAGTGGCAACTTAAACGCATTTCAGAAATAGGAGTTTGATTCCAGCACCCTCTGCGGCCTGGGGTGCAGCGCAGCGGGCTTTCCCGGGCCCTGCCTTCGGGAGGAGGGGGCGGTGGGAGGCCCGTCGACGCCAGGGCCGGGTGTCAGGGGACGTGGGTCCGGGGCATCCAGGCGCCGTAACTCCACACTCGGACTGGATTCTTCCTTCACTTGGAGAAACTCACACGCTCTGTGTTTCCCGCCACCCGGTGTCCTGTGCTGTCCTCGGTCCCCAGAGCCGGTAGAGTCGAGTCCTGTTCTCCTTAGAGTGTTCCTTCTTCACTTCCGTCTTCCTCGGGGCGGCACGGGGGGCGAGCGCACCCCAGCCTGAGGCGCGAGTCTTCGTGCTTCGTCCTCGTATTTATTTATTCTTTCCTGCTCGTGAGGGCCCGGGGCGCCTGCCGCCGCCTGTCCGTACGGTCTCTGAACGCTTGTGTGTGACTGGCGACTTGGGACCCCCCGGTGGGTGCGCTGGAGGCAGCCTCGCCCTGTCCCGCCGGCTCTGCTGGGGGGGGTGCGGGGGGCGCTTCTCGTGCGTGCATGTCGGGTCTCGCTTCCTCAGCACCCCCGTCCCTCGGCCCTGTGCTCCTCTCGTCCCTGTTCTTGGCTGGCGTGTGAGGTTCCCGAGTGTGTGACCGTGCCTCCGGCAGCCGGGACGCGTGCCCACACTGCCACCAGGCCCGTCGAGTGCTCAGCCTTACTTACGATACATTTGTAACTGAATACGGTGTTTTCAATTTGTACAGAATAGTTAGAATATTCTATTAAAGTTGTGAAACACGAATCCAGCGCTGTGCAGTGTGTCTGTGGGAGGGCCGGGGGGTGGGCGGTGGGGGTCCGCGGGGCCCTGGGGGTGGGGGCGGACCCGGGGCTTCAGGCCTTCCCTGTGTGGTCTCTGGGGCTCTCACAGCCGCTTCTCAGGAGGAGGCTACGTTTAGTTTGCCCGTCAGGCCCCCAGACCTGCTTCACCGGCGGGGGGCTCGGGTCCCCGGGCAGGCCCCTCGCTGCCACGGGAAAGGGTCTGCTCTCCCCCAGGAGCGCGCCGTGTCCCAGAGCGCGTGGGGCTGTGCCTTCCAGATGCAGAAGTTCCTGCCTGAGGCCACCTTTGCTCTCTGCTGGAGCCTCCGTTCCTTCCAGAGAGGGAGCGCCACCCCCCCCCACCCCGCCTCCCGAAACATGGCTACACGGGCTCCTGCTCAGGACCTGGCTGTGGGCATGTCTGTCTGCCCTTCAAGAAGGACCCGGTGCCCGGAGAAGGTGACACGCAGCCTGCTCCTGACCCGCGGCCGGGGAGCCGGTGTCCGTCCACCCGTGGCGTGCCCGTGGCCTTGGGGGGCCGCCTTCTCCCTGGGAGTCGCTGGAAGGGAGAAGGCGATCACGAGAAGGAGCAGGAAGGGCCATGGAGTCAGAGTGTTCTTGGTTCTCGAAGGGCCCATGGCAGCTTGGGCTCAGAGGCCCCAGCTGGTGTCCGGTGTGGCCCATGGGTGAGCCCCACCTGGGTCTGGCCCCCCACGCCCTACCCAGGAAGCCTCAGGTGCCAGGCTTGCCTTCTTCCTGCGACACGCAGCGCAGACCGCGTCCCTGAGGATGGTGTGCAGAGAGGACGCCTGGTGCTACTTGGCCCCGGCCCCCAGACCCTGACCGGTCCAGGCTCCCCGAGTTCTCCCGAAGGGCACCCTGGAGCGTCCGCAGCGGACCTGTTCACAAGCCTGTGGCTCCAAGTAACCTCAGGACCTGGAGCACCTGCCTGGGACGATGTGCCTGCGTGACAAGCGGGAAGTGCACAGGGACCGTCACCGCCCTGGGAGCATCTGTCCCACTGGCCTGGCCCGGGGGGGGGGGCGCTCAGAGCCTGACCTTTCAGGGGAAGCCTCTCTCCTGCGTGGTCAGGGAGCCCATCCTGTCCTTCAGACACTGGCCGCGTCCTTGCCCACCCGCCGTGGCGGACCACGTAGCCACCTGAGAGCAGGGGTGTGTGTGCGGGTTCCTGTGGTTCCCCCGCGGGGTCTGAGCTGGACGGGAAGCGGCAGAGAGCGGCCGGGCCCGGGGTCAGTGGGCCGGGAGCCCGGCCTTGCGGGCGGCAGCGGGGGGAGGTTGGATGGTGGCCGACGGCAGAGACCCTGGGCTGAATTTCCCTGCGACGAGAAGAGTGTGCGAGCCTGTCCCCGCCACCGCGTGTGGGTGGTCACCGAGCTGGGTCCCCATGGCCTCCGTGGCCTCAGGCAGGTGTGCTTCTTCCAGACGTATTTGGACAAAACAGCTCAAAGCCTCGAGGAGCCGTGCCTTCCCCAGCCGTCCACTGCAGCCCCACCTCCTGTCCCCGCAGCTGCTCTCTAGCCTCACCCCTGCACAGTCACAGGAAAGGGAGGGCAGGACCTCTGCCGGCTCCCCCGCCCTGCACCTTAGGGAAACCGCAGACACAACGTGGGTTCACTTGGTCCTTGCCGCTTGCACCGGAACATTCCAGAGCAACCAGGAGGCAGCAGTTCTGGGGCCCTTGCTGGCTCTGCGGGGGCCAGGCTGCCACCGCCTCGGGCCCCCAGAACTGCCTGCCTGGCCCTGCTTCTTGACCTCTGTCCGCACCAATCCCGTAAACTGCTGCAAGCCAGGCCCACCCCCCGCCCTCACCGCCTCTGCCCCCGGTGCCCGCCCTCCTTTCCTCCCTCCTTAGACTGTCCCCGGCCACCCTGGCTCTGTGAGGCCACGGTCCCGGCTCTGAGTGCCTCCTGCCCCAGCCTCTGGGTGCACTCGGTCTGCCCCTGGCAGTTCCTGCGTTTCCATGGACACCTGGAGTTCAAGGTGGGGGCCCAGCGTGGGGACCCTGGGGGCATGGACTGAGGGAAACCAGACACGAGGGAGGGCGTGCGGGTGACGCGTTTCTGTGGTTTCTGGAGGCTGTGCGGCAACTGGGACCACCGGGGAGTGGGCGCGGGGCCGCTGGGGCACCGCCAGGCAGCCGAAACTCGCAGAAGCCCCTCGGTGAGCGCACCCAGTTGTGTGTGCAAAGTGTAAACCTGCTTTTTCAGAAGTGCTCCCAAGTTGGGGTCAGTGCACCTGAAATCCTGGTTCTCCCCATGAGGAGTTGGGAAGCGTGGCCTCCCAGGGCCAGCGGGGGGCCCAGGTCGCCCACGCCCCTGTCCACGCACACAGTGGACGACTCAGCAGCGTGTCCCCCGCACCTGCCGCCCCGTGGTGGCCAGTCTGCCTGATGGGCTCGTGGCCCCTGCGTCGCGGGGCTGGGGCCGAGCGGAGGCCTGACCCGGCCCGTCCCGAACCAGGCCAAGTTCGCCGGTAGCTCCCACTCCCCGAGGGCATCTTGGCCCCAGGGGACCCCCCGCCAGGCCTGGCCGCAGCAGGGAGACCTGACGCCGCTGCGGGGACGAGCCCTGTGCCCCAGTCCCCCAGTCCCGGTGGCGCTGCTGCCCTCGGCCCGCGCTCTGCTCCAGGACCTGTGGGAAGACAGGTCTTCCCACCTCCTTCGCCCCCAAGTGCCCGGTGGGGGACAGGCAACGCCGAGTGGGCTGCCGAGCAGGCCGCGGGGCCAGCGGTGGGACGAGTGCCCCCTGACCTTTAGCTCCATGGTCTGAGGGAACCGCTGGCCACCAGCCGAGTCCCTGGCCCAGGAAGAGGCTGCCGGGCACAGGGCCGGGCCCCTGCTGGAGAGCGCTGCCCCCGCGCAGGCTGCCCTCGGCTCCTTGCCAGCCGGCCCGGCCGTTGGGCACACCTGAACTTCGACCCCTGAACTTCCCATCTGCTCGAGAGCCAGACCCCTCCTCCCCGCTCCAGCCTCAGAGCCACTTCAGGTTGGGGTGCCCAAGGGACCCCAGGACCGTCCTCAGCTGACCCTGGTGGAGCTTTCCACTCTTCAGAATTTGCAGGCACCGTGTCTGCCCGGGACCCACCTCGGAGGCCCCGAGGCCCGGAGAGCAGGAGCCAGCACCCCAGCGGGCACGGTGGCCAGCGAAAGCCTGCATTCCCACCAGATGCTGACCCCAGCCACCAGGAGGGTGAGGCCCGGACACACCTCCTGGAGGCCAAGTCACCCCGGGGCACCTGGGCGGAGCGCCCGCCCGCCCCCAAGATGCCACGCTGACTCAGCCCCGCGAGGGCGGCGGCCGGATGTACCTTTCTCCGACACCCAGACAGGCGTGGCCCGGCCCAGCCTGGCTCCAGGCCTCGCAGGGTCTGTGACCAGGGACCTTCTGCGGCAGACCCCACCTGGGGTGGGGGGGCTTCCGGAAGTCTGGGATCGTCCGTCAGGTCTCTGAGCCTCCCTGGGTCTCAGATTTTGGATCTGGGACACGGAGAGCACCATCACTTTCCCAGCACAGCCCAGGGCTTCCAGAGAGGAAGCCCGGGGTTCACGGCCACAGCCACCTCCCTTCCCAAACCCGCGTTCCGGGCAGGGCTGCCCAGGCCGGATGGCCTGGTGCCTGCCAGCTTGGAGAGAGCCCGGGGAGGAGAGGGGGCAGGCACCCTTGGGGACAGGAAGGACTCTGGGACATAGGCAGGGATCCGTGTGGCTTGGGGTCTTCTGCCTCTGGCCAGCAGGTGAGCCCTGGGCCTCACCTGCCCCCATTTCTGGCAGGGGCTGGAAGGTTCCAGTAGGGCTGCCCTCCCTGAGAGGTTGCACCCGTACCCCAGCTCTGCGGTGCAGCTGGAGGAGGGGGCTGTGAGATGCACCCCAGGCCCAGTCCTGGAAGGAGATGGGCCCCCGGGTCCCAGGCCAGGCCGGGGGAGCAGAGCACGCCGAGGGTCCGTCTCCCGTGCCCTTGCCTGGGGACGGCCCTGTGATGTGGGGAACCACTCATCCTCGAAACCCCAGCTCAGAAGTCACCGGTTAATGCCATCGCTCTGGTCTTCATCTGCCGGCACCAGACCCCCCGGGGCTGTATAAGATCCAGGGTGGTTGTGACAAGTGAACACAGACGAGGGACTTCAAACAGAAGTCTACACTTTGGGTTCCGGAGACCAGATGTGCTCGGGGCCATGCTCCATCTAGCGGTTCTGGGGGAGGGTCCCTCCTGCCTCCCCCTGCGTCGCCTCTGCCTCTGTGGTCACGTGCCCCCCGCCCCGAGTGTGTCGGAAGAACACGGATGGCATTCAGGGCCCACCCCGGGAATCCGGGTGACCTGAACTCCAGGTCCTTAATCACATCTTTTGTCGATTGATTGCCACTCTCACCACACGCACTCACGTTCACTGGTTCCGTGGAGATGACACGCCGGGTTGGGCCCCATGGGGAAAAGTGACATAAATGCAGAGTGCCCGTTGGAGGGCCAGCTGCAGGGACACAGACCACCCCGCAGACCGTCTTGTCTGAGCTGCCACACGCTTCCCAGGCAGTTCCACATCCAGCCGTCCCACCTGGTGAAGTTCAGGGACGGTCGCGTGGCATCGCTTAACCACAGATAATCGCAGTAGCCTGGGAGCAGCCTGAGTGTTATGGGAGGTGATGAAATCCAGGAGTGCTTCCCGGGAAGGGAGGCAGATTCATGGGGGACACCCAGGACACAGACGGAACAAAACGTATGCGGTGTCTCCCTTCCGTGAAACCCGCCAGCTCCTATCTGGACGCCGCTGATGCGCACGTGGATACAGTTCTCACACTGTGGCGAAGTACACGTAGCCTTCCCGTCAGCCATTCTCAGGTGTGCAGCCTCTGTCTCCAGAACTTTCCATCTTCCCAAAGGGAAACCCCATCCCCGTGAAACAGGGACACCCAGCCCCTCCCCCAGCCCCGGCGCCCACCGTCCACTCTGTCTCCGGGAACCCAGAGACCCCAGGGGCCTCGCGAGAGTGGGTCACACGTGAGCATCACGGCCCCGGGTCCGTCCACAGTGTGGCAGGTGTCAGAGTGTCCCTCCCCGTCAGGGCTGAGCCACATCCAGGGTGCGGACGGACCACGTCCATCCATTCGTCCGTCCACGGACACAGGGTCGCTTCCTGTTTGGGGACCAGTCCTTCGGCCTGGGGGCAGGAGGGGGCGTCCCCCGGGCAGGCTCCACGAGAATGCTGGATGCGACCCTGGGGTAAACATCAGCGAACGGTCCACCTCCGGGTGGCGGCCCGTCCCTGCTTTCACTTTTGGGGGTGGACCCAGACGTGGGAGTACTGGATCACACGGTAGTTCGACTTTTAATTTTGGGGGGAAATGCACCTGAAAAAGGATGAAAGTTTGCTCACCACCGCAAGAGTGGCCCAGGGTGGGGCGTGAGGACACTTGGAAATCGCTTCAGCTTTTTCACTTTTTATGTCAACAGTTGGTCACAGTTTTGGTAATTATTTTTTTTTAAGTTTATGTATTTTTTATTTTGAGAGAGAGAGAGTGAGCAGGGGAGGGCCAGAGAGAGAGGGGGAGAGAATTCCAAGCAGGCTCCACGCTATCAGCACAGCCTGGCGTGGGGCTCGAACCCACGATCGTGAGATCACGACGTGAGCCGAGATCAAGAACTGGACACTTAACCAACTGAGCCACCAGGCGCCCTAATTTTGATAATTAAAAAAATTGTTTTACTGTTTCTTTTTTGAAGGAGAGAGAGACAGCGTGAGTGGGGGAGAGGCAGAGAGCGAGGGAGACAGAGAATCCAAAGCAGCTCCAGACTCCAAGCTGTCAGCACAGAGCCCGACGCAGGGCTCGAACCCACAAACTGTGAGATCATGACCTGAGCCGAAGTCGGATGCTTAACCCGCTGAGCCACCCAGGCGCCTCTGGTAATTTTTTTAAAGTAGGAAAGGTCTTGATTAAAATGTGCATGATGGGGCCCTGTCCTGGACCCGATACATGAGACCCCCTGGGGGGGCAGCAGCCGGTGTGTCCCGTGCGGACGCTGCCCAGTGGCCGCGAGGGCCGACCATCCACAGGGTGGCAGCCAAGCCTCGTCCACCTCTGCCGTGTCCCCTCCCTCTATTTTCCTTCATCCATATTCATCCTTTCTCTCGGGCTCCAGAGAGGTCGCGTGCCCCGTGAACGGCGCCCTGGGCGGTCTCCGCCTTGTGACGGGAGTGCCCTCCCCTCCCCGCTCCCCCCGCAGACCCCGTGCCTGATATTCTGGTTCTGCGGCCTCCACACAGGCTCTCGCTCTGATCGCATCTCTTGGTCAGGGAGATAGGTGCCTTTTAGGTCCACTGTTTCCAAAAACGTTGCCCAAGGGCCCGGGCCAGGCCCCGGGGGCCCCCCAGACTGAGACCGTCCCTGCATTCCAGGAGCTGATAGTGACCTCTGAACAAGGCAGTGCGGGACGGGTCGGGGGCTCGCCAGGGGCCAAGGAGAGAAAGGTTCTGTGCCCTTTCTCTTTGGATCCTTAGTGTCTCACGAGGCAGGCCCCACCTGAGGGACCCCAGCCACGGGGCCCCGGGAGCCAGAGGGACAAGAGACACAGGTCTGAGGGGCCGAAGCCAGGCTGGGGCCTCTCACTTTTCCCAGGCCGCGGCCACCGGGCCTGCCCGACTCAGGTCAGGTGGCATCAGGCCACCTCTCTGGTGCTGTGACTCCAGGCAGCCTGAGCCTCCCCCCGCCCTCCTGAGGTTCTCCCGCCCCCCCCCCAGCAGTTATGAAGCCCGTGGGAGCTGTCCTTAGGGCATGCCCCGCCTGGCAACCCGAGGGGGCTTCCTGGAAGAGGCCCAGAGAAGCAGAGCAGGGGAAGCAGGGAACCCCAAGTCAGGCTGTCCCTGAGCGCCACCTCCCACAGGAAGAGGGTAGTATCGAGCCCCAGGCACATGCAGCTGTGACGCACGGCTTCCTCACAGGCAGCTGTTCCCAGGGCTGGTTCGGCAAGGGCATCCGGGGCCCAGCCTCTCGCTGTTGTGGGCATGACCTCAAGAGGGACCTTCCGGAGAGGTGCTCTCATTCTGCCTGGGCCCAACGGGACAGGACGGCCAGTGACCTTGGCCGGAAGTTTGGAGACCAGTCTGTGTGCTCCGGGGGAAGAAGGGGGGTCCCCTCAGGCAAGCTCTGTGTGAAGCCCAGATGTGGCCCTCGGATAAATATTAGTAAACTTGGCTCTGACCCACGCTGTCTGACGCCACAGACCAGAGGCAAAGCCCAGCACAGCCCCTCCCCCTTTGTTTGGGTGGGGCCACTTCCTGCCCCAGACCTTGGGGCACAGGAGACAGATTGGGTTTGAACCCCACTGGCTGCCAGTATGACCTCCACCGAGTCCCTAACTCCTCCGAGACCCCCACTCTATTTCCTGCAGATCCGAGAGCGCAGCCCCTGCCTCGGTAGGGGACCATCAGGGACACAGAGGGTATGTGTGTCCGGCCCACGGGGTCCGGCACCTGCCGGGCCCGGAAGCCTGGTGAGCCCGAGCTCCCCCTGAGGTGCGGCCCAAATCCACACCGGGGTGCCCGGTGCCCGGCGGGAAGCCGTCCTGGTGGCTGTCCGACGGCACAAAGGGGGCGCCCCCTGCAAGGTCTTCCCTTGGGCTTGCTGGGTCAGCCCCTTGATTCCTCAGTCACCCCTCCCAGCTCCCCTCCCCAGAGGGCTCCCCAAATGGGCTCCAGGCTAACACTGCTCAGAGGGGGGCAGGAGCCGCCGGGCTCCCCACGGGGCCTCTGGTGGACGGAGCTCTCAGGCCCCAGGCCGGGGGCTGTTGGTGGTGTAGCTGCCTCGATGGGCCTGGCTCCCGACCCCCAACCCCCTGGAACCCCCAGCCTGATTGCCACCCACCCACTCGGGCTGTCCTGTCCCAGGGTCTCCCTGCCAAGGTCAGAGCCGGGGCGCTCCGCCTGCCCTCCCGGCTCCCTCTGACGCACGCCGGTCAGAGCACCCCGGGTCCCTGACCCGTCCACGCTCGCCGGAGAGGCCCCGCCAGTGGGGGCCAAGAGGAGCCCTGGACCGGCGGGAGGCGGCCTCACCCGGCCTCACCTGCCCCTCGCACTCGCCCCACCCTGCCCCAGCTCCGGTCACACCGGTGGGGACCGCTGGGCAGCTGACACCTGACGCCATTGGCACAGGCCTGTCGTGCGAGCCGGCGGGGCCCTTGTTCCTGTCGCTGAGCCTGGAAGGGCCGCCCTCTGAGAGGTTAGGGGACTCGCCGAGGCCGCCCAGCGAGGGTGGGCAGGGCAGCGTCGTCCCAGGGCCAGCTTCCAGGTCCTGCACCTAGAAGGTCCTGCGTTCAGTTTAATGCTCCTTTGTCACCGGCTTGAAAACTTTAGTACTTTTTGGATGGGGACCTGGTTTTCACTGTACCCGCCCTGCAGGTGTGAGGCCCGGAGTGTGGCCACCGCCCCCAGGGGGCTCGGTCCAACCCCTCTGCGCACAGCCGGGTCGGGGGGCATTGCAAGGTGGGTCCTCTGGATCGGTCCCGGCCCCCAGAGACCCCTTCTGAGGAGCCGGGAGGAGCCAGCAATCCCTCCCGCTCCTGTAAACCCTTGGGACGGAGGGAGGAGACAGCCCTGACTCAGCCGCCCGCCACCCCTCTCGGGTGACCCTCCAGCACCCACAGCTCCGAGGGCCTCTTCCCATTGGGCTGTGCAGGCGATGGGAGTCGCTCTCTGCCCAACGCCAGGAGGACCCAGGGAAGAGGACAGGGCCCCCCAGGGTACTGTTCTAGCACTTTCCACGTGTTCCCTAATCTAACAAAAGTGTTACTGTCCCCATTTCCCAGAAGAGAAAGCCTGCTCAGAGCACCTGCTCTGCGGGTCGGCCCGGCCCCGGTGGGCCCGCGGGAGGGTGGGGGCTGGGGGCAGGAGGGCCCTCGGAGGGTCTCCCCGGGAAGGACCCCCAAGGCGCGGGAGGCGTCCGCCAGCGGCCGGAGCGCCGGGAGGCTGGGGGCCCGGGGCCCGTCGGCCGCCCGGGTGCTTCCCGGGGCTCCGGCCGGTGAGTCACCGCGGGCAGAGCCGGCCGCAGCGCATTCCTCCTCGAGGCTGGCGTCCGGGGCGGGGCTCGGGGGGTGGGCCACGAGTCACCCCACGGGGCCGGCAGCCGGGGCGTCGGGGGAACCGGAGGGGCGCGGGCGGTCCGGGCCGGCGGGGGCGGGGCCGGGGCCCCCGAGGGGGCGGGGCGGGCGGGGCCCGAGGGGGCGGGGCGGGCGCGGCGGGGCGGGGCCGGGCCCGAGGGGGCGGGGCGGGCGCGGGAGGGGCCTTATAAAGGCGGCTCGGGGCCGGCCGGGTCTCCGCACCCGCGCCGCCGCCGCCCGCGCGCCCGGACCCCGCCGCCGCCGCCGCCGCCGCCATGAGGACGCCCGGCGAGGTGCTGCGCGAGGGCGAGCTGGAGAAGCGCAGCGACAGCCTCTTCCAGCTGTGGAAGAAGAAGCGCGGCGTGCTCACGGCCGACCGCCTGCGCCTGTTCCCCGCCGGGCCCGGCGCGCGCGCCAAGGAGCTGCGCTTCCACTCCATCCTCAAGGTGGACTGCGTGGAGCGCACCGGCAAGTACGTCTACTTCACCATCGTCACCACCGACCGCAAGGAGATCGACTTCCGCTGCGCGGGCGAGAGCTGCTGGAACGCGGCCATCACGCTGGCGCTCATCGACTTCCAGAACCGCCGCGCCCTGCAGGACTTCCGCAGCCGCCAGGAGCGCGCCGCGCCCGCCGCGCCCCCGGAGCCCCGGCCGGGCCGCGCGCCCTAAGGCCGCCGCGGTGAGTGCGGCCGTCGGGGGTCCCGGGGCCGCGGCTCGCCCCCCTCGCGTCCCGGGCCTGGTGGGGGGACCCCAAGCCTAACCCTCCTCCTTCCCCCCCGCAGGAGCCGCGCACTCGACGACGAGTTGGGCCCGCCGCGGGGCCACCCTCCCACCACCCACAGTGAGGACAGAGAGCCACGTCCCTGCCCCACAGAGAAGGACCTTCCCGTGCGGAGCCGCCGAGCCACGGCCCGCTGAGCGGGCGCATTAAATTATCAGACTATCTATGTATTTATTTTGATGGTTATTCGTCGTGGAGCCATCTGTCTTAATATGTACTGTTTGCACCGATATGTTCATTCCAAATAAACCACTGGGCCTGTTCACTTTTCTACCAGCTGCCGGTGCTGCGTGTGAGGTCTCTGGGGGGCGGGGGGTCGCGGCCCTTTCGGAGGGGGTGGAGGGGGTGGGTGCGGAGAGCCGCAGCCCTGGCGTGGGAAGGGCCAGGCCATCAGCGCACTTTGAATGAACACAGTGTCATCCGCTGGGCCGGGTCCACACCCTCCTTGCCAGGCAGCCTCTCCGGAAGCTGGGAAGTGCCCTGAGGTTTGGCCCTGGCCGACTTCTGCTCCTGGGCGTGCGTCCGGAAGGACAGGGCCCGGGTTTCGCTCAGGGAGCTCACTGGCAAACTGCCCCGCTGAGGTCAGAGCTGCCCCTGCACTCAGTGGGTGCCCGCTGCACCTGCTCCCTACTGCCCACAGGCCGCCTGTCCCCCCAGCCCCCCGGAAGGCCCTGCTCTGCTCCCCTTGACCTCAGTCCTGGCCGGGCCGGCCCCGCTGGCCGCACGCACGGTGCTGGCCGCACGCACGGTGCTGGCCGGGTGAGGCTGCCCCATGGGAGAACGCGGGGGTGTGTTCCCACGGCCGGAAAGTAAGCCAGAGCACGGAACAGAAGCCGGATCTGGGCCCGCTGGGGGCCTTCCCTTCTGGGACCTTTCTGGCTGGAAGGACGATGCCACGTGGGGGAGGCAGCGGCATGGACAGTGACCACCGACAATGAGGCCCTAATGTCTGTCACACGGGAGGGACCCGGGGAGCCGCGTAGGCCTCCGCGCTGGGTCCCAGGGCTCAGACTGGGGTGAGGGTGGGGGACTGTCCCTTGTCTGGGAAGCCCGAGGAAACCCTTTCCTGCAAGGAATTGCCCCCTCCCCCAAACAACACTACTTAAGAAGTCCCTGAGCCAGTGGGGGAGGGGAGGTAGGGAATCGCAGCCCCAGGGCCTGCACCTGCCCCCATGGACCCCCGTGCTGCCCCTTCCTGGAGACTTGCCCAGACCCTCATTGGGACAAAGGGTGAAAGTCAAGGTGAGACCCTCCCCCCTGATCCCCGGTGGGGTCCACTCGGAAACTGGTCTGGTCTGAGCTCTCGGGCCGGGAGGGTGGATGGACTTCTGTTCTCTGAGGCCCTTCTGCTTGGACCATGGAATTCCGGGGTTGGGGGTCCTGAGTTGTGTACTGGCTTCTTTCACAGGCAGCCTGTGGGGGGTGGGGAGTGGCCTTCACGGTCTCAGGGTCACCTGCTGACCCCGCCGGATTGTTCTCTCCACACTGGTCACGCTGGCCTCCCTGTGCACCAGTGCCTTTCTCCCTACATCTGGGGGGGAGGGGCTCCCCAGGCCTGGGTCCACCCGCAGGGCCATTTTTCCTGGGCCTCTTTGCAATCCTCAAACTCCACATCTTTGAAAACAACCTGTTTCCATTCACGTGAGGTGACCGACAAGGGCAAGCCGGTGCTGAGCCCCGAGGCCAAGCCGGTGGTGGGGGTTGGGGGGTAGGCAGCTCCGGTCTCCAGGGGTTTGAGCTGAGCTGCCTGGGCAGCAGCGGGGGACCTCCTAACTGGGGGCGGACTCCAGGCAGGGGAGGGCCCACCGCACAAGGACAATGTGGGTGACTGGGCTCCCTCCGGAGCCCTGGGGCTCTGGCTGTACGCCCCCTCTTCCAGGAAGCTTTCCAGCATCTGACCCCCCCCCCCCCCGGCCCTCGCTCAGCCCCAGGTCCCCTGTTTAAACCATGAGAGTCGGCAGAAATCAGGCTGGAAGAGTTTATTGCCAGTCTGTCCCCTGGGGCCACTGGTCACCAGACTCAGTCCTTCTTCTGGGGCACAGGCTGCCTCCAGAGCACCAGGAGGACAAGGAGGTTGATGGCAAACTGCACGTGGCCGAAGATGGGGACCCCGAAGCCGCGGTACAGGAGGCCGCCCAGGGTGGGCCCCAGGGTCTGAGTCAATGGCTGCACGGTGGCACAGAGGCCCAGCATGGTCCCTGGGTGGCGGGGGGAGGAAGTCAGGCCGGAGGTGGGGGGCCCTCGGTATTCCTGCCCTGGCCCCCCACTTCTGGGACACAGCCGAGGTCTGACTGGTGGGGTCTGACACCGGTCTGACCGCCCCCACTCCCGTCCACTCTGCTCCCCCAGCTCCCTCCGCCCAGACTGCTCTTTTCGGACCACCTGGCACCTCGGGGTCAGGCAGGTGCCTGCACCCCTGCCCCAGAAAGTTCCCAAGAGCAGGAGGAGCCGCGGGTCGCGGGCCAGGCCCCGCCCCCTTAGGCCGCAAGCCTGGGGAGCGCATCCCTGAGTCCTCCTGAACCTCGGACTGCAGGCTGGGGCTGGGGTGCAGGGCGGGCCGCGACAGTGCCGGTGTCACCCCCACGGCCTCCACCCCCCCGTATGGACTGGAGAATGCCCTCTGCAGTACCGGGGAGGGGTCCGGGGACACACGAGAGGCTGCCCACCTGCCTCTCTGCGCCCACTCCTTCTCGGGCTCACCTGGCTGCCTCTGCCCCCCGCTACCTGACTCCCCCGTCACGGGCCCCTCTGTGTCCCCTGTGGGCGAGCGCATGTGAGCCTGTATTGCCAATAAGCCGTGCCCAGCGGGTGCCCGGCTCCAGGGGCTCAGAGCCGTGGCTTGAGAGCCCGCCGGGTGAGCTGGGAGCCGCCTGGCGAGGCCCCGCCTGGGCTCAGGGGCTGGCGTGGGGGGAATTTAAGAGCGGCTTTTCCCTTCGCCCACACGCCCTGCAGACACCCGGGAGCAATTACCGCCCCCTCTGTGGTCTCCGTTCCCAGGCTGGTGCTGGGAACCAGCTCCCTGCGCCTTCCGAGGGGCGGGGCCTCAGGTGCAGTGTGGCCCTCCTCCCTGCCAGCCCTGCCCCCATCTCTCCACGCTCCATTCCCCTGCCTCCTCCTGGCCTCTCCTGGGTGCCGGTCCCCACCCCCCCGCCCCCCAGGAAGCCCTCTGGGCCTGGCCAGGCCTCCCCGGAACAGGAGCAGCCCTGACAGATCTCCCCCACCAGCCACCTGGTTCCCTCGGTCTGCCCCTCCCCCCTCGGCACACAGGTGGATGGAGACAGGTGGAGGGTTGGTGGGGTCCGGTTGGCTTTCTAGCCTGCTGGAGAGTTCTTCAGCCTCAACCAGCCACAGGAGCCTGTGAACTCCACCTGCACCAAACCCTTCCCCCTCCCCCCGCCCCTGCTCCGGGGCAGAAGCAGGGAGCCAAGTCTGGAGTCTTGTAGGCTTCTAGAAAGAAAGGTGGGTGCAGAGTGAGGGCTATGGGATCCCTGTCTGGGGACATCTGTGTCCTACAGTGGGGGGTGGGGGGCTGGGGGCTTTCAGGCTTAACTGGCCCTGTGCCTTCATTCACTTGCTCAGGAAGCATCAGCACTGCCCCCTGTGCTGGGGAGGGAACAGAGGACCAGCTCCTGCCTCCCAGCCTCGCAGGCAAGCCCATCCCTGCGCTGCCCACGCTTGGCCCCCTGGGCTGTCTCCCTTCCTGGCCTCTGCAGGAGCCTCTCGGCTCCAACCCCCCTCCACACCTCGGACCAGCTGGGTCCTGGCCTGGAGCACCATCTTTCCATTCCTCCTTTAGAGGGGGATCCTGCCCCGGCTTCAGAGCCAAGCCAGACACCACCTCTGGGAAGCCCTCTTTCCAGCCCCCAGGCCCAGCCCCGCCTGGGTGGCTGCCAGAATTCTCGCCTGAGCCATCTTGCAGCCCACCACCCCGACCCCGCTGTCGGGGACCCTGGGCCACCCACCCCTCTCAGTACTCGCTGGGTCTGGGCACACCCGGCCTGACATGGGGGAGCTCTCTATCTGAAACTGCCCAGAGAGCATTCCAGAGAGGAGGGCCCAGCTCTCCCTGGCCCCTCGCTGGCTCACCCGTGGCTGAGGCTGGGACAGCCTTGGTCAGCATGCTGTCGGTGACCACGTTGAGGGCACACACGCTGAAGACCAGGCCGGGCATCAGGAGGCAGAAGTGGAAGACGTTGGACATCAGTGCCTGGCATGGGGCGGGGAGGCCGTGGCGAGTGGGCGGGGCACACGGGACCGGGTGGAAGGGCCCAGCCCTGAAGCCCCTTGGCGGCGCCCCGGGTGGGGGCGGGGGTGGAGGCAGCCCTGGGGCTCAGGTGCAAACGGCACGGGCAGGCGGCTGGGGTGGTGGGCCCGGGATCCCGCCCTCTGTGCAGGCAGCCCCCGGGACGGCGCTCACCATGGCCGGTCCCACCAGGACAAAGCCCAGCACGCTGGTCCGGAGCAGTGCCCTCTCCGAGAAGCGGCTGCTCAGCCGCCCGATCACCAGGCCCTGAATGACCTGGGGAGACAGAGAGAGAGGCTGGGTGGGAGGGGTCTGGACGGCGGCAGCCCCCACAGCTGGGGTCCCCTCCCAGCCCCAGCAGCCACAAGGCCAGAGGAGAAGGCTGGGGCCCCAACGTCTCATGTCTGCGGGAAGGTCCCCGAGAGACGGGGTGGCCTGGGCACAGCACGCAGGCACCCATTCACTCCAACAATCGTCTCCAAAGCGGGTCCTGCGTCCTTAGTTTCAGGCGTGAACACATTTTCATCAAGGGCGGGCCGGCTAGCTGCTCACAGGTCGGTTCGGGGGACAATGGCTTATGGGGTAAAAAGCACTGGGTATCGTGTGGCCCTGACTGCAAAGCCCAGGGACACTGAGGCCCTGGGAAGCCCCGTCCAGTGTCACCTGGCCCCCGCGTGCCCCTCCCCGTCAACCACTCCTCCTCAGCCCAGCCCCCCTCCTTCCTGGAGGTCGGGCCGCAGAGGCCTGGCCCTGGCAGGCAGCTCGGCTGCTGTCCACCAGAGCCCACCCCTGTGCCAGGACCAGGCCAGCAGCTCTGCGACTTCACCGCGCCCCGGGTACAGCTGGGTAAACTGAGGCCCCGAGGGCTGACGTTACTTACCCAAGGTCCCAGAGCTGGAGTGGAGTCTGGGGTGATGGATGGTGGAAGCCCAGTACCCACAAGTGCTCAGTGCCCCCAGGGGCTGTGTGCGGGCTGGGGGTCGGTGCCCCCGGGTGCTTGTGCGGACCGTGGGTCCTGGGGCGGCCCCAGCCCAGGCCTGCGGAACGGGGCCCCCTACTCCCCTCACTGCCTGCCTGGCCTGATGAAACTGCTTCTAACCGGAACCACACATGTCCCCTTAGAAAATCCTACTTTTAGGGGCGCCTGGGTGGCTTAGTCAGTTAAGCGTCCGACTTCTGCTTAGGTCATGATCTCGCGGTTCGTGGGTTCGAGCCCCGCGTCGGGCTCTGTGCTGACTGCCAGCTCAGAGCCTGGAGCCTGTTTCAGTCTGTGACTCCCTCTCTCTCTGACCCTCCCCTGCTCACGCTGTCTCTCTCTCTCTCTCTCTCCTAGAAATAAATTAAAAAAAAAAAAACATTAAAAAAAAAAAGAAAATCCTACTTTTAGACTTGCTTTACGTTACATTTTCTGTTTGTTTGTTTGTTCTTGTAAAGGAAAGTCCATCTGGCGTGGCCATCAGCGTGGCACGGCACCACAGCAGAGTGAGGTCTGGCCTCAGCATCCACGCAAACACCCAGACCCAAACCCTGACGCAGTGCTGTCCTGCCTCAGTTTCCCCATTAACTTAAAAAAAAGCCTAAAACGTCTGTGGCTGGCAGGTTATTACACGAAACCAGAACTTAACAAACAGGCCCGTCCTTGGATGCCTCTCCCAGGGTGAACGTGGGCCACCCACGTTCCCTATAGCCCCTCTCTAACAGTGCGCAGAGCTGGGGGAGCTCATGTGACCGTGTCCAGCCTCTGCGTGGACCCTCTCCACAGCCCCCACCCCAGTCTGAGTAAATCCAGGTCCTTCCTGGCCCTGAAGAACCCTCCCCTCCACGTCCTCAGAGTCTAGTCTGCAGCCTCAGCCACCTCAGCAGCCGTGTGCTCCCCACCCCAGGGCCTTTACACTTGCAACCCCTTCCAACCCGCACCCCCCCCAACTGACTGCCCCGCCTAAAATTGCACCTCAGCCCTTCTGAGGACCCAGGAGGCGGTTTGCAGAGGGAGGCAGCACGCAGGAGCCCCGGCTGCCTCTTCGGACCCTCAGTGACCAGCCCTACCCTGCAGGGCTGGGGGCTGGGACGTGCCCGACGGAGGGGGCCTCAGGCCAAACCCCACCCTCTGCCCACAGAGGTTCCAGACACAGCCGGGGCCCCAGCTCCCCCAAGGGTGGGCCGCCATCCATACAGGTGCCGGAGCCCAGGCCCGACTCAGGCGGGGTCACCACTGGGGACTACAGTGTCCGCCTTGAGGGTCCTGGGGCCTGCTGGCCTCAGCACAGGTGCGGGCCTGGGTTCCAGGGCCTTAGGAGCCGCGGCCCCCGGCCTGGAGCGCTGGTGCTGTCGTTTCTGTGTATGGCCCCGGGATGCCCCCCCCCCCGCCCCCCCGGCCGGCCTGCAGCGGCGCCGAGGTGTCCCTGCCCCGCGGTGGCTGCCACTTTTGCACCAGGGCTGAGACCAGTCCTGGGCCCAGAGGCGTGGGGAGCAGATGGCCTGGAGGTGCAGGGACATCACCGGCTCCCGGGGAGCCCCAGAGCTCCCTCCCCTTCGGACGGTCCCGGAACAGCCCCTCCTGCACCCTGGCTGTCCGGCGGCACGCCGCCACCTGTCCCTGCCCCCCAGGGCCTGGTGCAGATGCCAGGAGGAGCTGGGGCCCCTGGCGGCCCCACCACCATCCCACCGGCTGTCAGTCAGGGCATCTCACAAGGACGGAGTGACCATCCCTTGGATGGGGCTCACAAGGTGCCCGGCCTCTTCTTTTTTTTTTTTCAATTTATTTTCGAAGGAAGAGAGAGACAGAATGTCAGTGGGAAGTGGGGGGACAGAGAGAGAGGGAGGGAGACACAGAATTGGAAGCAGCTTCCAGCTCTGAGTTGTCAGCACAGAGCCCGACGTGGGGCTCGAACTCACAAACCACGAGATCACGACCTGAGCTGAAGTTGGACGCTTATCTGGCTGAACCCCCAGGCACCCCTGCCCGGCCCCGGCTAAGCTCTGTGCCACCTCAGCTCACTCGATCCACCAAACGACCCCACAAGGGTCACGGTGCTTTGCCTCACTCGATGGTCAAGGCGACAGAGGCTCCGAGAGCTTGAGGAGCTGCACGCGGCCACCAGGCTCTCTGCCGCCCCGTCCTTCTGCCGAGGAGCGCCCAGCTGCTCGCTCGGAGGACCGCGGGCCCACGCATGCTTGCAGACGGGCACCTCCCCTGGGTGCCAGCCTCCCCCTCCCCCCTCCGGGGCAGACGGGGCTGCAAGCCAGGCGCAGGCCCTTCGGTGGCTGCCTGGAGCAGGGAGGGGAGGGCACAGTCCCGCGGCGGGAGGGCAGCCGGAAGCTAACCGTACGGAACAGTGACGCAGGTGAAACCGAGGCTGGCAGACCGCAGCCCTGTGCGCCCGGCACCCACTCACCATCTGAAGAATCCCGAAGAAGGACATGAGGTAGCCAGCCTGGGCGGCGTCCAGCTGGAAGAAGTCCATGGAGATGATGGGGAACATGACCATAAAGAGCCCTGGGGGGGGGGGGAGGGGAGGCAGGTGACTGTGGCGCCCTGGCCGCCTCCCAGAGATTGGGTGGATCTCTGGCGCCCGAAGGTGCTGGAAGCTCCCCCATGGCGGGGCCTGAGCCCACGGCGTCCTGTGTGAAGGCCGGCGGGAGGTGGGGGCCCAGGGCTGGCCACACGGGAAGATTTGACGCTGGATCCGCTGGTGGCCCCCATGAAGTCGGTCACTCAGGTCACGTCATGGTGTCCCAGAAGAGCCCGCCTGGTCCCAAGACTGCAGGTGCCAGCCAGGCAGGCCCCCCACGCGGCTTCAGCCCCATGGACCCCGACCCTGAGATGTGTAGCCCAGTTTTGCAAGGGCGAGACCCTCTACAGGTGCGGGATTAGCCCTTGAGCGCCTCACTAATCCGTCCTCTGTGCTGCTCCCCAAGGAGAGGAGCCCAGACGGGGGCTGCCGGACGCCACTGCGGGGTTGCCTGGGACCCACCCTGGAGGACTTGCCAACCACAGGGCGCTTCGGACTGTGTGTGGGGGGGACCCGACCCTGGGCGGCTGGAGGGAAGGGGGCACGGCTGTCGCCTTCTCCCCGCCCCCCCCCGCAGCCACTCAGCAGGAACCAGGGGGCCGTTCCTTTCCCTGGGACACGTGTGACGGGCAACAGCACAGGGAGAGCACGGCCCGGGACACAGGGTGGAGAAGGGGGTGCCCTGACCGCAGGCCTCCGCCCCGCGGCCCCCAGCGCTTAGTGGCGCCAGGTCCCACACTCACCGAAGGGGAGGCCGGATGCCACCTTGATGAGGAACACAGGCCAGACCCCGGATTGCAGCAGCAGGTGGGTGATGGCCTTCAGGTCAAACATGTTGGCCTGGGGTCTGCCTGGGGGGCCCGGAGAGGCCGGTCACGCCGTCGCATAGCCCATCCTCAGCCCCCTGACTGGGTCTTGGCCGGGCTGCAGGGGCCGCGGGAGGCTCCTCTCTTGAGCCTGGCATCCCGCACCCATGCCGACACCTGCCCTCAGCAGCCGCTCCTCCCTCTGGCCGACAGCTCCCAGCCCACACCCCCTGCTGGCCCCTCTGGGGGCACCGGGCAGCTAGGGCTGTGCCCTCAGCCCCCACCGACCCTGCAGCCCCTGAATTCTGGGAGGCGCTCGGGAAGCACGGGAGACCTGGCCTGGCTCTCACTCCCCCAGCCCACGTGACCCGGGAGTGGCTCGTACCCAGCTGGGCTCAGCCAGGGGACGCCCGGTACTCCGGGGCAGCTCAGTGGCGGGGTCCCAGGGGGGCCTACCTGGTGGGGCAGCCGCGGCACGAGCCCCTTTAGTGCTGACAGGGATACAGGTGAGGCTGAGGACGGCTCCCACGAGGTTGGCCACAAGTGCCACGGACGCTGGACACTGCATCCTGGGGAGGGGGGCAGTAGTGGTCACACACGACTTGGGACCCGGGTGCAGGCGCCCCACGCAGCCCTGACCGGCCCGTCAGCCACAGTGAGGTCCCCACCGCTGGGAACCGCTCGAACCCCACCAGCCACATCCCCACTGCCTGTGAGCTGGAGGGAGGGGCGGGACCCTCGGAGCATATTCATTAGGGGACACAACGAAGGAGTAGACGAAGCTGTCACCATGCCCTACGGTGACGCCACAGCTGCGGCTCTCGGCAGCCACAGCATGTGGGCCTGGGCCCCTGAGCGCGGTCGATGGCACGAGCGGGGGGTGAGCCCTGGCGGGCTGCGGCGGGCTCTCCCAGGGGGCACCAGGGACGGGGAGGCCCCCAGCGGGGCAGGGGCATCAGACCCTGGGGGGCTGTGCCTCAGCTCCAGGCCGTGTCTTTCAACGCCGGGAGCTCCCTGCACAGCCCTGGACGGAGTGGGTGGCTCCCGGGGTCTACCCATTTTACGGAGGAGCAAACTGGGTTCCCAGAGGAAGGGCCCTGCCAGCGGGACGGGCCTCCTGGGGTGGGGGTGGCTCGACGCTTCCTTTAGGTGACGCCTCTCTGGCCCTTGGGGCTGATGGGGAGACACCAGGCGGCACTGGGGACGGGGCACCAGGAGGGGGTGCCGGTGACCCCGAGGTGCAGGGGCGGTCAGGGGGCTCGGCTCTGCCTCTCGGCCCCACCTGCATGGAAGGGGGACCCCCCACAGCCTCAGCCGTGTCATGGGGACCGTCATGGCTGCCCCCCTTCCCTCCTGGGGAGAGCCCTGCCCCCCTCAGGACGCCCCCCTCCCGCCCGCCCAGACCCAGGACCCAGACTCAGGTGGGCCCCTCAGTTCCGGAGAAAACCGTTCCGAGCTGTGAGTCACCACAAGGAAACTCGGGTCGTGACCTGTCTGGAAGGCACGGCCAGGCCGTGTCACCTGACCACACGGGCACAGGGGGCCAGCCCTCCTGACCAGCACCGTTTCCTCCCCCCGGGGTCGGGGGGAGAGGCAGGAACACGTGGGGACCTCATGCTGAGCCTGAGCCGGAACCTTCCAGGCTGGCGCAGGGAGCCCTTCCCCTCAGGGCAGCAGAAGCTCCGACCCACCTACAGGACCCCCTCTCCCGGGGCCCGGGTGGTCCTCCCCGGGCGCACTGACCCCGAGGACGAGCGGGCCTGGGCGGGACCCTGCGCCGAGACCGCGGAGCAGGTGAGCGCTGTTGACACGCACGCAGCCCTGCCCCACCCTCAGCGGGGCCCCCGTGCAGGGCCGCGCAGCGCGGAACCAGTGGGGCGTCAGTGTCCCCTGCGTCTCCGAGCAAGGCCAGCCACCAGCCGCCCTTGGCCCTGCCCGGAGTGCCCCCGCCCCTCCCCCACAGCTGCAGGTGTGCACACACGCACACCCTCGCGCTCGCACACAGGGAAGCCCCAGGCAGGCAGGGCCCTGTGTCCCCGTGGGGTCAGCGAGGCCGGTGGGGGCGGGGCCGCCCAGGTGCACACAGCTGGTCAGCGCTCAGCCCGCACCTGCGGCTGACCCTCCCCTCCCCCACCGGCCCGCATCCAGGCCGGCGGGCGCTCAGGCTTCCAAATGAACGGGCCTTCCCACGGACAGACAGGCCCGAGGTCAGAGGCCTGCGCTCAGACCCCGGGGAAGACGTCACCGCGCGGGGCCTGGCGGGCAGGGACGGAACTTGCTTTCTTTGCCAGATGCCCCGGAAATTCGTGGGAGCAGAGGCGGCCACTTAGATGGCTATTTTGGGAGGCTGGTGAGAAGCGCAGGCTGGGTGGCAAGGAGCCAGGCCCCTTCTGGTGGGCTCTCCCCGCCCCCCGGCGTGCTAACCCGAAGGAAGGACAGGGGCCCCGGGGACACCGGAGGGAGTCGGGGGGGCCACAGCTTCCCGGGGGGCGTTGGGGGGAGCGAGTGCCCTCCCCCTCCCCCAGAGCCCCTTCCAGCTCCCCCAGGACAAAATGCCAAAAAGACTTCATGCGTGGAGGGGCCCCCCAGCCCTCGCTGCCCTCCCGGAGGAGGTGCCCTCCCCAGGACCTTCGGGTCAGCACGCCCTGAGCACCAGGCGGAGTCAGCTTCCCCGCTGGGGCCTCCGCTCGCTCTGCTGGGTCACGCGGGGCGGCTGCGGCCGGTTGCTGTGGGCTCCTTGGAGCCGAGTTACAAGTCGGGTGTCGAGCACGAGGGCGGGCGTCACGTGGCGACTCTGTCCTTCCGCCCCTTTCTGTTTTCGGTTGGATGGACGGCCAGGAGGCTGGAGGGACGAGACCAGGGCAGGACCCGGGCAGACCCAGGGCGCCCAGCCTTTTGTCTTTTTGCCCTTCCCTGTGGTGACCTTGCTGGGTGACTTCCTTTCCTCGGATGCAAATGAGGTTCACCCTCCCAGGGACACCCTGTCCCCCTCCCCCAAGGGCCGCACGGGTCCCCGGGGGCCAGCGGGCCGTCCCGGAGCCCAGCCCCCGGCCCCCGTGCGTCATGGCTGGCTGCCCACGCTGGTTACACGGTGCGGGCTGCAAGCGCAACCTCTCTTCCTGTCTCGAGAGCCTGGAGTTTGCCACATTGTCGGGAGGGCGGGGGGCTGGGCCATCGGCCACCTGGTGACAGTGTCTCCGGGGCCGCCCTCCCCCCGCTCTGTGGCTCCCCTGCCCCAGGGGACGCAGGGCTTCCTGGGTGGCTCCCCCCTCTCCTGTCCAGCCTGGACGGCAGGCTGGGGGCGCCCCTGGCCGTGAGAGTCCCCAGAGTCACTGGCATCCCACCTGGGGCTTGGGGTGAGGAGTCACCCCGCTCTCCTCGCATCTCACCACGCTGTGGTGAGAACCACGTCTGAAAATGGAAGTCTTTCTGGGGCCACTCCTGACTCAGCCTCCCGCTGGCTTCTAGATCCCAGAACATAGGCCGAAAAGCCTTGTCTGGCCTCACATTTTGCCCTCTGTGTTCCCTGAGCACCTGATCCCTCCAGTCCCAACCACGCAGGCCTCCAAGCAAGCTCCAAGCTCCTTCCTGCCCCAGGGCCTTTGCACAGCCACCCCCCCCCCTTGCCTGGAACACTGTATATCCCAGCCACACCTTCAAGAGCTGCCTTCTCTCTCACCTCTCGGGTCTAAGCTGAGCTTACTCTCGGCCGGTTGGGCCCTGTGTGTGTACTTCCCCATGCTGGGAGCACCCAGGGTCTTTCAGTCAGGTCTCCGTGTACCCCGAGGTGGGGAGGCCGCACGCCAGGCCGGTCCTGCACAACCTCCATGAGCCATCGTGAGCACCGAGCGGGGCAGGCCGCCTGTCTGGCCCACGAGTCGCTCCTGTCCCAGAGCCGTTCAGGGCAGCCCTGAGTGTTTACTCATTAACTTCCAGGGGAAGCGACCGTGTCGCGGGGGCGGAAACCCTCTGTGAGCAGGGTAAGGCTTCCTACTCCTGGGCCAGACCAAAGGCTGAGCACAGTCCCCGGTCTTTGGGGCCCCAGGAAAGGAGGGTAGTAAATCCCCTCGGAGTCACTGGTGTTCACTGGGCAAAGCTGGCTCTGGGGCCAGAGGGGCCCCCTCCCGAGTTAGCGCCCAGGAAGGGCGCCAGTGACAATGAGTCCGTTGACACCTTGTCAGTTTGCCTGACCTCCAGGGTCTGTGGCTGGAAGCTGGCCCAGCCCCCCAGCCAGGCCTGAATCCTCCCCTCCCTCCGCGGCACCTGTCCAAATCCCGACCCCTTCCAGGGGCCAGAGCCCAGGCCAGGCCTGTGACTGCGTGTGGACCGGCCCCTGGTCACTCAGCGGGGGAGGCCTGCCCACCCTGAGTCCAACGTTCAGGCCTGGGGGCTGGCTCGACGTCCGACGGGTGGTCACCCTTTCTGGGGATCCCCGGGCCCACCCCCCGGGACCTGACTCAGGTGGGCTAATTGGGTTGGTGCTGCCTACCGCTGAGGCACACAGCGCACTTGTGGGAAGGGTGTGACGGAGGCCTCCCCGGGCTGTGAGGTGCTGGGCTCAGGGCCGTGAGTCACAGAGCGGCCCCCACCTGCTAGGTGACTCAGGGCCTGGGCCCTGGGCAAGAGCCAGGCCTCCCAGCCGGGGCTCCAGGCTGAGCCCAAACCAGTTCTACCAGTGCCCAAGGCCACTTCCTCTGTCCCTGCCAGCTCCCGGAGGTGGGGGGGCACTGTGGATGCCTTTTGGGGTGGCACGGGGGGCAGGAAGATGGCAGCCAGGGGGCCCTCACAACGTGCCTCGGGGCATTGTGGCCCAGGAGCCCACTTCCCCTGAGCCTTGGACAGGGGACACTCGCTCTCCCTGGAGCCTCCGTTTTCCCACCCATCAGAGGACACACGGGGGCTATAAATCACCTCCGATCTTGGGATAAAAGAAGGCAGGGACGTAAATGGATGTTTCTGGAACATGAGGGCAGGGGTGTGGGCAATCTTGGGGGCAGCTCAGGGCAGAGGGCGGTGAGTGGTGTCTTCTGGGTCAGCCGCTGAGATGGAGAATGAAGGTGATGGCAAAGCGGGATGTGGGGGGCGGGTGTGGGGAAGTCCTGGGCACTGAGACAGCTCACACACCCCGGAGCAAGCGCGGGTGGCCCGTTTCACAGGCGAGAACACCTGTCAAGGTGACCATGGTAACAGGTGGCTGGGATGTTGAGTCCAGGTAGGTGGGGCAGCGTGGGGGCGGGGAGGCTCCTCCCTGGTCTGCCTCTCCCTCTCCCGCAACCTCTTTATGCCCTGACGGCCCCCCTTACGCCCTCCCGACCCTCTTTCTCTCCGATCTTCTAGCGGCTGAGGCTCCCATCCGTCCCAACAGCTCATGTTCGCGTGCAGGTAGAACCCGTGGTCATGGCCGCCTCTCTAGGCGCGGGGGGTCCTCCCCTCCTTGACCTGCACACACTCTCGGCTTCCCGAGTGTTCTCCTGGGTCTTGTTCCCTTCTTGCCCTCACTGTGCCTCCTCCTCGACCCCTGCTTCTAATATGAATGCCAGCTCGGGGCTCAGGGCTGGACCTAAACCCGTCCCTCGGGCTTGAAAACCACCCACGCGAGGCCACAGCCCTGCTCTGTCCAACCACGGACGCCCTCACTCAGCTGTCTGTCCATCCGTAGCCGCCTGGAGTGCCTAACGGACACCACACTCAGCCCAATGGAGACCCACCCCACTGGCACGACCCAGTGCTCAGATCTCAGCAAGTTCATGGCTTCCCAAGGCCAGCCCCAGAGTTCAGGCGTGGCCTTGAGGTCACACCTACGTCCCAGCCATCAGCAAATCCGAGGCTGACCCCACCCCCCGCCCACCTCTGCTCCGTGTGCTCCCTGCTCCCCAACTCCAGCCACACCAGCCTCCCCAGACATCCTGCCCCCCCATCTCCTGCAGGTGACACCCTGGTGGCCACCCGTCTGTCTGGCCCCCAACCGTGCTGTGTTACTTCTCACACCGTGCTGTTCACCCTGATGCTTTAGAAATACCTATCGTTCCCATTTCATCCGAGGACCCAGCCTGGCCTATCCACCGCTGTGTCCCAGAACCTGGAATCCCAGGGCACCTAGTGGCTGCTCAGTAAATACTGGTGAGGAAGCGGATGGAAGGACTTCTGTCCTCACTGCAGCCTCCTGGCTGAGGTGCTTGGTGGAGGCAGACGTCTGCACCCCAGACTGATGAGAACCCTGGGGAGGAGGGGTGCTGGTGGAACCGGCACGGGACCCTCCCTGGGGACCAGCCGTCACCAGCTGCATCTACCGCTGCTGGGTAGAGGCACGGGCGGTGGGGGGTGGGGGGAGGCCCAGGGCCAGCACGGGGTCATTCGAGATTGGAAGGCATGCTGTCAACAGAGGTGCCTGTGTGTGTGTGTGCGTGTGTGCGTGTGTGTGCGTGTGTGTGATTTCAGACACCAGGAAGACTCCCGTCCTGAATGGGGCCCCAGGGCAACTCCCCGAGGCCTGAACGGGGCGGGTCCCCAGCTGGCACGGGGCCTCCACCCACAGCTGGGCACACATTCCAGACCAAAAGCAAAGACTTGGGTCGGATGAAGGCAAGGAGCAAGGTCCACTCCTATGAAAGCAGCCGACTTTGAGCGGGTGTTGGGCGGCTGGGGAGAGGGAGGAGGAACAGGGCGGGGCAGCGGAAGTGCGACTCCCTCCCTTGCCCTGCAGGGCCTCCACCGGGCTGGCTGTCCTGGGCTCAGGGTCACTGTCTTCCCCCAGGCGACAGAACCGCCCACAGGCCGCCTGCGCCCTCCGGAAGCTGGGATCCGGCCGCCCGAAGCCCCGCCCCCACCGCAGGGCTCCCACGGGTCATCCGGGGACCCGCCCCCAGGGCCTGCGGTCCAACTTCTTGGGGTCCAGCCTGGTTTCCATGGGACCCCGGCCAGCCGCGCGGCCCCCTAGACCGGGACCTCCTGGTGCCCTCCGCGCCGCCCCAGCCCCTGCGGGACTGCCGAGGGCAGTGCCACCTCCTCGGGTCCAGCTCCTGTCCCTGCCAGCCCCGCCCACCGTCTAGCCCCGCCCCCTCAGGCCACGCCCACCAGCTAGCCACGCCCCTCCAGCCACGCCCACCGCGTGGCTCTCCGCTGACCTCCCACTCGGGACTGACACAAGATGCTCAGCGCGCATTTGGAGAAACGGTGGCCGGCCTGGGCGGACCCAGCGTCGGTCATCCGACCGGCACCCCCACCCCGCTTCCCGCCCCCCCCCCTCCCCGGGCCTAGATCCAGCCTCGGCCACTCACCCGCACGTGGTGCTCAGGGTCCCGCCGAGCAGTGAGCCAAAGATCATGCCCACCCCGAAGCACAGGCCGAGCCGGCCCAGGGCCGCGGGCAGCGCCTTGGGTGCAGACAGGTCCGCGACGATCATCTGCGCGACTGGGAGCGGGGCGGGGGCTGAGCGGGGCGGACCCCCGGGCGGCCCGGGCCCGGACCCCGCGCCACCCCGCACGCCACGCCGCAGGTGCCCCGCGCAAGGCCAGCTCCTCCACGTACCCCAGGACCTACTCTGCCCCCGCACCGGCCACGCCCCCACCCTCAGCCCCCTGCCCCCCAGCCCACGCCCCCCGTCACCCCCTCCACCTCCGTCCTGCTCTCTGGCCTAGACTGGCACCCAGAGGGGACCGACGCCCCGCACCACTCAGGTTGCGACCTCGGCCCGGGCTCCCCCGACAGCCCCCACCCCCACCCGCAGTCCTCCCGCAGCGCGAGGGCGCCCTGCCCGGCCCTACCTGGCATCCCATGCATGAAGGCCACAGGCAAGGGCGCAGCGTAGAGCAGGGCCACGCCGGGCAGGGCCGGGCTGCAGGCGGCCGCCAGGAGCAGGTAGAAGGCGGAGGACGCCAGGAAGGTGACCGTGAAGGCGGCGCGGGCCCCGTGCTGGTCCGCGAACCTGGGGGCCCGGACCTGTGAGCCTCACAGATACCAGGCAGGTCCTCCCAGCCCTGCCCCTGACGCCCGCCCTCTGGGGCTGCCGAGGGGCTAGGCTGCAGTGTTCCCCTCTTGGAGCCTCAGTTTCCCCGTCCGTAACCTGGGGGTGTCTGCCTGTCTCCCTTTGAGAATACCTTGCGGCTCCACAGGAAGTGTCTCCACCCCCTCCACCCCGCCTCCAAGCAGGGCCAGGGGACCCTTGGGAGCCCCTGCTCTGTCCGCCATTATCACCTCTGGAGCCCCCTTTCTGCGCAGTTACCCCAGAGCTCTGACTCCCGCCACGTCCATCTCCACCTCAGGGTCTGCGGGAAGACGCCTGCCCTCCTGTCCCTGAGCCCAGGGCCCCAGCAGCCCCGGGGCCGGTGGGGGATGGGGGGGTCCCGGGGCGTCGCGGGGGGCACCGCCAGCTCAGCAACGCTGGGCGTTTCCAGCCGCGACAGCCTTGCCAGTACGATCCCCTCTCTGGCCACAAACCCGAGTTAGTGGAAGAGGAGGGCAGGGCCCCCGGGGAGCAGGGCTGCGCCCGCCCGAGAGGGGCTGCTGGGCCCAGTGCGCCCAGTGTCAGGTCTGGAAGCTGGCACGACCCAGCCCCCGACCTCTGGGGGCAGGCCCAGGTCATCGTGGGGGGAGGGCCCCCCGACTTCCTGCCCCACGGTACCTGCCGAACACGGGCCCGCCCAGCAGCTGAAGCGCCCCAAAGGTGGTCTGCAGGTGGCCGAAGGCGACAGAGTCCAGGCCCAGCCTCCGGGTCAGGTACTGCAGACACAGGGTGGTGGTGGGGGGCATGGGAAGGGTTAGGATCTGGATTCCGGGGTCCCCGGAAGGGCGGGAGTGGGTCTGCGGTGGCTCTGGGAGGGGCCCTGGGGCCTGGGACTCACAGCGAGGAGCCTGCGGGGCCTGTGGGCCAGGCTTCGCCAGGCAGCCTGTGGGGCGCACCTCAAACAGGTGAGGGGGCCCCCAGCCCCCACCAGTTTGGCCTCGTTCACTCAAAGTGCCTGGCGGACTGTAGCGTCTTCCAGGCCAGCAGGACACTGTCTCCAAATGCCCTGATGACCTCCAGAGGACACAGGCCTTTGTGCCCCCCCAGCCTCCCCGCCCCCTCTTGCGTCAGGCCCACCTGGGGAGGTAAAGGCAGCGGCTTTCCAGAGACCCGGAGGCACTCGCCGTCCTGTGTCCCTTCCTCTGGCTCTGCGCCCCTCACTCCAGGCAGCCTAGCTGGGTCCCCAGGACAGCTGCTGTCCGGGGGACCTCTCTCCTGCTCTGCCCCTGGCTCTCCACTCGATGTTTAGAAGCATCTGGAATTCAGCACATCCAGAACTGGCTCCCCACGGTCTCCTCGAAGACAGGCTCCTCGGCTCAGGGCCAGATCCCCGGTGTCATCCCTGACCCCTCTCTTGCACAGCCACATTCTTTTTTTAAAAAAAATGTTTATTTTTGAGAGCAAGTAGGGGAGGGGCAAAGAGGGGGAGACAAGGAATCCCAAGTCGGCTCTGCGCTCAGCACCGAACACGGGGTGGGGCTCGAACTCACGAACCGATGCACAGCCCCATTCAATACATCGGCAGCTCCTGGGCTCACCCTTCGCAGACCTTGAGGCCAGCGGCGTCCAGCCTTCCCCACAGCAGCACACTCTTGGGGTCCTGGCAGCCTCTCTCTCTGGCCTTCCCTCCTCCCCTCCACTCACTCCTCTCTAGCGGCACTGTTCTCACTACTGCCCCAGGGCCTTTGCACTAGCCAGGCTTGCTCTTTGTTTCCTTTAAGCCTGCCTTCTCAGGAAGGCTCTCCTGACCCCAAGTCCACCACACGTCTGTGGGCACCCCCAGCAGCCCCCGCACGCACCATGATCTCACGCACGGTACAGTCTAAGGATGGTTTAGTCCCTGTGTTCCAAGTTCTGAGAACCAAGTGCACACAGTAGGTGCTCAATGGGCATCTGATGAACGATACAAACAACTTCCACGGAGAGCCGTCCTCGCTCTGTGCCTTTAACTATTCCCTGGTCATTCCCTGCACCACCCCTTCCAGGGAGGGACACTGTGACCCATTTCATGAGGGGACCTCAAAGCATCTGCCCACCCCCCGCCCCGGCCGCTAAGAAAGGTAGTCAGGGCTTGGACCAGGCTGTCCGGTAGGTGTGAGGTGGGCTTTTGGGCAGGGGGCTAGGGTTCAGCGCCCAGCTGGGGGCTCCTGCCATGCCCACAGTGCCCCCTCCCCGGCAGGTCCCCAGGCACAGCCTGCTCACGAGGATCCCCTGGTGGCTGTGCCGTGAGCCACCCAGACCAGACAGAGAAGGGGCTCTGGGGCTCCCCCGGGTGCCGCTGCCCTGGGAGGGTGAGACGGGCCAGCCCCGCTCGGGTCTGTTGAATGAAGAAGCAAGGGCTCAAAGGTGGAATCAATGGAAAGTGGGCGGGCGGGCGCTGAGTGCTGACCACGGGGCTTAACCAACCGCCTGGCAGCCCCAGGCAGCGCTCCAGGCCCGGGAGGGGGGTTGGGGTGGGAGGAGATGCGCCGAGCCCCGCCCTCCCGGCCCTGGTGGGGGGACAGAAGCGACTTCACACCGTGGAACGGGCACAGGGGTGCAGGCAACCTGTGGGTAGACTAGCCAAGCAGGACCCAGACGCGGGAAGAAGTCCTAGGGCCCAGGCAGGGGTGAACGCAGGAGGGTCAGGAGCCCAGCAGGCGTCAGGGCGGGCGGGGTCACAGGGCAGTGGGGGCGGGAGGGCCCGAGCTGGGCCAGCCCGGGGGAGGGGCACTGCGAGGCAGAGGGCAGGGCTGGCCGGGCACCAGGGCACAAGACGTGCCGATGGCCAGACCGAGAGAACGGTCCCCAGGCTCCTCAGCCTGTTCCGCTCCGTGTGGTGGGTGCCCCGCCCCCGAGGCCCTGCCGACGCACAGACGGGAGCCGAGGGGTGCAGTGTGGCCTGCTGGGGGCCGGGCTGCGGGTGCGGGCACTCACCGGCATGATGGAGAACCGCATGAAGAGGCAGGTGAGCGCCAGGGTCACCAGCGCGTAGGTGAGTCGTATGACCCCTGAGCGGCCCAGGGCACCCATCTCCCTGGAGGAGGGGTCCCGGCGCAGGGGGGCTCCCGCTCCCTGCATCCCTGCGGCGGGAGAGCCCGGGGGATCGGATCAGAGCGGGAGGCGGGCACAGTGCACAGGGGGCAAAAGTCCTGTTGTGCCAGGCGAGGGCGCTGAGTCACGGGGCGCGAGGCGGGCGGTGCCCAGGCTGGCCTCACCTCCGGGACAGGGCCTGTGGGAGAGGCCAGGGCTGCGGGACCCCAAGCAGCCCCCAGCCACGTGCCGCGTGGCCTTGGCCGCCTCCTGCCCCTCTGCCCCAGCCAGCCCAGGGGCTCTGGGCACACAGCTCCCCGGAGCCTCCGTGAGCGGGCTGGGCGCCGCACGTGCCTGACGCGGGAAGGCACCAGCACCCCGCTGTAAGAGGGAGACCCCATTTTAGAGGCCCAGATGGGTGCTGACTGCAGTTCAGGTAGGTGCCCCCCTGGGGTGTGTGTGGGGCTGATGTGTTTTGGGTCCCTGCTGTTGGGAGGGGGGCGGGGAGGCTCCTTAGGCCCACGGTGTGACCTCCACCGCTACGGGCAGCTCCCAGAGGGAGGCTTGACACCACTTGGGCTTCCGGGGTGGCCTGAGGGTGGGGGGACCACACAGCGAGGCCTTGCTGCCCTCCAGCGCCCCCCATGGCAGAAACTAGACTCTGCGGGTCCAGGGAACCTCGGTTAAGTTTCACCAAATCAACACCGACTGTTAGTGAGCCCCAAGGGTGGCCTTCAGAGCCGGGGTCCAGGGGCGGGAGAGGGGCGGGGTGACAGCAGGGGGAAACCCAAGGATCCCCTTTCTGGCCCCGCCCCACCCTGCTTCAGGGAGGCTGGGGTGTGGAGGCTCTGCACCCCAAGGGGTCCTGGCCACAGTGAGCTTGGGTACCTGCCCTGCCCTAGAGCACCGGCCCTGGGGGGAAGCCCCACCCGCCCACCCCCCCTTCCCACACAGCCTCCGCTCTCACTGGGGAGGGGGGTGGCGGCAGGGACTCTGACTTTCAGAGCAGTGCGGCGTCCAGTCCGGGCATGGGGTGGGCAGAGGGAAGGGGCCAGGGGCTGGAAGGGAGAGGAGGGGAGCGCGGTGGAGGGAAGGGAGAGGGAGAGGAAGGCAGGGCTCTTCGTCCGGCCTGCCCCCTCCCTGGGGTCTGCACAGAGACCCCGAGGAGGGGCGGGGGAGACAGCAGCGTTTCTGGAAACAGCTCCTGGGCCCTCTCCCCACCCCCCTGCAGACCGGTGGACACTACTTCCTCGTTTTGCACCTGCAGCGACTCTACCCCCTCGGCCGGGGCTGCCAGAGGCCTGGGCTGCAGGTGCACATGGCTTCAAGCCGTCCCTCTGTGGGGCTCGCAGGGGGGCGCTTGCAGCCCCGTCCCCTGCTGGAGTCCCCTGGAGCATGCGGACTCGGCCTCGGGGTCAGACACAATCCCCAGAGAAGGAACTGGGCCAGGACTCTGCTGCTCCCCACTCCTCCCCCCTCCGCCCCCCCCAGCCAGACCATAGGCCCAGACGTCAAAACCCCCCAAGTCCCCCTGCCTGGTGTTAGCCGCAGCTCAGCGGAGCAGGAAGCTGCAGGGCACGGGGACCCTGAGCCGAGTCCTCCCGCGGTGGCCGGCCAGGGCGGGGACGGGTACCCACGTCCGGCTGTTCGGCTGTTTGGGGCAGAGGCTAGCGGGCCCCAAGGCGCCAGGGAGGGGCTCACCCCACCCCTCCACACAGTGGGCCCGGGCCTGAGGAAGCGCTCAGTCTGGACAGGGCAGGTGGGGGGGTGTTTGTGAGGACGGCGTCCCCTGCTCCCCGCTGGGCTCAGGGGTCGTGCTGAGAGCCCAGAGCTGGGGCGGGTGCACCGCAGGAGACTTCTGGAAGAACGGCCCAGGAGGCTGGCCTGGGAAGCAGGCGGACATGGTGCTTAAGAGCTCAGGTGGGAGGAAGGTGGTTCTGTGCCCTGTGGGGGTGGGGTGGGGGTGGGGTGCGGGTGGGACCGGATGTCCCCAGGAGCCTCCCCTCCCCCCAGGGCCTGTGGCTCCCCAGAGACCTGGCCAGGAGGCTGGGACGGCATCTGGCTCCTCTGGACTCTCTAGGCAGGAATTGTGGGTAAAGAGGCAAGAGCGGGTGAGTCTCCAGCCCGCCCCAGGGCAGGTCGGGGAGGCCGGGGGGACCCTGCAGCACGCGGGGTGCAGCAAGGAGCTGGTCACTCACCTCTCCCTTCCTCCTGCCTCTAGCAGGACGTTTGGAGGCTGGGAACTGGTCGGAGCAGAAGTAATGGGCTCCAGCGAGAGTATTTGTCATGAACAGGCTCCAGTGTGGGCGGGGAGCTTCCTGGTCCCGAGCGGGTGGGAAAACCGGCCTCCGGGCTGGGTGAGGAGAGAGCAGCGCCCGTAACCCTGGCATCCCCGGGCCTGGTCTTCCTTCTCCAGAGCAGCCAACCTCCACTCACTTAGCCACTCAACAAACGCTCTGCACTTTCCCCGGGACACACTGTGGCCCCAGGGCCATCCGAGCGGCCCGCCTGCCTCTCCCAGAAACAAGCTGACTGTTCAGCAGGGTGCGGCTGATCCAGACCCACTGGAGGAATCAGGGCTGGGGTTAGGGCAGAGGGCTTCTCAGAGGAGGTGATGCCTCCAAGGAATCTTAAGGGTAAGCGAGGCTGGGCCAGGTGCGGGAAGGGGCAGCCAGGCTGAGGGAACAGTGAACAGAGGCGGAGGGGTGAGAGCCAGGCTTGCGGTGTTTACTGCGAGCCCGTGATGGCGTGTGTGGGGACAGCTAATTTTGGAGGGCGGTGGGGGGCAGCTCTTGAGGGGGTCTCCCAGGCCATAGTAAACCCCTGGGCAGCTCCAGAGGCCTGGGCAGGGGGTGCCAAGGAGGCCACTCTGGCTCCGCCGTCCCGCAGGGTGAGCCCCAGGTGCGAACCCCAGAGCTGGCAGGAGCCGGGGGCTGGGGGCCCCTGCCACACACACACTGCCTGCGCATCCAAACCGGTGACAGCCCGTGAGGCCGCCCTGCTGAGCGTGACAGTGTTTATTGAGCGCCCACTGTGTGCTGGGCTCTGGGCCGGTGTTTGGGGTACACAGCCCACAAATGTGGCAGCCCTAGTGGCTTGTGGTAGAGTGAGCGTGAGGGTGTGCGTGCGTGTGCACGTGTGATGGGTACATTGCACGGTGACCGTGAGGGTGTGGCCTTGTTTTGGGTGCAGGGCACCCCCACAGGCTCAGAGCTGGCACGCTGCTCCAGGAGCCTCAGGCACCGAGGGGCTCAGGCTGGCACAGGGAGGCTTCTGCCGCGCCCACAGGGTGATGGGGGTTCAGATGGGAGGGAGCCTGGACTCGCGGTGGGGGAGGGTTCTACACACGGAGGGGGTGGAGATGACAGTGTCCTGAGGGGCTGGGCGTGGCCAGGGGACCCCCCCCCGCAGTGTTAGCCGAGAGGGTTTCCAGGGAGAACGTGCTGGAACTCGGTGCTCAGGGGGCGGGGTCGTGGGTCAGCGCACAGGTGCGGGAGAGTGTGTGGGGGACCGTGGCCCAAGCCAGGGCTTCAGCCTCAGCCCGATGAGGCTCTTCGTGGTTGAGGGGGGTCAGCAGTGCTTCCTCCTCCTCCTATTTCCCGAGGGCCCACCTCCAACGTTACCCCTTCAGGGATGCCCACAGGCACCCAGACCCCCCGCAGCACCCGGGGGCCCCTCCCAGCGTGGGGGATGTCAGACTCCGACTCCCACTTGCTGACTTGTCCTCGGAACCAGAGCCTTCCGAGGGGCCCCCAGCCCGCAGTGGGCATCGGGGGCCTGGCCTCAGCTCGCCAGCTCCATCCCGGAGGCCCTCAGGTTGAGGGTCTTAGAGGGCAAAGTCCCTGTGCAGGTACCACCCGAGGGGCTGGACCGGCAGGTGCCGAGGAAGCTTCCAGAGCTGGAGTCCGGGATAGGCCCCCCCCGGGTTGGGGTCTGCACGGGGGCTGGCCCGTGTGCACAGCTGGGTCTCTGGAGCTGAGCGCCAGGTCAGGGGACTGAGCCTGAGGTGACAGCAGGCCCACAGCCCCGGGGAGGCCCCGCTGGCCGGCGGCGGGGGCTTCTCGACCGGCCTCTAGCGATGCGGGGATGCGGGTCAGGCTTCCAGAAGGACCGAGTGGTTTGCTCAGGGTCAGAGGACTGGGGTCCCGGCGCACGAGCACACCTGGCCCACACCGAGCTCCGCTCTGGTCCTGCCTGTGCGCGGGGACGCAGGGCCCCTTGGGCGTGGGGTCGCTCACTCCGGGGGCTCATGCCGGCCAGCGGCCACGGCCAGGGAGGCCTGGGGCCCCGGTGACGGGCGGGGTACAGTCTGGGAAGGTCATGTCCCCTTCTTCCCACCAGAGCAGAGGGGGAGCAGGGGACCTGGCCTAGGGAAACTCGGGCTTGGCATGAGGCGCCCGCTTGCCGGGGACGGGACGCTTCTAGAAGGGCCACGGGGCTTTCCAGGTAAGAACCCGGACGGTTCTGGACAAACCAGGATGTCAGGTCACCACGCTGGCCTAGAGGAAGGGAGGGAAGGCGCTGGCGCGGGGGTAGCAGCCTGGAGGTGGGAACACCAGGTCGTGGGGGCCCCACCTCCAGCCCCCCGGAGGGATGCCCGGCCCTGACCTCCGCACTCAGGAGAAAACAACAGCTTCGAAGTCGGGGTGTCCAACCAGGGGGGCTGGGGCGGAAGGGGCCGGGGCGGGGGTCTGGCCTGATGGGGCCTCGGAGGGGGCCTGAGAGGGTGGAAGGGCAGCTCGCGATCATGGGGAGACAGGCCTCTGAACTCCCCAGGAGAGCAGCACTTAGAGCCGCCCCGCGCCTCCTCACCGGCCTGCGGTGGGGAAACCGAGGCAGAGTAGGCGGCAGGAATACGCTCCTCTTCGCGTGCTCCCGGCGCTTCGGGACTTGTCTGGTCCCAACAGGCACGTCTGAGGGGCCTGCAGGTGTGCAAGCCTCTTACGGACCCGAACTGCTCCCAGGCACGGCCTCCTCTGTCCGCAGCCTCACCTCCCAGCGGGAAGGGATGATACCAGTTCTGACCATCCAGGGCCTTCTAGAACCTCGGCCCGCTGGCAGCTGCATGGAATCCAGGAAGAACCAGGAAGGGCCTCCAGGGGCCAGAAGAGACATCGCCAGCCCTTCCTGCCACTTCCGCCTGCCTGGATGGCACTTTTTAAAAAAAATGTCTTATTTATTTCTGAGAGAGAGAGAGAGAGAGAGAGAGAGCGTGAGCGGGGAGGGTCAGAGAGAGAGGGAGACACAGAATCTGAAACAGGCTCCAGGTTCTGAGCTGTCAGCACAGAGCCCGACGCGGGGCTCGAACCCACAAACCATGAGATCATGACCTGAGCTGAAGCCGGACACTCAACCGACTGAGCCCCCAGGTGCCCCTGGATGGCACTTTTAGAGGCCTGGGTGTTTGGTCTGTGCTGGGGGCAGCCACACACAGTGGCCCCTCTTCCATACTCTGGGTGCCCCAGAACCCGGCTGGGCCAGACTCGAGGGGCCCCGGCGCCTCCCACCCCAAGGCCCCTGGTCCCCCGCTTGGCTCCGGCGACGGTGTCTTGCACACGCTTTGTAAAGTGGGACGGGTGAGAGCCCAGCATCTCAGCCCCTTCCCCCATGGGACTCACACAGCCGGTTTCTTGGGCAGGGGGCCCCTTGGCGGCCCAAGCCCCGCCCTGGTTTATTCACCTATTTCTGACTCCACTCACCGGCCTGGAAGTCCCTGGAGGAGAGGGCCCCCCCTGAGGTCCCGGGGAAACACTCCTGGTCTGGATCCTGATTGGACATTGGAGGAGGAGGGCCTGCTCAAGGTCATGCTGCCAACTGTGGCCTGCCCGGCTCCCATGGCTAATGTCCAACCCAAGGCAGCCACTCGCTTCAGTTTTCCATAAATCGGGATCCAGAGCATCGGGGGAGGGGCTCAGCCGGAGGCCCCAACTTCGAGACCCAGCAGCCAGCGTGCAGCGTGCAGTGTGCGTGCCGGGGCCTGTGCTCGGGATGGAGCCCAGGGGCTTGGCTGTCAGCCCCACCAGGCTGGCACATCCAGGACTTACCAGGTCTTGGCAAGGGGCTGGGCCTCCTGAGAAGGTTTCCGCATCTGTGAAATGGCCTGGGAGGATTCAGTGAGACGGTGCCCGGGGCTGCCCGGCACAGAGAGGGTGTGCGGCCAGCAGCGCACTGTCCAGCGTCCTGCGGGGGCTGCCGAGAGCACTGCTGAGTGCCGGGCAGAGTCATGGGGACCTGTGCCCCGTGGACCCCAGGACCCTGGAGGGGGTGGTAGCGCCGTCCGAGCCGCCCAGCGTGGGAACGCTGTTGCACCCGGCCCGACAGTTATTAGGGGCCTGCATGTGATGGGAGGTTGGGGGGCATACCCGCCACGTCGGGGTCTGAGTCTCCCCAGCAGCCCAGGTCCCTGCACTCAGGGCAAATGTCGGGGACAGCTGGAGGGGCCTCCCCTCTAGGTGTGCAGAGAGACAGTGACTGTGGGGACGGTGCTGGCCGCTGCGCCCGGCACGTAAGGACATGGCCCCCGAAGCCTCATCAGGAGCTTACACGGGAGAAAGCAGAGGTACAGAGAGGTTAAGCGACTTGTCCACTGTCGCACAGCTCCAGCAAGAGGCAGTTGCTATCTGACTCCGAAGCCTGAGGTTTGTGCCTTCGCCAGGCAGTGCCCCTCCCTGGCCCCTGCCCCAGCCCCCGTGCCATGTGAATACTGCCGGCATAGAGCGGCCAGACGGGGAAGAGCGAGGTGGCCACCAGCAGGAATGGGGGCCACCAACACGGGGGGTTGCTGTGGAAGATGGCCACACCCCCATCCCCCCAGCAAAGGCCTGCTGTCCCCTTCATCATGCCCCCACATCCCAGGGTCCCAGTGCCCTCTGACCTCGTCCCTCCGGGGTCCCCAGCCCCTGCCCTGGCCTGGGGCACCGGTTTCCTGCCTGCCTGACTTCAGCAATTCCTCAACACCCCCTTCCAACCTCTGCTCGGGGCACCTGTGTCCACCGTTAAATCTTGGGACCCCAGGCCCCAGGCCGGAGGTCTCGAAGCCTCCTCGGCACCCTCACGATGCCACCCGTGCCTGGGCTGCACTCCAGGCCCCTGGAGCCCTCTCTGGAAATCCGGTTCATTCTGGGCTCACGCTCAGTACCAGCCGGGACTGGCGAGGGCCTGGGCTTGGCCACGTCCCTGCCTGGGACCCTCACCCTTGCCAGGACTCTGCTCCTCCTCCCAAACCTGGGGTGGGTTCCTCTGGGGGCTCCTGCTGCACTGCACGTCCCGCCATCCAAGCACGGACACCCCTGCAGCAGAGGAGGCTGGGGGTTTGTGCCTGGCCGCCGGGGCGGACCCGGGCCTTCCCTGGTAGCCCAGAGCTCCCTTCAGTTGCAGGCTTATTTTGGGGGGCAGCTGGCAGACACTGTGGCGCGCACATGTCTGCAGGCCTGCTTTCTTATCTGCCGCTCCCCCGGCCCAGAAATGCACTCGGGTTCACTGGCCTGGTGGGTGTTGTCGTGAGGGGTGGCTGGAGGGCTGCCTGGTGACGGTGGCCGGCTGGGCCGTCAGGCCCCGGGGCAGGGGCAGGCCTAACCGGTGGCGGCCCAGGCGGGCCACAGAGCTCTGCTCCCCACTGCCCGGGACTTCGACCAGCTGCACGGGTGCAGGGAGAGGAGGCAGAGGGCGATGGGGGGACAGGGCAGGGAGGGAAGGAGGACCCGGGGCGGGGGGGCGGGGAAGGGCTGAGGGGCACCAGAGGGAGGGGCCCGCTGGCACGTCGGGGGTTCACCCCTTCTTCTCCCTGCTCCTTGGCCACCTGGCTCCCCGCCCCCCAGCCACTGGACGTAGGGGAGTTGGGGAGGCCACTGCTATTCCCCGCTGATGCGTGACAGTCCCCCCAACACCTACGGGGGTTGGGGTATTTTCTGCAAACGAGGCTTCCCGCCTGCACAGCCCTGCCCGGCCATGTTGGGCCGACCCCCATTCAGAGAGTAGACTTGCGGGCCCGCAGAGCCAGGCCCTTGCCCAAGTTCCCTCACCAGGTGAGGGACGAACGAGGGGCCCCCCGAGGGCTGCGCTGGGGTCCCCCGAGGCTCTCCTTCCCAGTGGCCAGTGCGCGGGCAGGTGGGCGGGCCCGGGGGCGGGCTCCTGGCTGCAGTGCCATCCACGGGCACTAGGGGGCAGCAAGCGCCCAGCTTTGGGCCTCAGGGCCTATGGCCCGGCAGCCCCGGGGCTCAGGGGCTCTAACCTCTGGCGCCTCTGCGGCTTTCTAAGCTGTGTCTGGGCCACAGAGGGAGGGAGGGGACATCTGCCGAGCCCCTACTCCGCGCGGCCTCTGGGCGGCAGGGACAGCCCGGGGCTCCTGGCCTCGGTGCTGACCACCCACTGCTCACCTTTGAAACCCTGGGCACGGTGGGTAGGAAATGTAGTAAGTGGCTGCACGGGTGGAATGGTGGGGGCCTCCTGCTTCCCTGGCCCAGCGGGGGCCTGACCTGCTCCTGGAGCCTGATCAGGGGGTCACAGAGGCGGGGAGCTCACCCTCGCCCGGCCCAGCATGCACCGCCCGGTCCATGCGCGGCAGCCCGGGGCCTGGTGGGCTCCCTCCTCCTAACCGCAGGGCGAGGGGAGGGGCGGGGGTCGGACGGGCCTTCACACCCCCTCCCTGGCTTTGGGGCTTCTCTGAGCACCCTGTGGGTGCGCTGGAAACCGGGCGGGAGCCAGGGTCCCTGGTGTCCCCGTGGACAGAGAGTGCTAACTCATAGGGGTGCCCGCTTGCTCAAGACTGGACAGGAAGCCGGGGTGCACAGCGGAACAGGACCCAGGAAGGGATTCGCTTTTCCTGCTCTTTCCTTGACAGAGGGAGCCTCCGAGCTGCCTAGTGTGTGTCCCGTGGGTGCAGAGGAGGCGCTCAGAGCTGGCCGCTGGCCACAGAGTGTCCTCAGACCTGTCCAGTCCATGCCTGCCTGTCCCCTACCCCGGGGACCCTCCCCAGCCCCGCGAAGGTCTGCTGGGAGCTGGGAGAACCCATGTCCACGACCTCCTGGGATGGTCAGTGCTGAGCCCCGAACAGTCGTGGACCAGCTGGGATGAGGGGGCCCTCTGCTTGAGACCCCGAGGGGCAGCGGCCCCTGGCCCGTCCGGTGCTGCTCCCTGCTTCCTCCGCGCCTCCCCCACGGCCCCTCCTGCTAATTCCCGGGGAGTGAGGACCCCCGGCCCAGCCGGCCCCGGAGCACAAGGCAGCCCCTGTAATCCGAGCTTTGGATTCGCGTTGTGCGGCATGTGGACGCGCCACCGGAGGGAGGCCGGCACCTGCGGACGACGTGCCTGGCAGCCGCCCCGAGAACAGCCCGTCCTGGGGGGGCTGGGGGCGGGGCCAGCAGAGCGCGGGAAGTCGGTGCGGGGAGGAAGGTTCTGGCTGCGCCGCGCTGGGCCCCGGCCAAGTGTGCTAGAAAGCCCCCTCCCGCCAGCCCCGGCTCAGAGCTGGGCCGGCTGCCTGTCGCGGAGGCTGGCTAGTTAATCTGTAACTCTCCACACTCCTCCAGGCCTCCAGGCCTCATCTTGTGGAGGTGAAGCTCTGAGGGGCAGCAGCCGCCCCGAGGGGTCTGGCCAGGCCGGTTCAGGGCCACTGTTGGGTGAAGTGGCTTGAGGCCAAAGGTCCGGCCCTTCCCGGGGCTGTGGGCAGGGGAAGGGGTGTGGATGGGGCAGCGGGGCTTTGCCCCAGTGGGGTATGTGGTGACAGGCCAAGACCCGCACAGGAGAGGGCAGGCTGAGCCAGGCAAGAGCTGGTGGGAGGCACATGGGGGGGGGGTCACCATCCCAGGACAGGGCCACAGCCCGCTGCCCCCCGCCCAGACGCCAGCTCCGGCTCTAGGCGGGGAGGCTGCAGGGAATTCTTGCTTTCTTTCCTCTCCTGCTTTCGCGGCCCCCCAGCCCCTCATGCAAGTGCGGGAGGGGCCCGGGGCTGGAGAAAGGCACGCATCTGCGGCCGCTGGGCTCCGAGGAGATTGCTTCGCCTCTCAGAGTGTCTGGTGCGTTCCTCTCTTGCAAAAACAGGCATCAAAATGCCTCCCAGTCCCGGTTCTTGGAAGGATTAAGGGAGGCCGGGGGCTGAGCCTGGGTGCAGGGCGGCTCCAGGTCTCCGGTGCTGTCGGCACTCATAACACCGCTCCCCCGGGGGGGCACCGCCCCGCACAGCCGTCCGTCCATCCGGAGGCTTCCGGGGGCCTCAAAGACACACACACCCTGGCAGGGTCCCTGTGGGGTGCACGCGGGCTGGGCCCCAGCGTCCTGGGCTTCCAGAAGGTCCCTGCGGCTCCCCGGGAGGAGGGAGCTTGGGGACGCTGGGGCGGGAGGCGGCCACCAGGAGGCAGCATGTGGCCGAGGACGGCGCTGCCCGGCCGCCCAGCTCTGCCACTCGCTGCTCGGGCAAGAGTGTCTCCCTCCGAGCCTCAGTTTCCTCAACTGCAAAAGGGGCCCACTCCCTGGGCCGACCACGGGGGCACCGTGGGGGGAGATAGCCCTGCGAGGGCCTGGGTTCTGGGGTTAGCTGTCGTAAGCACTTGAGCGGGACCAAGTAAGTCCTTCGATCTGCCCGGGCCTGTCTGCTCTTCTAGAAAAATGACACCTCAAACAGGCCGGTGCCACGCAGTGAGTCCGGCGGGGGCAGGGGGGGGGTGCCGGCTGCTCTGACACCCCCCTCCCCTCGCTCATAGCAGCTCAAACCGCGATAACCCTTTATTTCTCGTTCCTATCTCAGTCAGGTGAGTGCGCAGAGGGAGCTGGGGGTGGGGTGGCTCTGCTCCCTGTGGTCATCGAGGGCTTGTCACCCAGAGGCTCTGCTGTCCCCAGAAGCCCCTTGCTGCACCCTCCCCCCAATCTGGCTGGCAGAGCAGTGGGGGAGGGGACAGGAGAGCTTGGTTGGTTTGGATGGGTCCCTGCCTGGAGGTGGTACAGGGCATTTCTGCTCCTATCTGTGGCCCAAACTGGTGGCGTCCCCCTCCCCCCCCCCGGCTGCACAGGGGCTGGGGACATGGCCCTTATTCTGTTCATTCAGAGGAAGAAGAAACGCACTGCGCGGAAGGGGTAAGAAGGACAGAGGTGCACACTGGAGAAGCCCCCAGGGGCTTACGACCCCGTCACCCTGCCCTCGGGCTCCCCCCATCCCATGCCTGCGGGATTTGGGGGTGCTGGAGCATCGAGGGAGCCTGTCCTTGCTGCCCCGAGGGCCCGCACCCCCCTGCTTCTGTGACCTGCAGCAATCCAGAGTACAAACACTGTCCCTTGTGTTTCCTTTCTTCCTTCAGATATATTTTTAATTACAAAAGTAGAGCTTGGCTGTTGTACTCAGGGAGGTGTCTGCAAGCTTCGGGGCGCCTGGGGGTGGAGGACGGGGCTTCTCTCAGCCCCCAGCCCCCCAGCCGTCCTCCCCAGCTCTGTCCCTGGCTCAGGGGAAGGGCCTCAGCCCCACTCCTGGGACTTGCAGGTCGGCGAGCCGGCGGGCACCACCCCTGCCCAAATTCAGTCACATACTTAGAGGCGGTCCGCTCCCTGCCCCAGCGAGGCCTAGAGGGGAGATGTCCCCAAGGCCTTTGGAGAAATAGAAGGCAGGGCAGGAAGCCCGGAGGGAGAGCAAAGAGAAAGGCGGGCAGCTGGAGGAGGTTCAGTCCGACTCAGCTCCCTCCCCGCCTGTGCCGGTGGCTTAGTGCTCCCGGTAGAGCTCCATCCCCACAACAGGCGAGGCCCACCAAGGGGCCTCACAAAACCATCAGGGCGGCCCTCGGCGCCAGCTAAGGGCAGCCACTGCTGCCACACCATGTGACATGAGGTGTGTGGGACCGCCACTCCCAGCGCTCAGAGGCAGGACATGTCACGTGCTGCTAGCCTTGTCACTGGGGCGGGGGGAGGGAGGGCAGGAAGTGCTGGGACCCAAGTGTCTGAACTCAGCTGGCACCCATGGGGGTGTCAGCGTGAGGCCTCTAAGCCCATCCCAGCCCTGGACAGCACATGGGGAGGGCAGGGTCAGCTCCTGCACACTTGCTAAGCACCTACAAGGTCCCCTGTCCTTAGGGGGCCGAGGGCAGACTGGTGTCCAGAGCACCAGGCAGTCCCTGCTGGGGAGGAGAGCTCAGGCCAGCTGAGCGTCCAGAGTGGGGTTGGGAGCAGGGTGGCTTCCTTCCCAGAGGAAGGGATACCACCTGGAGGCTGAATCTGGGCTGGGGGCGGGCTACTCCTCCGGCGGGGGCCACGGCATCTGGACCTGTTGGGAAATCCTGGTGGCCACCTGGTTCCACATTTTGTGGTCACCACCCGCTGTGGCTCCGGGGAAGCTGGTGTGACCAGGGCACCGGGGCTGGGCAGGGTAACCCCAGGCCAGGTGATGACCCCTCATGAAGGGTCCACAGGGCTTCGGAAACCGTCACCAGCTTTTCTTTATTTTCCTGAAGATAAACAACGGTAGCATCCACGCCTGTGGGGACTCTGGAATGCTGTGTACAGAACAGAATAAAAGCCGATCATGAGTCACTGCCTTCGGTCCTTCTATCTAGAGTCCGGCACCTTGCCCCGGCCCTCACCCTGCGCTGATGCCCCCTTCTGTTTGTCTCATGCCCTCGCTTCAAACTTGGCCTCCCGGAGACCCGGGACCCGGGACCCCTCCCCCAGGACACATCTGCACGTTATCACAGCATCCCATCCGCGCGGTGTCCTGGAGCCCGCCCGACCCTGTGGGGGAGGCAGTCTGGGTTGAGGTTGAGGTTGGGTCAGCCTTACTCCTCTGGCGGGGCTCACGGGCTCACTGGGGACAGGGGCTGACAGCTCAGGGCCCTGCTGGATCCTCAACAGGTGCCTGGCCCTCCCCGCCCCCAGCCCAGGGCTGCTCTTATCTCGTGGGCGGGTCTGGAGGCATTTCCTGGGCTCCCAGCCCCCAAACAGGCCCGGCCAAGGGGAAAGCAGCAGAGAGTAATGGTCCCTCTGGTGCAGCGGGGTTGAGTGCCGCTGGGGAGCACTGCGTGTCGGGGGGACGGGGTCTGGGCCCCGGGAGGCGGCCTCCCTGGCAACTGCAGTAGGGCCTCTGGCTCGCATCCCCAGTTACTCTCAGGGCTGTCCTTTCCCAGGAACCAACAATTATTTGCTGGGCACAGTGAGGGGTGCCAGGCTTCCGGGACCCTGGGACAGATACAGCTCCCACAGCAGCTAGCCTGGGCACCTGCTGCCCGCCGCTGGCCCCCTCCCACCTGGGGGTTCCCTGTGTGATGGGGGCGTAAAGCTGGCCCAGAGGACCAGTATACCCAGTCAAGGCCCTAGGCTAGGCAGGGCCAGGCCCAGCCCGGGGAGGAGGCTCTAATGCGCCTTCCAGTATGCCCAGCGGGGACAAGAGCCTCCAGCCGGCATGGGCAGCGGGACCTTGAGTGGCCCAAGCCTAGGGTGGCCTGGCCAAGCCTGACGGGTGCTGGGCACCTGGTGCATGACATGACGGGCACAGCCTCGGAGGGGCTCCCGTTTCCCACTCCGTGCGCAGGGGCTAAAGGCTCCCAAGTTGCCCGAGACTGCGCGCTTCGGGGGAAGAGTGGCGCCGGCTGCCCTCTCGCTCCGAGGGCCTTGGGGCCAGCAGGTGTGTTAGGGCTCCAGGTGCGCGGAACCCTGCCCGGGACTCAAGCCCCGGGCACAGCAGGGGCAGGCCGCGCGGGGGCAGCCGAAGACCCCGCCTCGCCAGGGGCCAGACGCCCGCGGCGGGTTCGAGCCCCGTCAGCTGGCGCTGGGGGCCCAATGGTGAGCGCGGGCGGCGGGGCCGGTGCCCCCGGGGGGCGAGTCGGAACTGGCCGGACGCCGGGCCCCGCCGCGCCGAGGAGGGAGCGCCGGCCGAGGGGGCGCCCGCGCCGCCGCCGCCGCCGCCTCGCAGCCCCCGCCGGCAGACAAAGGAGCCGGAGGGGGGCGGGAGTGGGGGTGGGGGGCGGGGGGGATGGGGCGAGGGGGCGGGGCGCCGCGGTGTCACGTTACCGCCCGCAGCGCCCTTTAACTCGGGCCCCGCCCCTCTCGCCGCCCCCCGCCCGCCGCCGCGCGCGGCCCGCGCCCCGCCAATCGGCCCGCGCGCCCCGCCCCGCCCTCGGGTGGGTGTGTGCACGCGGCCAATGGGCGGCGCGCGGGGGCCGGGCCGCCAGCGGGGCGGGGGCAGAGCGGCGCGGGCCAATCGCCGCGGTGTTGTTGAAACTGAAAATACTACATTATGCTAATCGCGGCGGGGCCCCCGCGCGGGGGGGGTCGGGACCCTCGCGTATAAAGGGGCGCGCGAGGGCTGGGCGTTCCACAGGCCAAGTGCTCTGCGCTCGGTGGGTGCCAGCCAGGCCCAGGCGAGCCGAGCGGGCGAGGACAGGCACCGAGGGGGCGCGGCCGCCGGCCGGACGACACCGCAAGCGACACGCAGGAGCAGCCCGAGGCCCGACCGCCAGGTAGCCGCCGCGCCCGCCCTCCCGCCGCGACCCTTTGCAAATGCAGGCTCCAACTGCGCGGGGTCTCGCTTGCACCCGGCCTCCGCCCTCCTCTCCTCTGCTCTCCTGCTGCTCCTCCTCCTCCTCCTCCTCCTCCTCCTCCTCCTCCTCCTCCTCCTCCTCTCCTCTCCTCTCCCGCGGCCCCGGCCCGCGCAGCCCCGGGCCAGGCTCGACGTGTGTCTCTGCAGCGCGTTGGCAATGGAGCGCCTGGCCGCCCGCCGCACCGTCCCCATGTTCGCGCGCACCAGCGCCTGCCGCAGCCTCTTCGGGCCGGTGGACCACGAGGAGCTGAGCCGCGAGCTGCGGGTCCGCCTGGCCGAGCTGAGCGCCGAGGACCAGCGCCGCTGGGACTACAACTTCCAGCAGGACGTGCCGCTGCGGGGCCCCGGGCGCCTGCAGTGGACCGAGGTGGACAGCGACTCCGTGCCCGCCTTCTACCGCGAGACGGTGCAGGTGGGGCGCTGCCGCCTGCTCCTGGCGCCCCGGCCCCGCCCGGAGGGCGCAGGCGACAGCCCGCCCCCCGCGCCGCCGGCCGAGGAGCCCCTCGACGGCCTCGGGGAGGCGCCGGCGCCGCCGTCCGGCGGCCCGGCGGTGGCTCCCGCCCCGGCCCCAGCCGCGGCGCCGCAGGAGAGCGAGGAGCCGGAGGCGGTGCCGCCGCCGCCGCGCAGCCAGGAGCCCCTCGCCGAGCCGCTGCACTCAGGGATTTCGGGGCGCCCCGCGCCGGGCACTGCCGCTGCCACCGGCGCCGCCGCCACCGCCAATGCCGCCGCCGCCGCCGCGGCTGTTGCCACCACCGCTGCCGCGGGAGGCGCCGCGATCAAGAAGCTGCCCGGGCCTCTCATCTCCGGTGAGTCCCGCGCGGCCCCGCCCCGGCCCGGCCCGGCCCTGCTTTGTCCGGCCGGCCGGGCTCCCCCGGCCTCGGGGGCCTCACTCGGTCCCCGCCTCCTCCGTGGCATTAAAGGGCCAGCAGCGCGCAGGGCGCGGCTGCGCCCGCACCGCGTCGCGCCCCGCTGTTGTGCTCCCGAGCGGCGGGCGCGGGGGGGACGGCAGGGCGCGCGCCTGGCCCCCCGGGCGCGGGGGCCTCTCCCCGGCCCCCGGAGCCCCTCCCCGGGCGCGGCCGGCGCGGCGAGCGCGGCGCGGAGGGGGTTAAGCGCGGCGGCGGCCCCGGGGGGCTTGGCCGCGGGACAAGGAGAAATGCTTACACAGCACATTGCGCGGCGACGTAAACAAAGCTGACCCGCCGCGGACCTCGGCGCGGGCGGGGACGGCGCCCCCCACCCCCCCCACCCCCTGCCGGCCCGCCGCCCGCTCCCCATCCCGGCCCCCTTCCAGGGTTCCCCGGCCGACCCCGCCCTGACCGGCCGCGCGCGCGTGTCGCCCGCAGATTTCTTCGCCAAGCGCAAGAGACCCGCGCCCGAGGCCAAGGCGTCGAACGAGGTGCCCGCGGGCTGCGCCGCCCCTGGCGCCGCTCCGGCCGTGGGCTCGGCGGAGCAGACCCCGCGCAAGCGGCTGCGATGAGGTGGGTGCGGCGGGGCGCGCGGGGGGGGGGCGGGGGGCGCCCCCGCGCCCCGCGGCCCCGCGTCTCCCCGCGCGTCGCTCACCGGCCTCTCTCCCGCAGCCTCGCGCCCAAAGAGCCCGAGGGAACCCGCTGGGCAGCGGACAGGACAGGAGCGCTGGGCCTCGGCTGGGACCGTCCATGTAGCAGCAACCGGCGGCAGCTGCCAGCGAGCAGCGTTCGGTTTTATGTTTAAAATTTAAAAAAAACTGTGCAATGTATTAATAACGTCTTTTATATCTAAATGTATTCCGCACGAAGAGTACACTGGTCCCAAGGTGTAAAGCTTTAAGAGTCATTTATATAAAATGTTTAATCTCTGCTGAAACTCAGTGCAAAAAAAAAAAAATGAAAAAAGAAAAAAAAAGGAAAAAAGAAAAAACATGTATATTTGTACAAAAAGTTTTTAAAGTGATACTAACTTATATTTTCTATTTATACGGGGCGTGGGCCGCTCTGCCACGCGATAGCTCGGCTCGCGTCACCCACAGGCACGCACCGCATCTGGTTACGACAAGTGTGACATCTATTCTCCTAGCGGACTTGGGGGGGTCGCTCACCAGCTGTAGCCGCCGCACACGCCCAGCTAGCTAGCACTTCTCTTCGCGCTTTCTCTGTCTCTCTTATTATTATGCCTATTTTGAACTTGGAGACAAGTCTGTTAACACGCTCCCGGGCCGTGCGCACCGCTGCCTGGCGCCCCGGCCGCCGGGTTCCAAATAAAGGCAAGTCAGCCCGTGTGTCCTTGAACTCGGCCTCCCACCTTTCTTCTCTGGCGCCCCCACGAGTTAGGGAGACAGGACACTGGACAGAGGGGGCGGCCAGGCTACTTTGTAGGCATCCACTCCGAAGGGAGAGGGACTTCTCTTCCGCAGGCCTGGCCCGAGGCCACCTGCTCCAGGCCCCTAACTTAGGGATGAGCGGCCCCGCCCTCGCTCTGTGCGCCCCCCTCGCGTGCGTGCGTGGCTGTGCGCCGAGATCGAGGCCCAGGAGACGCGGGCTCAGTGCGGCGCCCTGGGGGCAAGGAAACGGCCCACACTCGGCTGCGCTGGGCTGAGCCCGCATCGGGCCCAGGTGGGCACCTGGCAGGGGTTGGGCCCTGGCCCATCCCCCCTCCCGACTATGGCGGCGTCGGCGCTCGGGGGGGCGCAGAGCACGGGGTGGAGCCCCGAAGGCTCCGGGGTCACCAGCTTCGCGGGCCGGGGTCCCCCACGGTGGGGCCAGGGGAGCCCTGACTCGTTGCCGGCCTATTCGCGCCAGCGGTGGGGGAGGGGCAGCCTGAAGGCCTGCGACGGTGGGGGGCACGGGGGAGGGGGAGGCGCCCGGGGCCAGGTGGGGGCGGGGCGGGGCGGCCGCGGCCTCGGAGGAGCTGGAGTCCAGGAACTCAAGTCGCATCCACGGCGCGCACCCACCAGCCTCCTGGTTTCAAAGTACTCTCTTTTAGTCGAAAAGAGGAGGTTTATTTTATTTTATTTTTTTTATAGCTGACCTATAAACCTCTGAAAATTATGGCTTACAATGGAAAGGGTGACGTAAAGTGGCACAAACTGACGGCTGGCAGTATTTGTGCCTGGCAGTATTTGTGCCGGTGCCTTGGGCCCCGAGAAGCGGAACCGGCGGTGTTTTTAAGTTAACCGTTTTGGGGCCGTGCGCAGCACTGACGTCCCCCTCGGGTCAGGGACAAAGGCTGGGCCCAACCTTCCCTTTGGAAGATGCATCTAGACTCGTAATTAACCTCCCCCAAGTGCCTAGACGGGCCTGGAGGAGGGGGTGGCGCTGGACAGGTCACTTGGAGATGCCCAGGAGCCGAGAGCAGGGGCGCCCTGCCGCCTCCACTTGCTATCAGCCTGATGGGCGCCTGGGGACCGGGCCTGTCGGGACCTCTCCTGTGGGGAGGGGGCCTTCCCCACCCCCCCACCCCCGTGTGACCACAGCCTGGTGGAGGAGGTGTGAACGGGGGGCTGCTGGGCCCGGCCCCTGGCAGAGCGCCTCCCCCCACCAATCTACCTGAATTAAAAACGGTCGCCCATGACCGAATCTGGTGGGGAAGGAGCCCCTGAGCAGACCCCTCCCGAGACCTGCGACCCCGCTGTGCGCACTGCCCGGGCCTGCGACCCCGAGTGCGCCCACCTGCCGCCCCCGCCCCCACTTTGGGCTTTCTCAAAAGCAGGGCAGGAGGACACACATTAATATGGTTTCTGGGAAGGGCCCCCCCCAGCACCCCCGCGGGCAGTGGTAGTGGGTACCCGGTGTCCTCCCCGGGGGAAGAGCACTGGATCTGGAGTCACGCGTGGCCCCTGCAAGCCCTGCTTTCCCTCGATGGGCCTCGGTTTCCTGCCTTTGCTGCCCCGTGGTTCTCACATGAGGACGTTACGGGAACAGGAACACGCGACGGGCCCGGATCTCTTTTCTCACCTGTGCTCTTGACGGAGAGCGGGAGTGTGTGCCCCGCTCTCGGGACGGCCCTTTCCTCTCCGGACCCCCGGGCCCTGCCCAGGCCCAGAGCACCGGCGAGCAGGCCGGGCGGTCAGCAAGCGTGTGGGGTGGCTCTGCCTTCAGTCAGGGCCTGAGCCCAGGTCCCCTGGGGATTCATGACAATAGTAGCACTAATCCTAACAGCCACACCATGACGACCAGCCTGAGTTCTTCCCCGGCGACATCCTGCCAGTGTGGCCCCGCCCCGTCGTCTTTTGTCTACAGGGGAAACTGAGGCATGGGGCTAGCTGCGGGAGGAGGAGGCACTGAGGGGCAGGGCTGCGGGACTCGGGACCGCCCACCGTACTGTCTGTCCCTTGGCGCGCAGGCACGAGGTGGGGAGGGGGCCAGGCCCCCAGGGCTGCAGGAGGGGAGTGTGAGCTCACACACACACCGTCGGCGTGCACGAGCGTCAGGGGCTGGGACGATTGTCTTCTGCAGGCTCCCACTGGTCCGACTGAGCCAGTGCTGCGGGCCGGGCTCTGGGCCGGGCTCTAGCCACACGCTGCAGGACGGGGTGGCGCTGTGTGCTCGGGTGGGATAGGGTCTGGAGGCCACGGAGGCCGGAGGCCGTGAAGGAGGCCGGGCGAGCGCGTCTGAGCCAGGGGGTCCGGACGAGGCCGGAGAGCAGGTCCGGGAGGTGCGTGGGGCCCACACGCGGCTCGGACGTGACCCAGCGTACGAGTGCGGTGTGCGGCGTGCCTGCCGGGCCTCCCTCCCTGCCCTCTTCCTCTGGGTGTCTGGGCCTCCCGGGGTCCGCTGGGCCGGGGTCGAAGGTTGGGTTAGTCTGCAGAAGTGGAGGGCCCCGGGGTGACGAGAATGAGGCAATTGTTATATTGTTTTATTTATCATATTATTATTTTACTTAATTTTATTTTATTTCATACATATGGTGGGCAGGGAGAGGGGCAGAGGGACAGAGAGAGAGAGAGAGAGAGAGAGAGAGAGTCTTAAGCAGGCTCCACACCCAGATGCAGGCTCCACTTCATGACCCTGGGATCCTGACATGAGCTGAAATGAAATCAAGAGTCAGTCGCTCAACTGACTGAGCCACCCAGGCGCCCCCAAGGCAATTTTAATATTTTATTTTATTACATAAAAAAGTACATACATACATACATACATACATACATACATATGGAGAGAGAGAGAAGGGGGAGGAGGGGCAGAGGGAGAGAAAGAGGGAATGTCAAGCCCGAGCCGGACTTGGGCTCCATCCGTGACCCTGGGATCCTGAGCTGAGCCGAAATCAAGAGTCCGTGGCTGTACCTCAACGGAATGAGCTGCCCAGTTTTACAAACAGGGCGAGGCAGCTGGGTGCAGGGGGAGGTGGGGTCGGTGAGGGGCTGCAGGGCATCCGAGCAGAGGCCCCAGCGGGCAGACACTCTGCCCGCCCCCCCAAGCTGTACCACGCTCTGGGCCCCACGCTCTGGGCCGCGCCCCACGGCAGTGACTGAAGGGGAGGGTCCTCGCCGGCAGGGGCTGCGCCTGTAGTGGGAGGTGATGTCCTCAGACGCGGTACATGAGCCACCGTGGAGGCGGTGAGTGCCACCCGCCAGGGCAGAGGGCAAGGGGCTGCGGGGTTTTTTTTTTTTAACAATAAATTTTATCTTATTTTTTATCCAACGGGAAATGGAATGTTAATTTTTCCTTTGCTCTCTTTTTTAAATTTAAATTTTAGGGGCAGCCGGGTGGCTCAGTCGGTTAAGCGCTTGACTTTGGCTCAGGTCATGATCTTGGGGTTTGTGGGTTCGAGCCCCGCATCCGGCTCTGTGCTGACAGCTCGGAGCCTGGAGCTGCTTCCGCCTCTGTGTCTCCCTCTCTCTCTGCCCCTCCCCCGCTCGTGCTCTGTCTCTCTCTGTCTCTCAAAAATGCATAAACATTAAAATAGATAAAATAAAATTTAAATTTTAGCTAACACACAGTGCAGTATCGGTGTCAGGAGTAGAATTCCGCAATGCATCACTCACTGTTTAAAGCAGGCCTTGCCCGGAAGCCCCGCCCCGGCCCCCCCGCAGGTGATGTCCGAGCCCGACAGGCGAGGGGCACGAGCCATGAGGATTAACCGGGAGAGGAGTTCGGGCAGAGGGAACGGCCAGGGCAAAGGCCCAGAGGCCTGGGGTGGCGACGGGGTAATGGGCCAGAGGGGCTGGGGCGGCCGGTGGGGTCGGGAGGGCTGACCTGGACCTGCAGGGCGGGCTTGCTGCTGGGCCGGAGGGGAAAGCTGGGGCGGGGAGGCCTCCGTGGTTCCTGTAAGTGGGCACGTGGGTCATTCTCAGAGCTGAGGAGGCCTTTCCAGGGACGGGGCAGCAGGGTCAAAGCCCCTTCTTGCCATTCCCTGCCCTGATTCCCGTTCTCAGCCAGGCCCTGTGGACGCGTGTTGGTTTTTTCAATGAGGTGGTAGCGCTCACATTACAGGCAAGGACAGTAGGTTCAGAGAAGCAAAGCAAGGGGCCTGGGGTCACCAGCCAGGAGGCGGCTCAGCCCTGGGCCCCCATAGCCTCGGCTGCCATGTGATCCAGAGTGTGGTTTCTTTTTTTTTTTTTTTTTAATGTTTTATTTGTTTCTGAGAGAGAGAGAGCGTGAGCAGGGGAGGGTCAGAGAGAGGGAGACACAGAATCTGAAGCAGCTCCAGGCTGAGCTGTCAGCACAGAGCCCGACGCGGGGCTTGAACCCACGAACCGTGAGACCATGACCTGAGCTGAAGCCGGACGCTTAACCGACTGAGCCCCCCAGGTGCCCCGAGCGTGGTTTCTTTTTGTTTTTAAAAATTTTTAATGTTTATTTTTTGAAAGAGAGAGAGAGAGTGGGGGAAGGGCAGAGAGAGGTGACACAGAATCTAAAACAGGCTCTGGGCTCCAAGCTGTCAACACAGAGCCCGACGCGGGGCTTGAACCCACGAACTGCGAGATTATAACCTGAGCCGAAGTCGAACGCTTAACCGACTGAGCCCCCCAGGCGCCCCAAGAGCACTGTTACTTAAAAAAAAAATGTATACGTCATTATTAACTAAAGTCTACGTTTTTATATGACTTCACTCTCAGGGGTGCGCGTTCGTGGGCTGGGGCAAACGCGTGAGGGCGCGTACCGACCACTACGGGTCACACGGTGTCGTCTCCCCCCCCCAAATCCTCCGTGCTCCTCCTGCGCATCCCTCCCTTCTGCCCAAACCCTGACAACCACCGATCCCTGTACCGTCTCCCCAGCTCGGCCTTTTCCGGAACGTCGCAGTCGGAATCCTACACTGTAGCCTTTTCAGACTAGCTTCTTTCACT